TATTGTTAACATACCTAGGTTCCTGCCTGGAGGATTTGGTGATCCCCTGCTACTAGACACGGAAGCCTGTTAAGCGAAAGCTTCTTCTATTCCGTCCACAACCATTTGAACCATTTGAACCATTTTAGTCTTCAATATATACAATATCCTTATAACAGCCCTAGAAAAACCGACCGAATCTTTTGGGATCGTCCTTTGTCGTTTAAGTACGGTTCCAAATCCTTAATAATGTTTGGTGTGCGTCACTCTAGCTACTCGAGTGTACTAACTCTAGTCATTGTCGTCGTTATTTGAGGGTTTGTTCATCTTAAAGTCCAAGTTAGTCTATTTGTCTCAAGTCAAAAAGGTTTCTGGAACCAGCAGCCATCAACTTGTTAGACAAGAGATTAGCTGGTTGTTATGTGAAAAAGAATACAGAGAAATTCTGGGTGTTGAGAGTATATGTTTGTTTCAAGAAGTAAATAAATAAGTTTATTAGTTACTAAAGCAAACAGAGTGAACAAAGGGAAATTTTCAGACGAAAGACAAAATGGAGATTGTAATAAGCAAGTAATGAAAAAATAACGAGGTCTGGTAGTAACAACGGTAGATTGGTCACGAGATATGAATCAGTCACATTTATTCCGAGCCAGAGATATCGTTATATTCGATGCTCCTAGTATCGGTGACTGTGGAGTGAGAATTATAATACAAACGTTCTTTAATAAATACTTCAGTAATTAAGTTCACTGGCATATACAGTTCATATTAACACCACACATTCCCATAATACAGGACGAACATCCGTACTTAAGTCAGAGATCCTAAATTATTTAGTTGTCATCAATACTTAAGCGGATTCGTTTCTTCCATGGCCCCCACGTGGATGGAACTGTTAGCATAATGCCTGTCATATTTTCTGGAGACGTCAAGTAACCAATCTGAGAACTGGAATTGAAATAAAGCTTCTTCGATCTGGAATCATGAAAGCTTTCTAGAGTAGGACAGTGAACAGAGACCTGAACTCCCAAATCTTTTTCAATAATTGAGGTAGGATGATCCCCTACTACCCATGCACCTGCAGTTTGGATGTTGGATATCATTAAAAAAGTGTAGATTCATTTCATAGATATGATGTGAAGACCAAAATCCATTTGTATTTTAACTGGTGACAACGAAGATTTATAGTTGCAGTGAACCGTAACCACACGACCTTTGAAGCCGAGCATATGATTACTGAAAATATTTGTATTCAACAAATGACACGAAGAGTATGTTAACAATGGAGAACGTGGGAACATTCAGTTCAATCCAATCGAATGGCACGGCTCAGCCTAACAGACAGTGTCATTCTGTATAACTTGTTTTTACATTAAATATATCATCCTATCGTTAACTTAAATGAGAGCACAAATGAGAGCATTGTATTTGGTATTCCTAATCATCCGTCAATTAAGTAAAAATGAATCATTAGTTCGTAAAATACCACAATATTATGGTTAACATGATTCATCATTGAGATAGCTTATTCAAAAGACATAGTGTGCCACTTTGTTTTTTATCAGCGTTTGTCGATACTTACATAACCTTATTATCACTTGTGGAGCACAGGCTTCTGACTAGCACTCTCCAACTTACTCTGTCTTGAAATTTAGTTGATGGCCGTTGTGTTGTATTTCAGTATCATGGTTTTTCCTTTGTGTATGTTGAGATTTTCTGATGCAGAGATTGCTGCTACACTAGTTGTCTGCGTTTGCATTTGTTCTTGTGCATCGGATAGAAGAACCAGATTTTTTGGGAAGTCCAAGGCTTCTAACTGATTCCGAGCTGTCCATTGTAGTCCGTGCTTCCTCTCAGACGTAGAGGTTTTCATAATCCAGTCGACTACTAGAAGAAAAAGAGTAATGGTAAGCAGCCTTGTCTGACACCTGTCTTTATTTTGGATGCATCTGTCAATTGTTTTCCACACAGGAATTTGCAGTGTAGTCCGTCGTATGAATTTCGATGATGTTGATGATCTCAGGCACACCATAGTGTCGAACAAGGTTCCATTAAGTTTTTCTATTCAGACTGTCAAAATTTTTCTCATAATAAAAGGAACTGACGTATAGCAACGAACTCCATTCAATTGATTGTCCATCGATTATCCGTAGTGCTTCGATTTGGTCGGCACATCGTAGAATATCACGAAACACAGACTGCTGATCTTCGATGTTGGGCGTCTACTGAACCTTTCATCCAGTTTAGCAACACTCTGTTGAAAAAGTATCCTGATACTGACAGTAGTGTGATCTCTCTGTTATTCTCACATTTGCTCACATCTACTCTCTTTGGTACTTTGATGCGATGTCTTTCTTTCGAATCTGTCGGTACTTGCAGCAGATGAATTTTTATATTTTCAAAAATATAGTATAGGATCAGGATGAAAATTTATCACTATTTTCCTCATGGGAATATATATATAGGATTATTTTTTGTGTTGAGGAGGGATATTCTATTGTGCTAAGCAATGATAATTGCAAAAGCGAGGAAATAGAGAAACTGTCACGGGTGTGTGTCCGTCAGTGTAAGCAGAAAATCTGGAGTACACAAATACTTATTTGGAGATGATATTTACTACATCAAGTCAAGAAGATGAGAAACGTTATAAAATTCATTGGCGATTGGTTAAGATACGCATGAGGAACAGTAAAGTGGCTAAGATTAACCGCGTAGTATGTGGTCCTGCTTTTTCCTATCAGAGGTTCCTCATTGGGATACAAGAAGTAATACCTTAGGGATTCCTTATATATAGGTGAGTGGCGATAAAAATCCACTTTCCCACCACCACGTAAAGATTCTTTTTACATGAATTAACCCCACATAACCTTTTTCAAATATCAGGACAACTGTAAACTGTTGTAACACATAAGTGCTAGAGGAAATGTACCAAATCTTTCTGATAGATAATCATATAAATATTCCATGATTGGGATAATTCACTGAGCAATAATAGTCGATATATAGCATATTCAGTTGCTTTGGCTTTCTACTAATAGTAACTGACATCAAAGTTCATATTTGTTTCTATGAATCACTTCCTGTTCGTTTGTTATCAGAGGCGTTTCGAATAGCTTATTTACGCTTCCTTGATTTGCACTTACTATCACTTTTTTCGATAAAGTGATTGTAACAAGAGTTTTCTAAATCATTTCGTTCGAAAACAAATTTCTGCTGTTATGCTTAAGAGATTATAGCAAACTGAATCATCATCAATAATCTGACTAACTTACACAATAACTTGAAGATGGTGAGTGTCCTTGTGTCAAATCTCTCCCCGAAAGGATTTTTATAACCTTTACTTAGTTAATTGAAGTTTCGTCTTCAAGTTGACCAATTATTGACTCGATGATAATTACCAACACTGAAGAGTATGTATATGGTACTATAACTCTTCAGCATGATCATGCTGAGACAAAATAATATCTATAGAGCTTTACGTATAAATTACTATTGAATAAGAGAAGAAAATATATGATCTACTCGGTTTCTGCCGAAAGTGTCATTTGTGACTATGCATTTAAGCCTCAAACAGAACACTGAGCAAAATCAGTCAGTCAGTTGGTATCAACGTATAGTTTAGTACAGATATGCTTTGTACTATCTTACGGAGATGGAAACATACACTTACATTTGATGTCGATGAAAAAGTCTTACTTGATATCGATACATTGTTTGGTACATTCTCAGCAATTGTCTTGAATGCTTTATGTAACAACCACATCAGTTGAATTATTTGACGAAAGCTTATATTTGGTAATGTTCCTAGTCTTCAACTTCACATCTGATGTCGTTAATTCATTTCTTCGGTTGAAATGGCCATATATTTTTTATTTAAAAAGTGCTACGAATCGAAGTTAAAGTACTATGTAAACAAGACAACGATAATAAATGAATAAGTCTAAATTCAAAACCAGCTGTATGGTTTTAAAATATGAACTGACAATAAATTGAATCAAATAGCAAAACATTCAAAACTTACTTTGACTCTAATAATTATGTGCTATGTTCATCATCGTTGGGTAATAAAGTGAAAAAACTAATGATCAAGTAGTTGATAACGAACAATAACAAAGTGAGAAAATGAGGCCTGTCTGTTGCAACTGACTTGAAAAGTTCGGATGTATATGGGGTGAGGGGGCCTTACTTTTACCGTATACTTTTAACCCACGTAGAGTTTTACTTAGAGATTCAAGTGTACTCTTATTAGTATCTAAATGAAACGCTGTGAAAAATCAAGCGCCAACATAGTCTGTTTTTGCAAATCTATATCGACTGACTCGAAGCTGCAAAAATAGTATCAAAATGTTTGGTGAATTTACAAGTCAGTACAACTTCATTTTGATACACCTTGGAGTGTGGTAAACCAGATACATTTTAGTACTTTAAATCTCCACCAAACCATCGAGCGTTTAATTCCAAACTCTCGGTATTCATTTCATCTAACACCATTTATGAGTAGTTTTTGTGACGTGTCCGCATATCTAATCTCTGATGCGAAATCTTGCAAAGAATCAATGTTCCGAAATTCCTAGTGAAATTTAGAAGTCTAATTGGGCAGTAAGTTTCAAAACGCCGACCGATCTATAGCGCTCAATTTCTTCTAACCGATTTTCTTACCAAGCTGTTTACTACATTTTTACAAAAAACACACAATCAAAACACTATAATCACAGAGGAATCATTGTGGTTTATTTTATTCATGAAAATAACAACAACAGAAATATCACTCTTAACAGTTGGGGTTTTTGTGTTTACTAGTGGAAATTATTTTGCTCCTATGGAATCTAGTAGCATAAGGGTGTAAGTGCCTTCAGTACTTATCAAATCTCAGTGTAATATGCAAATAATTAAGGTCTACGAGCTACATTTTACATCATTCAGAATTATATCACTTAATGACTTCACAATAATTATAGATCTGGTCTTATCTTCTTTTCTGTTTCAGATTTGCTGGATACAGTCATCACAATTTTGACGTAATGAATCTCTCTCTTGTCATTTTTGCCTGTCTAATTTTATTCATTGAACGTCAATGCCTAGTCACTGCCCAAAACAATGGTGACGATAGTTCAAGTCCATTTCGTTGGTTTAAACCAGACAATTTTGATATTATTTCACGTAAAATGGACCAAGCCAATCCAAATAATTGTGAAACAATGTCTGAAGCAGATTTACGCTTACCACCAACGTCACTCAGCCAGATACCACAATATAATGAAATCCCAATGAGGCAGTGGTTTACAAATCGATCAAAACTGCTACATCTACACAATTTAGCATTAAACCGTGCATTTTTCTATAGTTATATTTTGCAGAGGCTAGATCACCCAACCAGAGATCCCCAGTATTTACCATCATTAATGTATTATTATCTGTCCTCATCAGCCGATATATCTTCAGGTCCCAATGTCATAAATATAAGTGGTGTATTTATGGATACGAACACAACGTACGCAAATTGGTATGAACTCAAAGATATTAACAAGACCTTACCATTATTCGCACCATTAGCCAGACGGTTAGATAACTGGAATGATGAAATGAATTTTTTGAGAATACCAACTAATGCTACAATTGAAGTAAGTGAATTGTTAATAGAATAGCTCTGTTGTACGGCTGAGATTTTTAAAAGTCGTTTAAATTTCATCAATAGGTATGGCACAACCATCACATTTGATTTTATAATCCAGATAGCACAAAGCTATATAAAGGTTGAATCTGACAACATTGCGTAAAGATTTTCGATCATACCTCTATTAATGCAACATCCAGCCACTAACCTAGTTTTCCTGTATCAAACAAATTACCCATTAAGATAGAAAACGTAGACAAATGCCCACTTCATGTAAAGTCCTACTGTACTTGCCTATTCACGTTGCCGTATCAAAGCACTTACATTGAAAAAACAGAAAACAGGATCCTTTTTTGCACCTCAAAGCTCACTCCATGAAAATGTACGTTAGAAAGCCTAGTGTTTTCGGCTGTGCTCGTCGTTTGCTTGATAGTCAATGCAGTGTTGATATTTTAAAACCATTCAGAATGATTAATATCATAACTTCAGATTCGCTGCTTCACACCGACAATATCATGATTAAAAGGTTGAATCCCCACCTATCTACCCAAGGGGATGCTGTTTTGAACCTCTCATTAACCTGGTAACTTCTATTTTCCACCATTCGATTACATAATATGTTATTTAATACGCTTAATACCAAATTCCTTTAATGACTAGATCTTTGTGAAGCATTACTAATCTTACCCTGCTAATATTTCCGACATCGTGGTTGTATTTACGCGTCTTTGACATCCTTTTTCATTCTCTAGAAATGTGACTCAATATGCTGTAAAATGTTTCTTATAAAACTTCTCCACTTAGTAACATACGAGTATTCGTACACTTTACCGTTTCATAATTCTTTCATAATTGTTATCGTTTATTTACTACTCTTCAAAAATATGATAAGAAGTATATACATTCGTTATAAACAATTTTACTATTGTTTTTACATCGTAAGGAATAGCAAACGAGAGTCCATGAAATAAATGAATTCATTGTATTCTACTAAGCCTGTTGTTTTTGCTTTAGTCAAAATAATTTATGGGAAAAATTATTTCTGATTATCTAACCCTTTGATAATCTAACAATTAAGTCTTGTGGTCGAACGATATCAATCAGTTGGTCACATTGGCAACGAAATCAATATCTTTTGTTCTTAATTTATCTAACACATTTAATAAAATGAATTTCTTTCGACCATGAGTGAGTGATTACATATGAAGGTGGTTAGATTCCTATGAAGTTTTAATACTGAAACTGTAAGGTATCTAAATAACGAAATAATCTCATCGCACTTATTTTGGGCTGAGTAAGTTAATGGTAAACCAAAACTGGTGACTTATCATTTGCGGTATATAATTGGGAAAGGATCATTGATTGGTGAATGCAAACTCTTTGAGATAGATCAGATGGTATTTATGGTACCTCACAATAAAATCAAAATCTAGTTTAATTTACACTAGGTATTTATGTGATAAATCGTATTGTGGTTTAAACAGATTTATTCATCAACGACAATAAACAATGTGAAAATCTAAAATGTAATCCAAATTTTATGAACTGACTATATCCAATTATTGTTCAACAGTCAAAGTCTCTAAAAATGATTTTATCACAATGAACTAGGAATGAGCAGTAGTCCACAGTCTATCGTTTTCGGCTTTGTCAGTAACTGATGTGATTGCTTGTACTAAATAGAAAGTAAATATGATTCATACATACTTCGATCACCTTTCATTTGTCTTTAAGATTTTTAATCACTTTTCTAACTCAGCCAACGTCTTATTGTTTAACATATTCTAAACACCAGATAACTGATCTTGGAGCTGGCCCAAATAATAATTATACAGCATCATGGTATAAAAATAACCCATATATACGTGATCGTGAAATGGGTATAGACTTTATTCCTGATAGACGTGGTACAGCACCTAGTAAAAACCAATACACTACAAAAATACAACTTGCAACTATAAGCGGTGATCCAATAGAAAAGTTGGAGAATACCAAATTCTATGGTCCAAATGCACCAGGTGTTAAAGAAACTTTTCTACCTGTCCGATTTACTCGTCCTTATTATGATTGTGGGGGAACAAATCGATGGATTGTAAGTTCTGTTGCAGCACTGACAGATTTTATGCCACGTTACTCAAATATTACCAGACTGCGAGGACCAAGGTAAGTAAATGGAGACTCTAAACTAGTATTTGTATGGCCTGAAATATATGGCTTTACTTTTGTAGAAGTGAGCAGAATGTTTTTTACTCTAAAACACCGAGTTTAATTAAACAAAGTGATCAAATGAACAGTGTTCACTCCAGACAGTATCAATTTTATAACATGAATGATAGATTAGACAAGATTATATTGGCTACTATCAAGTGATTTATGATAGTGTCTCCATTTTCAATACTGGATAATATCGTTTCCTCGAAATACCAGGCCTATCTTGTGAATAAATACCATCTAGCATGAAATCAGGATTAACAGCTTCGTCTTACTTGGTTCTGTCCACTTATGATGAAGGGAAATACTACGTACTGTTTCGTCACTTAGTTGAGTAGATGCATCCCAGTTTGTATGAAGTGTATCAGAGTCTTTGGAACTAAACAAAATGATAGTAGTAACTAAAAAATGACAAGTTTGTGTGTGTGATTTAGGTCAACAAAAAGTATCATTTAAGCGTTATTGAAACTGACATCAAAAGCGAGAAAATAAAATGGTATCTTTGATGTCCTAAATCACTACAATTATAATATATTAACATCAATGAGTGTGACAGAACTTTAGTACTTAACTATAAGTTTTATCGACGAAAATATAAACTTTCTTTCTAATGCGAAGTTATACCTCACTTGTAAGTTGAAAAAGACGAGTTTCCTTCGTAGATTATAAATTTCACTGGTTATTTCCAGACTCATTTGACAAGAGCTATTAAAATGACTTATAGTCAGTATTAAGCATACATTTTACGTTGTAAGTTGGAGTTGGTCTATAATGTTAAAACATATTAATATTATTATTATTATTTTTAAGTGGTATAAATACAAATTTAATTTTCTGTTTTAAATTATCCTACAAAGTAAAACATGACATGGATTTGTTACTATTCAGATGCTTGTCAATGAACTCTTTTTAAAAGTCACAGATCAGGGTAAAATAAAATTTTTGTATTGCATGACCCTCATCGGTTCTTCAGTTGATGTTCAAGTCTTGACAAAACGATCTATAAACTTGACAAAATTTTCACAGACCATCAAATTAAGCATAACTTTACTAAACTCTGTCGCGTGCTATTTTATCATTTATTTTTCAATTAAAACTAAGTTGTGAAAGCATCTTTTACTGAGAATTCCTAATTGTATTTCAGTAATTAATTGACAGTGATATCATTTTTTAATCGCTTGTAAGAAACAATCCCATGAAATCACAGTCATACTGTTGTGAAAGAGAACGCAGTTGGGGATAAGTAATTGTATTTTAATACAAAATTACGGAGTACTTTCATCAAATGTTAAAACCATACGTTCAGTTCGTCATTTGCAAATCCTCTATCAATTGTCCCAAAATTCATTGTTCCTTTATCGCCATAACTATTACTATCTATTTCCTTTCTCTTTGATCCGATCATCTCAACCTTCTCTTGCCAGGTTTTCTACCTCCAACGGGTGTTACATATTACTTATGTCTGTCGACATAAATATCACACACCACAATACTTGTTTACCAACTGTTTTATACAGTGATAAGAGATCATTTTTCAAGATTGAATAGCTATATCTGAATATATAACAAACTAGTGTGTTACTTTGTTATAAATTTTTCTAATGGCTATTAGTGGATTGTTTCAATTAAAAGACCAATCATACTTAAAAGAGAAAACTGTGTTCAAATTTGAAATTTAAACTACTAAAAAAGTGATATAGCGTTCCAGTCAAGCTTGTAATTACTTGCTAAGATTATAACAGATGATACAACTGGGACGTAGTGAAGAGTCATGATGAAACCAGAAACAAAGGATTTACTAAGATTATATGTTTACAATTTTCACTAGTTATTTTTGCCTTTTTAAGTGCTTTCATAATATCTAACCTCTTTTTGTCATCTGTAGAATGATTGGTGTTGTTGTACAAAGTATGGACTTTTATCGAATTGATTTTAATCCTTGCCCGCCAGGATTGGGAAATCCGAATCATTATTTGGCTGGAATCGCTCGATGCAAACCAACAACTTTGGTATGTTTAATATACTGTAATGTATTATTTTTTGAAAGAATATCAGCTACTGATAAGTAGTGTAATATTTTTAGGTAAACGTTTCATGACAAATTTCGACAGAATATGTATTCTGAAACTATAACACATTAACAAAGTTTATTCACTCACATATAATTTCAAAGCTAGAATAATTAAACGTATCCTATCCGAAACCGATACCTTAGGGGAGACCGAGGTAAATATTTACATATATGCCAGTTAATTCTATTGAATAACGTCGAAAACAGGGATATGTCAAGAATGATCGGAACTCGGTATTAAACCATAGTGAATAGAATAATTTCGTAGGGGACATATGATTTTATATAAATTACCTTAAGTGGCTTATGAATATTAGTCCTTGAGCTAAATGGAGTATCATTCGATGGACAGTTACACTACCTAAACGTTTTCTTCAAGATTCCAGAAGTATTTCACCCAACAAAAGAAATAACTTTTAAGACTGGAATAATTAAAACATTAGATGGTGAATTTCCTTTTCCGTCTAGGTTTTAGCACATCAGAAGTTTAACTGAGCAGGTTTGGTAGTGCTAAGAATAATGCTTTTCACATGTTAATGATAATCGACCTGTTGAGAATTGAATAAGTTTTAAACAATTAAATTCTGATACAAATGATAAATGAAATGACTTTTTCTAATGAATTACAAGCAGTTGTTGAGATGTTCCAAATAATATTATCCCGTGCTCATAGATTCCTTTGAAATTAAATAAAGACTTCAGAAAGCTACTAATTTTTTAACCTAGAGAACCGAAGTCCATGAGGAAATAACCTGTTATTTTGAATGCCACTCAATCAAGGTGTCATACATCGTTAGCACGACTAGATGAAATTAATGAGATGAAGAGTGAAAAATTTGAAATGAGTTAGAGCAGTGATAATGGGAAAGACTAAAGTTTAAAAAATATTTTTTAAGAATGAATACTGACATTGACAGTCTAGGGAATGATGAAGAGTATATGCATCTGAGCAATTGTGTTCAACTCTGAGTCACGCCATCTAAAGCCTTCAATCGTTGATGGTGATTATCTCCTAAGCCTTAACCAAGTAGTCTATATCTATCAACATGGATCAGATCAATAATCTATGATTTCATGCACAGATTTTGCTTTACCCGTCCCTTGTTTCTTTCTAATCCATTCTTAAATTGAATGTTGGGTTAATAGATGATAATTGAGTATACGTAACATATATTTAAGGCTAATTTCTTTATATTTTACGTAAAACCTCTAATTTAAAATATCTGAGTTTAGAAGGTTAAATATTGATACCATTCATTGTTACTTTAAAAATGATTTTCATCAAACATAATTTTTCTCTGCTTGATCCATAAATCAACTTACGATTTTACCGTTCAACTTTCAATGGTTTTATTTTCTTTTAAGTTTGGTAAATACTACTAATTGAAGTCATTTTAAGAATTTACTTTAATAAGAAGGAAGTAGAAGAAGAAGAAGAAAAAAAAGACGAAATCAAATCAAAACTTACAGAATTTTAAATAAACTATTCTTTTTCTTTTTACTGAGTGTTTATGGGAAAGTTATGAATACATTAATTAATTAGATTATAAATGTGATAAGTTTCATTAGTTTATTGATGAGAATATTGTGAAAAAAATGCGAAGTGATAGTAGTTGTAGTCGTAGTAGTAATAGTAATAGTAGTAGTAGTGGTAGTGGTACACTGTAAGTTGATTCAGTAAATTTTATTTTCTGTAAAATATGATATCACTGATTAAGTGAATAAATGAATTATTTCATCTAAATGGATATGATTTGAAATATGAAGATTCAGCGAGATTATAATTTATGAACAAACTAATCAAATATAAGATAACAAGTCTTGGTTTTTGTTGAAAAATTCATCCGTCCATTTAACTAAATAGATTTTTGGCATCATCACTGATCTATATTTGTGATGAAAACCCTAAATCTAGTTCCTAAACCTAATTATCAATTTTAAATTATAATTCTAATTCCTCTCACTGCTTTATAACCTTCATTGAGTTAGTCCTAGTTAGTAAATGGACATTCTCAAAGTTACTTTAGTGTGACTCAAAGGTTTTCCATAAATTGTAGTTTCAGTACGGATCAGAATTGTTGAATCTGTATTATTCACTAAAATAAAGACTAAATACTTCATGTTCTATAATGTAGTAAATAAGTTTAAAATCTTGATAACTTTCTAGAAATAAAATTAACTTGAAAATGTTATTATAGAGAACATGTGGTATCTTAGTAATGTATTTTTTTTCTAATAAGAAAAAGAAACAATGGAATTACCTGCTCTAGTTCATTTGAAAATTGAATATCTTAAGTGATAACTTATTCTTTAAAAGAGTATTTAGTGGGGCCGAGATTTTGACTCCAAATAGATCGTATAAATGATTGCTGTCAAAATGTGTGTATCACCTATCCTCGTATATAATCATCGACTTAAATCGCCTTAATCAATAATGGAATTAAATAAGTCAAATAACGAGAATGGATTCTTGAATACACATATTTTGTATATGAAGCGAATAGAATGCAGAGAAGCGAATCGACGCGCAATGGAGATGTCGGGTAAGCCAACTACATTTAGTCAGGCGTTAATCAATATTTATAGTTACACAAAAATAGGTTACAGACATGTGATGAATGAGATAAGAAATGTACACACACATATGCGCTCATATAAAAATAGTCAAGATTGGTAAGCGAATAATTAACAAGGTCAAAATATGACTCAAGTAGAGTGAATAGATTGGCCTGTACGAAAGCCAGAATAAGGTGTATGAGCTTCACATAATAACCGACACTACAAGTATGATAATGATTGACGTTTTTATCGGTTTTATGGATAACCTCATTGATGAAAACAAAATCTACATTTTTTCAATTATCTCTTATCATTAAAAACAGAAAATTTGTCATTTGGATTGTATGAATTACAAGTTCTAGAGAAGAATATTCATTTTTTAATCAATCAATAATCTGTATACTTCATAATTATGTTCATTAATACATTTATTATTCTCTGTTCTCATTTTTAATTAGTGTGTACCTCTTCCAGGTTTTGGTTTTAAACGAGGTGGTTATCAATGTGTTTGTCAACCAGGACATCGTTTACCATATGAACAAAATGGACCATTTCGTGGTGTTGATATTGAAGCGGCAACTGAAGAAGAATATCGTAACAATTTTGATTGTATTCCAGTTGGTTGGCGTGAAGTTATACCTGAAGAAACTGGTATGAAAAATAATTTAGAAAGATTTCGTCGTTCAATAGGTGAACAAACAAGTACGCAAATTAATGAACTAAATCAATATATATCTATTTGTATTGACATTATTATCAAGATAAAATTTATTTCGTTGACAAATTTGACTAAGTGTAAACGTGAATTTACTACTTTCCTCAGGTTTAAGAACTCTTATAACTTTCACCTAATGTTGTGGTGTATGCTACTTATGTGGACAGATATAAATAGTATGTAACACCAACCAGAAGTGGAGTGCCTAGAAGTAGAAGGTTGAGAAGATTGAATTGAAACAAATGAGAATGTAATCAGAGCGTAATTATAAAGGCAGTGAAAGAAAAATGAGTTTTTAGACAATTCATGGAAGATTTTAATGTATGGCTTTCACATTTTAACAAAGAACTCTAGTTTTTCACTAAACAATAATTTGGTTGTCCCCACCTGAGTTCTCGTTCACTACACTAATGTATCTTGATTTTCAATGGTTATCTAACCAAAGTTACTACATGATGTCGAACTTCAAATTTAACAATCCCCATAGTTATCATACTATTGTTAGTTCCTAACTTCAAGACGCGATCCTCTGAGTTCTACTAAGTAGTCATAACCGGAAGAGTTCAATTATGTTGGGAGTGAAATAAAAACCATCATGAATGATGGTCTCGTGATATTACGAATTAACAAATGTTAGAAATGTAAACTATTGAACGAAAACTCTGTAGTCTGACGGTCAAGCACTCATTGCGAGGCCTGAATGTCTTGAGTTCGATTCCTGTCAGGTCTTAGAGGAGTCCCATACTAGTACAGGACAATTATTCAATGTTTTCTAGTTTTTAATTACTGTCTAACTAATTCAACAATTTACATAGACCCTTACACTAAAAATGATTATCTAACTGAATTCAGTGATGAAAATTATCTTTAACTTAAAATAACTTTACCAAAACTGAAAGCTCTTTGTCCTGTTATGATTAAAAATATTTGATATTTTTAATTAATTTCAGCTGAATCAACTGTAAAGAAGGAAATTCTCATTCTTTCATTATTTTGTTTCTTAGGTACATTATGGAATAGATTAAAAGATCCATCGGTTCATTTATTGAACATGATATTAACAAGTAAGCTGAGATTATTTTCGATTGAGTGATTTCACATAAATAGTGCCCTAATAATTTAATCTTTTATATGGATAACCACCACTGAAATCAACGTTTTTAATTACAGAGAAAAAAACATTTTCAAACTCAATCGTTTGAATGTAGCAAATGTTTATTACTCATTACACATTGTCAAAAGTTCTCACGATAGTACATAAGATACGAGCTTGTTTTCAACATACAGAAACGTTTGTCAATCATGTATCAGTGTTCATCTGTTTGAATCAAATTTAAACCTACTCAACCTACGTTTACAGTGTCTTGGTAATTATTTTACGACCAAATTACCAAGTAAGGATTTTCAGCCTGTTCTTCCATATCGTTGATAAACTCAGCATTAGTCAAAGGAACTACTAATTAACACATCCGAATATTTTTTTAAATATTTTAACATCACCTCTTTTCTACTTCATTAATCTGACAAATTTATCAGACCGGAAACAGACCGATTTAGTAAACCATGTCTTATCCACGTTCTAATTCCTCCTTAACTGATAAGTAAGAATCACGAATGATACACTTTAAAAATTAGTTCACTAATGATATTGTCCAACCTAGCAAAGAAAGCTATATAATGAATGATCCAGCTAACAGAATGTAGCACAATTGAAATAAACGTGCCTCTCTATATAGTTCTACCAAACATCACCAGTTTATTAATTTCAGTATGTGTCGAGAAAGAAATTAATATTTGTATATTAAATTGTTTATTTTCCCAAATCTGACTAGCATTTGGATCATTCAAGCAGAATATCTTCCCAACACCACCAAAATTAGATGAATCACTATTAATCAATGAAATATCGGATAAACCATTTAAAACAACTAATTTAGATGACCAACCATTAGATCGTCTTGTTCCTGGATATCGATCAGTCTCACATTTGCTACCATTGGAACAAAACGATTTTAATTTAACGTATACGGAAGATGTTTATGAAGATGGATTTTTTGACAATGATACTTATATACTTATCAATAAACCAAGTAATATAGATAGTAAGGATCAGTCAAATAACATCAAGAAACGTGTACGACGAAATGTTGATACACCATTTTATACAGTTGGAGTTGGTACAGTATTTGATGCAGACAGGTATTTTGAAGTAAGCTGTGTTTTTTGACATAAGAATATGTTCAGAGGAAAAGAGCATCAATTATATATTACAAACAGTTTACATAATAATAAATTAATACTGTATTTATGACTTCAGAGTAATTCGAAGAAGTAGTTTACACTAAGCCATGAAATGTCAGAGATTAAAATCCCAACTTATTAGGATCATATAAATATATCACTAATTTATTATTAATTCTCTACTCAATGCCAAAAATGGATTCGATTTTATCGTCAACAAAATACTGACAAACATTTTCCTTAATTATTCAAGTGTAATTCACATTCAAACAATGTGAATAAGTGAGAGACTATGATGTTGAAAACCACATGGGGACATCTCCAATTTATTGACCATACTGTAGACAACTTTGATAAATTATCAATATAAGCACTGAACTGCTGTTTCGTCCTAGTACTACTCCAAAGGAGTGTGAGCACTGGATATTCAAATCTTGAAACGAGCGCTTAACCTTCAGACGATGAAGTTAATATCCAGTGGTTAACATATATAAATTTAATTTCATTAATTTGCTTTATTCCATAAAATTTTATTGTTTTTACTTTACAAAAACTAATATATAAGATATATAATTTTAATTCCTTTTATAAAGGTTCAACGTTTAATTGCACATGTACGCAAAGTGACTAGTCAAAATTGTCATCTAATGACAGCGGATCAATTAATTTTACCAGGAGAAGTTAGTTATGGTGTTGAGAAACAATTTGAAATGGTTGGAAGAACAGCTCTACGTTTATCACATTTTCTAAGTGCTTATTATCAAAATAATGTTGTTGGTGAACTTTACGGAAGTTTAAAAGTAGGTTTTATGTTGTAAAAGAAGTAAATTAAGTAATTCGACTGGATATATTTCTACTCCTTGGAAAATAAAACCATTTCATGGCCAATCATATGCACTTATCATTAGAAGATTTTTGATTAGCCCGCTGTATTAATTGCATTCTTTTATTGATAAATAATTTATATTCTGGAAATAATTACAGATTACATATTAATTTACAGGAATGTTAGGTTGATGATGTGTTTTTTTAATGGAAAATAAAATAAATATTCCACCTTATTAATGATTGATTAAGATTTGTAGACAATAATGTGGGGTTTGAATCATTAGTTACTGAGAGTAAATCACAGTAGAAATGCCAACTTGGATCCAAGTACCTTAAGTCAACATTTTCCTTTGTTAGTTTTTCAATATTATACTGATTAGTTAGATGTTTGTTTGATTTTAATACCTCTAAATTAAATTTTTATTATTCATTAGCTATACTATTTATTATACATCACTAGTATTTTGGAGTGGATGGAGTTATGAAGTTCAGAAGTTATTAAATACTGTATGGTACTCGAAATGTACTGTAGTTTAACTAATATGTTATGAAGCGAGCTGTGACTTATTAGTTAAACTACTCAACTCTCAACTATTAGGTTTCCAGCTTTAATCTAATTTAATACCTTTCTGTTTAAGTAACAGTTATTGTTTACCGATCGTATCAGCCACTTTGTACTGACGACTCAAAACACATACACTGATATACTGAAGATTACTGAATACACAGCACACTAAATAAGAAACCATACTCTGAACATAATGAAGTCATAAATGGTAGGTGAGAGCAGACAGCACATAATCAATCAGTAGTCATTAAGTAATAGTGACAGATAAAACAGCAGCTAGTAGGTCCATCAAAACACATTAAGCGGGATACAAAAACGTAACAATATGGTTATTTACCAATCATTCAATAAAGATTTTAAAAATAATAAAAAATTTGGTAAATAGCTTAGACATTTTCAACTTTCCTAATATTCGCTTTGTCATAACATAAACCATGAGGAAAATGACCCATACATAAAGCGTCTGTCCAGCAGCTAGAAAAGACTCATGTTATTGTAGAAAAAAAGAAACCACTGCAAAAGACTGGCTTTGGGATAGAGTTATCACTATCCTAGCTAAAATCCATTTCTACATAAGATGTTAGTCAAGTTTAAAATGTCACTGATGGTGATGATATCTTGGATAGTTGTTGATGATTCCTTGGGTTTTATCATACTGTCAAATAATGCAAACTTTCCACGAAAAATCACTGAAGTTAAACAATACTCTCTTATCTTTTATTGTAGACTGGTTTTCCAATTAATCGTTTTCAATTATTTGGTGAAGTTTTTGCCAATGTTTTATCAAATTTTGATATTGTATCAAGTGGAATATTTTTCGATTATCAAATGTTTACTGATCATGATGGTACAACATGGGATCTATTTGCTCCATATGCGTATAAGCCACTCTTGGCAACCCAAGCAGCTGAGGCAATTGATATGAGTATAAATGCCTATCGAGACTATACAGAAAAACCATGGTTTCGAACATTGAAGGTATGATTGTTATTAAGTTAGATATTTTATTTAAACAGCTTCGTCAAATTTCTTAAAAATATGATTTGTTTTACGTTGAGGAGAAACACTGCTACATATATCTCAAGGTTGGATAATTCTTGATCGATATCATGTATTATATTGCCAGTTGAATCAATGACAAATTTCAAGATTTTACACATTAACCAAGGTCTGAACAAATATTAGTTCTAGAGTCTTCCTAACCCGGTGACCAATCAAAAGACTATGATCAGAAGTAGATTTGTTCTCTATGGTATTCAATTCAGTCATGACTCAAAACGCATACAATTATATACTAAAAATCCCTGAACACACAGCACACCAAATAGGAAATCCAACTTGAAGTAAATCCATAAGTTGTAGAGGGCGAAACAAACAATACATAATTAGTTCACATTAATCAAGCGATGGTTAAATGTATAACAATGGTGAATAGGTCCACTAAAAGCTTACAATATAAATAATAAAAATCCGGAAAATACCTCCAATAGTTTCAATTTTCTGAGATATTTGTTTTGTTCAGTAATATTCACGATAACGAGATAGGAAGACAGTAAATACTTCAGTTCATTTTTCTAGGATTGTATATTTTGACAAATATTATGGTTGTTTATTTACCTAAATTAACGTTAGAAATTATCAATAGAAAAAAAAAACCGATCCTCATTGCTTTAATTTTATCCGACCTTCGAGGAAAAATCGTTCAACACCTAATTCATATATATGGTCTTTTACTATTGAACACAAAATATGACATACTACGACATTTGGTCTACTATAACTTCTTCTTTGACTAAGTAATCTCTGATCTTTCAAAAAATATACCGGCAATTTAATTGACTAACAATTAGACAAATGCGTTTTGTTATAATTATTCTCAATATAATCTCTTATATACATTTGTTAGATTAAATTAACTTGGTCAACAATTTTCTGATTGATTCAGTTTCAATTCCCAAACCATTAGCCTACAGTTATCTTTCATTTTTAATGTATGAAAGAATAACTTGATCTACTTCTGTTATACAGTAATTAATATATTTCTAACAATAATTTTTAGTAATCATCATTAATTACCTGATGAAAAACAGATTACATTTCTCAGTTATCACAACTTATAATGCGTGTATTAACGTTTGTTTTCAGATCATTTTCAGAATAGTAATAAACCTGAGGACACCCATCGTGTATGAATAGTTAGTGGACACTATGAACAGCCGCTTCACATTATATGTATATACAATACTTTTATGAATTAAACTTTCTCACCTTAGACAAAGTACATTTTTGAGATAACTGGGCGCCGAAACCATTAGTAGTCAAAAATGCTGTAAATACGTTGTCCTCCATATTGTTGTCATTGCACCGTATTTATGAATTAACTATACATAATATCCTCATTAACGACGAAAGAACCTAATTGATATCACTGTTATTATCAGAATTATAGACTAGTTCACATGTGATATGCTAATTGTAAAAAAAATATGTTGCCATTTTATTTTTCTTTACATGACTGTTGTTAGGCAACTCAGGATGTGTTTTTTTTTCACTTTAAATTGACGTAATTCAGTGAAAAATGTAGTTGAACAGCATAAATATTAGACATATTATTAAATTAAATTAATGAGACATTGAACAGTCACTTCATCTGTTTAAAACTGTGCCACAATAGTTTCCGTTAAGTGACGTTGAACTCTTCACAGTATTGAAATTTTCTCAAATCTACTTACATGCTTGTACAGCATTTGAATATGTCACTTTAAATATTGAAATAGAGTGTTATAAATTAATGCACTGTAAATCACTTTAAAGATAATTTTCTTGATACTCTAACCTCATATAGAGAACCATTGAATGTCACTTATTGCTAGTTTAAAGTCTCTTCTTGTTTATATTCTTTACTGAGTTTTAGTAAGAGATGAAAACCGATTTTATCTAGAATAATCCTCAAAATACTCTAATCTCAGTGATAAGAACTATGTGCTCATTGAGGATTAGCATCAAGATCAATATTATTGAATGATGGTTATGGTGTTTTTGCAAGTAAACCTAATGAATAAAGTATTACACCTTCACCTGAGAAACATAATAGACCTTAGTTTTATATAGTGGCAAATTTCACTAGTGCACTACTGAGTAGTTTAAAACTTAAAACAAAGTAATTATCTAGCATTCACTGGTTTTTATTAGATTTATTAGTTAAATCAGTTTAGGATACAAGTAGCGTATAAAATCTAACATTATTACCCATAAATATTCGAAAAGGGAATCCTACTGGTTTAGTTTAAATTACTCGGGATAAAATACCTGCTTACATATGTGGATGATACATTAGCAGAGTTTCCGTCAATGATAGGAAATTTCTTGGATTTATTCCTATCATTTACATTACATACGAACTTCTTGATAGTTAACTAATTAAATGTACACTTTGAAAAGATAATATTAATTCACATAAAAACATTTATTTTATTTCATCTGTAAAAGAAATGAATATCGTTGGTAATATGATGATAGGTAACATGAATTCTACCTACCTACCTACCTAACTGCCTACTTACCTACCTACCTACCTGCTTATATACATACATACATACCTACCTAACTAACTACCTACCTACCTACTTACATCCAGTTTAACTGAATAGGAATAAAAAATTGTAAAAAAAATCTGATTGCATTAATTCAACAAAAATTGTGATTAATCCAATTTTGTATTATGTATGTAGTACTTTTTCTTTCTTTCTTTCTTTCAAACTCCTGAGAATAGAATTCAATCCATAGATACAATTTTGTTATTTTAATGAACTTCATTTGATTTTTCTCTGATAGATATTAAAATTCAATTTAAATAAATAAATTATATAATTTAATAGATACTGACTAAAAAAGGAATAAGAATTTGAAATATTCTGAGGAAGTAACAAACCGACACATCTGTTGTTAAGTCGATGAAATCTAAGATATTTCATTGACGTTTTTTTAGTTTCTTAGTACAACTGTACTTGAAAATCTCAAGATTTTCAAGTTTTAATAGTAAGTCACTATGTTTGAAGTGATTATGAGTTCCAACAGTTGAGATCATGAGTCAATTGAAGCTAGACCACCATGGAAAACCTGGGAGCACTGGACGGCCGTTTCATCACTGATGACAATGGTGGATGTGTCGCCCAATTTTGTGGATCAGTTGAAGTTAGACAGTAACACCGTTGGATACCGGCTCAGTGGTCTAGTTGGTTAAGCACCTGGCGCGAGACTGATAGGTCCTGGGTTCGAATCCCGCGAGGCGGGGTCGTGGATGTGCACTGCTGAGGAGTCACACAATAGGACGAGACGGCCGTCTAGTGCTTCCAGGTTTTCCATGTTTGTCTAGCTTTAATTGACTCATCATCTCAACCCTTGAAATTACTATAATATCCACAAAATCCCTTCTGATTATGAGTTCACATAGTCTAAGAACGGAACAAAGACACTGTGACCAAATATAAATAAGCTAGCTGCTGTTCCGATGCATCTCAGCTCCGCTAACTAGAGAGAGAAGTCCAAGTTCGAATGGAGAAATATATTCCACAAGCAACTAGAAGCACGAGCAACCACGACAAGTCTAGTCGGAAATACACTCATTTATTGGTTTGTACATCCATTTTTGATTAATAATCAGAATAAATCACATACATGAAGAATAATTCATACAAGAGTATCGTATATGATACAGAATAAAATGTCATCGGGGAAAACGAAACAAATACTATACTGAATGATCATCAAATTGAATGAAACGGAATTTATAAGAAGAATATATTTGTAAAATCTCAGCGAATGAATTTTAAGTAAATCCAACGTTTCGCCTGGCAATCTGGTCCGGCAAACGGAATTAATGTTGAATAAAAATCATAATGAGTAAATCAATCTAATTTTGACTTTTCATTCCGTCATAACATGAGTAAAATATCATTTCAGTTAATGAATCTTTAAGTTATTGACTCGGATTATAAACTTTAATCCGTTTTGTGATATACTGCAATTTTCAGTGAATGTCATCGAGAGATTATTGCCAAAAATCAAACCAATGGGAGATACAACTAAAACAAAGAAGTAAACAATGACGGTTTTAAGATCAACAACATCGAAGTCTACAGGACAAGATGTGAACCATATGTGGAGAAATTCGAACACTTCACTTCTACCTGAAGTTTGTGCTGATGATGTTCAGAAGAACAATGAAAGCTCCACGACCAAACCATTCAGCTCAGAGAACAAAACTCTATCAAAAAGAGATTACTGCTTTATTTGTGATATTATTAATTTGAGAAATTCTGGGTTTCTAGTAGAGATTTTAATGGACCGATGTGGAATTATTCAATTATGAGCACATGAAGTAGTTAAGTTAAAAAATATAAAATTATAACATTCGAAAACGATCTTCTGATTACTTCAGGTGTAATGATTTTCAAAGATACTCGAAAATAATAACAGTAATGACAGTGGAGTTTAATATGTGTCGGATGGAGACAGTTATCCACTTCAGACAATAGATGAAGGGTTACGCAAGATTATGGATTGATTGGAGTTAGACATTTACACCGTTGGATGGCGCCTCAGTGGTCTAGGGATTAAGCGTTTGCACATGAAACCAAACGTCCTGAGTTTGGATTCCACGTTTGGAATCGTTGTTGCTGGCTGCTCAGGAGTCCCGTACTGGGACGAAGTTGCCTTTCAGTGTTTCCAAGCTTTCAATGGTGGTCTAGGTTAGATCGATTCATGAATTTAACTATCAGAAACATTACTACAGTCTCTACAAATCCCCATTCTGATAACGATGAATTTATCTCCCAACTAATTTTAAATCAAATCTAATTAACTGTTGGATCATTAAAAGAACTGTGTTTTGACCTGTATTGTTCGACGAGATAGACTTTAGAGTACTAGCGTTTTCTACTATTTTCTTGAAATTTTCAATGGATGTCTTGGATAATATTATCTACAAATATCAAAACAAGCTAAACGTTTGGATTACTGTTGCTATCTATATTAATATTCAAACATAATACATTCCATTATGAAATAATATGATATGGTTAAATTTTTAAAAATGGTATTTGAATTTTGTCCTTCAGTCAAGATGGGCATCAAGCCGTCAGAGCTTAGAGCGAATTACAGCGAAACCATATATAAGAAGTGATGTGAATGGTAGTCAACTACAACGTTATTTCACATTTCCCATCTATTATCGTGTACCACATTATGAAGAAGGTTATTGGACACAACCATATTTCGATTGTGATGGTCTGGTAAAAGATTGGCTTATTACATATGCAACGCCATTTTTCGGTGTTGTCGGTGAAGAAAAAGCTTTAAGATTTATGTAAGTTATATTTTTCTTTTTTTTAATTTGAATTTCGTATTTATTTTACGTACAGAAATGAACCTCCAAATGAAGATCTTTCACAGTAGTTTGTTGATTTTTAAAGTTCAAAGTACAAAACGTCAGATCTCATTGTTCAGTAACAATTAGCAGTCAATAAAAAACACAATAGCATGATTCTAGTTTTATTCAAGCTGTAGGTTTAATTAAGTCAAGAAAATTCAGATTTGAATAATTTTAGATCCATTTAAACTAGTTTAAATATCAAACGATACTGCTCAGTGTATATGTGACGTTGAAGCATGGTTTCCAATTTAATCGAAGTACAGGATGTATAAGAACTTCAGAAGTCTTCAGGCCAATGTAGTTCAAGTATTTAGTTATATGCCTACGCTTCGGTGTGTCAGAAAGAACTGGGACAGTAGCCATGTGCTGAATGATATGCCTGTAATGTGTAGTCAGTTGTAGCAAATACGTTTCCAAGGAAGTGATGAACACCTACTCTTCCAGGTGGGTGAATATACCCATATGTATGCTATGAAATGCATGGGATAAAACCTGTGCTTTACCGGTGTGCATGTAACGTATATTTGCTCACACGGTAGGTATACTTGTGTGTAAACCAAGAGACACTCGAATGAAAGTTCGTGTGTTACCTAGTATGCATTTAGACTATCCCTATCCAGGGTAAGTGAAAACTTTAAAAATCATGTACTTACTTTTCGTACGAAACCCAGACACGCTCAAAGACTTGCGAGGCCGCTGTTCCCCATAACATCACATCCACGCGGCGGGTTTGTGAGGCTTGAAAACAAGGAATCCATCCCAAAAGGGCCTGTGGATTCCATCAGAAAAGGCTTTACCAACCAATCTGGCTGGAATACCACACCATAGCATTATCACATATATTAAATAAAATATTATCGTGTCAATATTTTGTCAGTAGTGAAAAAGCAGTAAGATTTGTTAAATAGTTGACTCTGTAATCTTTAAGTACAATTTAATAATACCAGTTTATTTAACTTTCAGTTACACTTAGAAGACATTGACAACATCTGATACAACCTCAGTAATGATGAAGTTGTTTTACTTGTTATTCATTGGCGGCATCAATGTATATTCTATTAGCTTTTTTTCCTTGTTTATTAAATAAAAATCATTATCTGCCAAAAATATCTTGAAGACCTTAACTTTCAAGGTTCGCTTAAAGACAATAACCGTTTACAGTCTTAAACATCAACAGAGAGTAAATGCAAACTCTTACAAGTAAAATTCATACACATTGAAAACAACAATGGCTAACTGGCTCCAATAGCTCAGTGATTCATGCGTTGGCATTAAGGGTAAAAGATCGTAAGTTCTGGCAATAGTATAAACACTGACACTACAATACTGGTTACATTCAGTTAATAAGTTAGAAATAAGGTAAAATGTATGTTCTAATTTTCTCTTCTAGTGCATACCAAACTTGATCATTTTTAGGTATAGTTAAATTTTATTTCCTATTTTCAGGGTGTTGTAACTGCTTCTGTAAAGCTAACATCATTGGATATAAACCAATGCCCTCAATCGTTTTATACACCAAATTTCTTTAAAAATACAGCAAGATGTGATTTCCGAAGCACATATGTATGTTCTACCCTTTGTTTATCCATGTATTTAATAGAATATATATGTATGTAATGAACAAACACTCCAGTGGAATAGACGAATTTACTGTTTAATACGTAATCATACAGCGATTTAGTAAAATGTTCAAGTCATGCATCACTTGCACATCTTTGTTTTATCTCAGAAGTTTCACGGTTCTTTGATCGTTGTTATTATCCTGATGGCGTTTAGTTTCCTTCTCTCTTCACTTCATTCTTATCTTCCCAATCTTCTGCTGCCAGGCATTCCACTCCCGTCTGGTGGTACATAGTACTTATATCTGCAAACACAAATAGTGCATACCATATATATATATAAAGAGAGAGAGAGATCAACATGATTCGACTAGTCATAATAAAGATCACTTAAAATGCAAACTGATATCAAATTATTTTAGTCCATACAGTGGAATGAAAACATTGTTTATTCAACAAGTTTACTAAAATGGCTCACCTATGGATATAAAACTAAAAAAAATCTAATCCTGTTTTATTACTAAAAGAAATTACAATAATTCTTCAACTTGATTAAAGCAGTAATAACTTAGATTATTATACTGTTCATAACATTTTACATAGCAACATAAATATTTATAAATGTATCCTGGTAAATTCTCTTTTTATTGTATAGTCTTCCCGATGTTTGTAATTTTTTTTGTAGTGTAGTAAAAAAATGGCGGGGAAAATGATTACATTTAGAAAAACACTAATGACATATTTGGACTAGTTTCTTTTTTTAATTAGATTTATCCATGAAAGCAAAATATCATCATTTAAATAGTTGAACAAACGAATAAAGTATGTAGCATAGAATACTGGCTAAGTCCGATCAATTAGAAATATAAATTAACACTTCATAAGTATATGGATGCAACTTCATGTTAATATAATATAGGCATCATGCATTTAACCAGTAACCACATACTTTTAAAATTAAGTTTGGCTAGGATTTTACATACAACAATGATTAATATATAACAGCTTGAGATTTTAGTCAAGGCATTCCATTTTTTCCAAGCATTGAATAGAGAAAGCAAACAGTCGCCCGAAAATGTTTTGTATTCATTGTTTATACAGTTTTTGAAAACATACTTAACGTTGAACGTATCCCAGAAATTAAGATTCATGTTACTGTGTGATACACATATAGTTAAACAGTAAATGTTTTTAACAGAGAGTAGTAGGTTATAAAAGGTTACAACTATGCCCTGCCTATATTTTCTAAAGGAGTTAGATAGTATTTATAATATTTGAATCTAAAATTTACTCTTTTCCTAATGAGTGTGTTGTATAGGGTCATTGCAAGAAAATGTTGACTTGAGAGGACGTTCGAGTTTGGTACTGATATATACACTTGTCGCATACTAGTTCAATCAGCAATTTCAGTAGGAAAACTTAAGATGAGTAGGAACCTTTTGTGACTAACTTGAATACACAAACCCATTCATTAATATAGATGTGTAGGCCTCAAAAAATCAAGTCAGATTTTCAACCAAAAGTGTATATCTACCTACTTTGTATAATTAAGTCAAATCAGTAGCATTCATTCATCAGTGTCTCTCATTTATCATCTGTCCTTGAACATATATGCCTGATTGGTCCAACCTTTCAGGATGGAATAAACTTAATTTGATGACTGGATAACATTCTGGAACAATTAATTAAATGCTGTTACTTATCCGTACTAAAAACGTATGCCAAACAGAAATATAGGGATAATCACTATTTTATTTCATTGATCATTACTAAGTAATATACACTATCGAATTTTTGTTTGACTCTTCCATTTTAACAGTTGAACTCACGAGTTGATCTAAACTAAACCAACATGGAAAATTTGGAAGCACTAGACGGCTCGTGACTTTAACTTTTAAAATACTACAATCTCCACAAAGCCCCATACTAATAATCTTCCGTTAGGTTCTCATCAGCTGCTTACAACCTAAAATATTTGAAATTTAACGTTATTATAGGTATTGACATACTTATACATCAGAGGACGATGAAAGATGAATATATATATAGCATGATGTAGCAAAGATTTCGTTAGAGTTAATGAGGTCATAAGATTTTGTTTCGAATATATAGAGTTTGGGAGGGAAGGTTCCAGAACATTGGATTAGTGATTATAAATCATGGAATTAAAACATTAGATTATTATTCAATGAAATAACTGAAAATAGATTAATGTTAATAAAGAGAGTTATGAATTGAAATTGGTCAGTTATCAATGATGTAATTATAAAATTCAGAAAGGAGACATTTCCTTGACACAGGACACGAAGTCGATATACTGAAGTCCTTCAAGGTGATCAACAAACAACCAAGTTCAAACCTCTCGAAATTTGCCGAAGCAATAGCAATCAAACGTTTAAAACCAGATCTTTGTATACAAAAAGAAACAGTAATAAGTCTTTCTTTGCCCTGGTAACATTAACCCTTCCCCCCTTTTATTTATTACGTCATTCCAACTCTCTGAATTTTATAATTACATCATTGATAACTGACCAATTTCAATTCATAACTCTCTTTATTAACATTAATCTATTTTCAGTTATTTCATTGAATAATAATCTAATGTTTTAATTCCATGATTTATAATCACTAATCCAATGTTCTGGAACCTTCCCTCCCAAACTCTATATATTCGAAACAAAATCTTATGACCTCATTAACTCTAACGAAATCTTTGCTACATCATGCTATATATATATTCATCTTTCATCGTCCTCTGATGTATAAGTATGTCAATACCTATAATAACGTTAAATTTCAAATATTTTAGGTTGTAAGCAGCTGATGAGAACCTAACGAAATAAAATGAATTCATATTATTCTGCACCAATCTTTGTTCTTGCTCTATTTAAGATAATAAAGGGAACCATGTGTATAATAATCTTCCATTTTATTTTATCCATATTTTAGTGTAAATTAATACCAAGACATTATTTCACATCTGGTAGTTATAAATGTGAATGCCGTCAAGGTTTCGAATATCCATTGAACGATCGTACTTGGTATTTTCATGGCGAAATGATGGAACGTGAATATCAATTAATGTTAGCTGGTAAACCTAATCGTTATGAATTATTACGATGTCGTCAAGGTGTCGCAAGTGGATTATCTAGTTCATCAGTTGTAATACTTGTGTCGGTCAACTTTGTAGTGATTTATTTGCATTCATTATAACTAAACAATCTTGAAGTATTTTTCCTTAAATGATAATAATAACAATACACTAACTTATTAGCATGTAATATTTATTTTCTGAAATATTTTGTAAATAAAATGTTTACTACTTATATGCTCTTATTAAGTAGCATTTCAGGACTATATGTACAATTTGTGAATGTGTTAGTATACTTCAAATCACTTAGAAAACATTATTAATCAGTAGTAGCAAAGGACTTCTGTGTAGGTAAGAATGTGATGTTCAGAGATCTTTAGAATACTTAGCTTTTTGTTAGTTATTTATATTCCCATAATTCTTAGCATCCAAAGGAACAGTTAAGTGTATTTGGTGTTATCGAGATCAAGTGAAGCAATACGTGGAAGTCTTAAAACCTAGTTACAACTGAAGAGTATTTATTACAATTGAATCAGAAGAAGTAAACGGAGTTATTTTGAAAGACTAGTAAATATACTTTACTATGATTAGAAAGGGTTTTTACAGTGATATAACTGACGAACTCGAACTTCGCGGTGGTTCTTGCATAGAAGTTCACTTAATCTACAAATGAAAGAATACAAGATTATTGGTGCAGAATGTTCATATGGGTTGCGGAATTGTTATGGTTTGGATTATAAACTGGTCTTAAGAAGATAACCATTGAGAACGCGGATGCACTTGACACCTGTTTCATCCTAATGTAGAACTCTTTAACAATACAGGTCAATGACCTCCACTACGTAGGGATCAAACTTAGGGCCTTCAGTCTCACATACGAAATGTTAACCGATAAACTACCGGTTAAGTCTAAACATGTATACCACCAGATGCCTGTCATTAATTCTATCTCACATATTGTGGTCGTAGAATAGCGATGTTTACAAGTCCCATACCATAATGAAATAGCTCTCCAAGGCTTTTTTTGGTTCCAAAAGTTGTCAACCTAAGTTTATCTTGTGTTTTAAACTGAGAATAACAAGGTCAAAACATTTAAAATAAAGTATAATTAACTCGTCAGTTTTTCGCAATTTGATTATAATGAATCAAATGATTGATGTGTAATGATTGTTGTCTAAATCAGTTCTAATGGAATAGAACAACCTCATGATATATTTTAAATGATTTGTAAAGACAAAATTATACGCATTAACCTCAAGTTAAAACAAAATGATGACGATAAAGTGACACTTAATGCACATGCACATATCTTAAAAGGTCATTCAGTAAATTAGTAGACAAGTAATGTTTAACATTTAATGTTTCATATTATATTTTAAAGGAAATTTTTATCGTTACAATATGTTTCTTTATATCGTCAATAACTCAAGGTTAAATCATCTTACGGTTTTGAGAAGATTCACTTATAATAGGTAGAAAAGTCATATATTCTGTTAAACACCTAATTATTTTAAAAAATGCTGCCAATATACATTAGACACTAGTCTGTGTTGATTGTTGAAAGAATCTTGTAGAATTTTCTTTGTCTATAGAGTTTCGAAGTTAAACAAATTAATTTACTATGCATTCTTTAGTAATCGTCTTATGTTGAATAATGAGTGATATGATGTATGTCCAAATTCATCATAAAATGTATTGTGCGAACTATGAACAGAGTAGGATGGTAGCAAGTAATGCAATCCAAGATGCACGTCTCACTCTACTCACGAATTGTCATCTGGATATACCTGCATTTCAGAGTTGAGGTTCACTTGAAGGCAATACATTCAGGTGCAAACAGAAGTGCGGTATCCACCTAGCTAATGAATTTAGATGGACACTAACTTGTGTAAACGGGTGAGTTTTGATTCATTTGTATCGGCTGTTTGAATCATCGTTGTCCGGGTCCATGTAAATTCGACTGACGAATTACAAATAGGATGAAGTGTGTATCCTGGGTTTTTTAACAGCTACCATCCAACTTCGCTTATGATACTTGTAACTTATTAGTAATACCGAGCCAATTCTCACAGGAGCACATATGCCAAAATAAACTAATTAATTGCAGTTCTAAACATCAGTAGGAAGATTCAAAAAACCAAAGGAAATGAGTATAATGTAGACCGTTGACAAGATCATATTGGGTAGGAGAAGAAAATGAAATATGTACAAATCTTGATTTACAAGTTATGACATTTGAGGCTTGTATAGAAGTAATATAACTTGTTTATTTAAATGAACACTTATATGTTATATTCCAACTCATCTATAATGAAATGTTAACTTGCCATGCATTCGATGTAACTTTCTATAACTTGATAAGCTTTGCTCATAGTGTACCATGTTTTTCTTTTATAACATACACTATTTACTTTAAATCTAGTACTATACGTTATAGTTACTGAAGTATTTTTGAAAATCTTATTACTTCATGTTTAACATAGATTTCTTTTGAGACGGATTCCCGGATCCTAACAACAGTGCAAAGATTAACAGTTAACAAGATAAATAGTTACTTCATTGTGATGGATTCTAAGTTGATTTACTTAAGGTTTCCAATCAGATATAATCTTATTGGTCCATGCTAGAACTAGTAAAACTTCACCTTCCATTATTGACTTTAAGAACTGATATCACACCGTGATTTTATCACGGCAAATCTTCTTCCAACCTATATCTAAATTAACTAGCATTTTTGTTGGACATATGTACCAAATATTCTAGATATCTCTGTTGATAATGATGCAGAACAACGTCAATTAATTTACGGTCTTTATGCAGAACTTTAACTAATGATACACATGTTCTTCACTTTCATGAACCAAGTATTACTGTCATCGCGTTTTTCAAAGTAAAATAATCATCAGAAAAGGGAATTCTCTGGAGTAGAATTATGACCTCTTGCTAAAAGTGATATGCGAATCGTTTTTATAGTGTAGTAAATTATTCAACCAGATGACAAATGTATCAAACCCTATTTTTATACCATTTTTTTGTCAAATTCAATTATAATACTCATGAAATATTGAAGCCCGTTATTCGAGGTTTACGAAATCAGTCTGACTACTAATAATACTTGGATAGGTACCTGGTATCTTAACCAGTTTACTTCCTTATTGATCAGATCATATTTGCGTCAAAGGAATATGATTTACTGGTACAATATGGAACAGGTCATCACAATGGTAAAACAGTCAAACGGGTATTGACAAGAACTTAAATATATTACGATAACTGTACCAAAATATTTTCATTTCTTCATTATTTCTTTTTGCATTAGTACAAAACAATGAAACTCAATACATACTGATTGTTGAACAATTTTAAAAAATGAAAATAGTTTGGAAATAAATATTTACATACCTACACTCTAAACGTGAATGTTATCATTTCTCCAACTAAACTAAAAAATCGAACCTATTGTTGGTCACAGGCTACGATGGAACTGCATCTCTTGACGTTGCCCCATTGTCTTGTGGATTAAACATCTAGGTCAAAGGTTCATTGAATGACCCCCTAAGTAAACTGCCTGCTTCACTTTGGGCGCCCACACAGTATTCAAGCCCTCACACAAATCGAATGATGAAATGTGACGAATATGTATTCGGTGCCTCCTTGTACCAATATTCATGTATTTAAATAAATAAATAAAAACTAAAAATTATCAACTCTGATTTCACAAATCTATCATAATAAAAGCAAAGCCATCAAACTACTGATTTGTGGAAAATGTAGCGGTATCAAATTTATCAAGTTATATCATTAGAACTCTGTTTATCATTCATTTGCATTAAATTATCTGATAACTATTGGAATATAAAATCACTGAGTTTGTTAACACACTGTATGGATATGCCAAATATACTTAGTTAATTCACTTTAGTATCTAACTTGTGAAATACATTCATACTAAGTACTTACTTAACTTACATTGAAAATTTTTCTATACGGATTAGTACTAGTTCCCTTCACTAAAAATCTACTTTAGTTAAAACTGTACAACTTGAAGAAAATAACTTTTAAACGAATATCCGTCTAGATTAGAATGAATAGTTTGATAGAAATTGGGCGCCGAGTATAAAGAAGTCATTATATATGAAAATATAATCTCAACGACTGATGATTTTGATTTTGATTATTACCCTGAAGAAGTTCAGGCAAGTTAAATGGACGAAACATTTGAATTATTTAAATTTCAATCGCTCACATTATTTCAAATATAATTTTCACATATAATAATACTTTTGACACAATTATTTTGGTTGGTTAAAATAACACCAATAATTTGATTGGTTATATTATGATAGTTTATGTAAATAGGGATTTAATTGAACGAATTCAATTAGTTCATGGAACCCGTAAATTCTTATATACTTTCATTTGAACACATTTACTAGCTATGTAATTAAGTTGTATTGACTTGCATTGGAAATTACATTTTAATTTAACATTTCTTTCTTTTGGCATTCTGTTAGGAAAAATAATGAATCTAAACATCACAACAAAATTCATTATAACATTTTTATTATACATTAGCTTATTCATTTCTTTATGTTCAACTGAGAAATATTTCCAAAGATCTAATTCTCCTTTTGATATGATAGATACTAGTAGTAGTAGTAGTAAGGAAAAATCACAAAAATCACATGATCACTTTATGTTAAATGATTCACCAGCATCGAATGGATATAGTCTATTACGTAATGATGTAATTCGTCAACATTTACATGTATGGCGTGGACATTCAGCACCATTATTACATGAACATTTGCCTATTTTACCACGTGCTCAAAAAGGTCAAGTATGTCATGTAGAAGTTGAAGAATTTCAACCGTTATTATCAATGGTTGGACATTTAGAACCTAAAGTAAGTTATATTAATATCCCATTTATATTCTATCGTTGTTGGTATTCTGGTATAGATTTTAATTAATCACTTTATCAACATAAAGATTTCCTATGTGAATCGTTCAATATTACTTGTAGTCACGTATTTAGTATATTTTTTAGGATAGTGTCTCAATAAAATATATTTAGGTATATCTGCACTACATTATCGATGTTCATATTATGGCTTTAATGTAATGGACATCGATTGAAGATCTAATTCATTGTCTACTACACTAATGAGTCAAGGAAGCCCCCAAAATGTTCAACATGAACTATATTCATTACTATTCATAAGAGTTTGTATTCGTTTCAGTATTGATATTTGGATATGTAGTGAATGTACTTTACATTTTCAATATATGTGCAATATCTTGTTCATGTAATGAGTAGATTCTACAGATGAGAGTATAACGTTTCCTAAGGAGTTTATTTTAAAGTGTACCTTTTAATTTATTTGCTTTTTCATCTGGCAAGTTGGGATGCTTCACAGTAGCATGTTCATAGAAGACATGTAGATAGATCTAGATGATTGAGATGAAATTCCCATTGAAAAGTATAAATTATAATAATCGTTAATTCGCAGTTGTGTGAAGTAATTTGAAAGAAAAAACAAATAAAAATAATAGATTATGGAAGATATAAGGGTAGGTCAAGACCATGATAGAACGAAGGGTTAAACTTACTGCTTTCGTAAACAAAGCTTCGGTTAGAGGATGACCATTGCCTCTAGCACACATATGTTTTTAGTTTCTATCCTTTTTAAGCCGATTCATCTGACTGTACGAATGACTTTGAAGGATAATTCTGGTGAAACAGAGAGATGAAAACTTAAACAGATGTTCCAGGATTAAACTTCCAAATGACTTTTGTGGTCCTTTAGATTGCCAGACAGGGCCAGGTTTTGAGATGAGCCTTGAGAGAGCACTGATTTATGTGGCCAAAATAAAACGTTGCACATCAGCAAGCAAACTCATAGATGCACAGTGATTTGGTTCATAGAAGGAGCTCGCTCTTCATACAACTACAAATTAAAGGCCGATTAAAGAAGACAATAAGAAAACCAGTCGAACAGAATACTGTTTTCAAAGTGCTCGAAAGTTTGGCTTCTGAGATTTCTGCTTTAGTCTCTTCTGTAAACTGGTTGTTCATAACAAAGGTTTTCTGTTGTTTTAAAAGCACTCTTTCACATTGTTATTTGAGTTTCAGATTCTTCTCACTGAATCCGGGTATATATTCATTGTTAATCAGTATCTGCCGTAGTTTACCAAGTATGATATCAAATGTATCATCAGTACAGATTTGTCTCACCTTCGTGAATGGAGAATAGATCAGGTTTCTTTTTTGTATAAATATATTAGATTTAATTAGTCACACAATTCTGAGTGTTGTAGGACTTGACACAAATCTATATACGTCAACTTAACAACAGTACATCAGAACAACGTGTCAGAATCATCCAAATGAATACCAAATAGAGTTATTATTTCTAATTTCCAGGGATATTAAAAATTAAAGATTAAAAATAGAGGAAATTGCTCAAAAAGAGAGCGATGAATTTGTAAAATAAAACTACAAAATGAATTGAAAGTTTAAGATCATAAAGTAAACGAAAAATTAACGCATGTTTACCATAGACTGATTTTCGACCGTATAGAACCAATGACTACGATAATTGTGTGGACCCTAGTCACGTGGTCTGCACATACATTTAGTGACTTTATGAACTGATGTCGCGTCTTGGTTTTTCCCACAGCTTTCTTCCTACATACCACTACATCAATCAAGATTTTAAGTCAAAGTAAACGGTAACAAGATTACTTTAGGCTAGATTTCTTTTCTTTTTTCGAAGCTTATCAATCACAGTTACATGTGAAATTTTATAACCTTTACCATTTATAGAATAAAAGAATAATGTGGTAATCTAAGAGCAAATTGAAAAAAACGGTATTATAATCTAAGGGAGTTTTTATTATTAAAACTAACTAATAAAAGTATAAGATCTATTCAGTGAGGAATTATGGCGCGGGTAAGGCATGAGAATGAAGAACACATTTTTTCTAGGGTCGTTCATACGATCAATAACGAGATATAAATGATGAATGAAAGAAGGTTCATCTCTTCTCATGAATTAATTGAACGCTTTTAATTAATCCTTTCTTTTTGATTTCTCTTCATTCGGAACTTTGTGTCGTTAATATGATTTTTATCATTAATCATAATTCAGCTACACTGTTCACATCGCTTCAGGCGATTAGCTCGTTATAACAGTTAGAATAGTCCGAAAATAAATGACTAGAAATGATCAAATATCTGAATTGGCGCTTTTGATCATTTTATCAATCATATAACGATTGATTTATCTAACAATGTAGAGATACCTGTGTAGTGAACGAGAACATCTTTGAGGACAACCAAATATATTTCAGAATCTCTTAGTAAAATCTGAGAACCATACAGTAAATAATTCGTTTGCAAAATATCCATTAAGTTTCTCAGAATTTGTTATTCTTTCATTTTTATACCAATCACTCTGTTTTCGATTTCTTTTCTTTGATCTTCTCAACCATCTGCTGCCAGGCACTCTACTTTCGACTGGTAATACATACTAGTTATATCTGTCAACATCAGTAGCACACACCACATACGTACTGATATATATGAGGAATGATGTAGTCGAATGAAAGAGTAATATGATTCTTAGATTACGCGAAATTAATACTTAGATGAAAAACATAGATTCTAACTTCAACAAATACCTTTCTATGGATGTTTAAGGTTCGCTTCGTGAACTGAACGGTTAATTCATTATGAAATTCAACTATTACATGATGCTTGAAAGCTAAGTTCTTTTCATCAAGTCTAGAATATTTGATGAATATCCATCTTTAAGTCAAATTTTTTCTAGGGGAATTCTTTCTTTCTGTTTTATATTAGATTACTGAATATTCATGAAAAAGGCACATAATTGTGACTATTCAGCTCGAATAATGAAAAATATTTTTTTTTCACTCAAATTACTTTTAACATACTAAGCAAAGATAGATTGTGGCTAACAGTAGAATCCAGGACTCACGTTCCGTCCTATTTGGGACTCGTCGGATGGATGTACCTGTATTCCAGAGTCGGTGTTCACTCTGGGACTCGAACTCAGTATCGTAGGCTCCAAACACCACCTCGTTATCCACTTAGCCACTGAGTCCTGATATTCACTTGCTTGTGCAATCGGGTAAAGTCTAAATTCACTTGATATTGTTTATTTGAATCTTCCCATCAATGTTTAAGACTGAAATTGATCACTCTCTCTCTTATTGATATATATGCACACTCATCGTATTGCCTCAATATTACCACTGCTAGCCATTATCCATCTTGGCTTAGAATGTTTGTGAATTAAGACAATACGCACAGGATGTACATATGCCAATAAGTGACTGATCAATTACAGTCTTAAACATCACTACGAAGATTCAAGTAAAAGAAATACCAAATGAACTGTTTTACTTTTAACATAATCCATAAAGATACATTTCATTATTTATCATTATTTTCCCAAGTATTCATTAGTTTTAAGATTAACATTTGTCATTTACATAATAGTAAAACTAGTATTACATAAATCTTGTTTACTGTAATGTTCTTCTAGAAAAACTCAATTAAATATGATAAATTAACGATCATAAATCATATTTTTGTTGTTATTGTTGTTATTGTCAATTCAATGAATCATCATTGTTGGATTTCATTTATAATTTCTTAAATAAATTATCATTTTCAATAATTTTACAAATGACAATATAATAAATCAAGAAAAAATTAATTTAAATCAATTCTGAAAAACCAAAAAAAACTATGCCCACTGCTGAAGAGTCCTATAATAGGACGAAACGGCCATCCAGTACTTTCAGGTTTTCCATAGTGATATAGTTTCAATGGACCTGTGATTTCAATTATTAAATTACATTGACACTTATAATGGAAACGTTAATGTATTGTAAGTTATAAGTTCATTAACTAAATATATATATATATATATATATATATATATATATATATATATATATATTCATTACATTAATATTCAGTTGTGTAAAATTAATCTTTCGTTTAAGTGTATAAGTGAAAAGATTGTTATTATAAGCAAGTAGTAGAATCCAGGATGCGTGTTACTGCTTATTTGAAATTTATCATCTGAATATACTTGTATCCCTGAATTGTTGTTCATTAAGAGACTCGAACCCAGTGCCAAGTGAATTCAAAGATTGGTATTATTTATTATCTAAAAATAGCATAAAAATTATCAATAAGATAACACATGAAGTGTTTAACAGATGTTTGAACTTATTTTAGGTTATCAGTTTTTTTTCGACGGGGAGTGGGACGATGGAATAAAACTAACTAATCATCTTCATTGTTATTAGCCCAGTTACAAAAATTAAACTGATAGATTTGTAAACTAATGAATAATAAGTTAAATGAAGATTCTAAGTTTGATGTCCCGTAAAATCATGGATGCACCTTCCAGAGTGATCCTATACTAGGATGAATTAGCTGTCTAGGGCTTTGTGGTTATCAATGGTTGTTTTACTACGATCATGATATAAACTATTAAATGAATTAAGTTGATAAGCTACATAACGAGGATTTAAATCTTTTGTTACTCCGTAATTCATTAAGCTGAAACTAACTGTACCAAATTTTATAACTATCCATAATCTTTTCAAATAGGCAATGATTATTTCCGTGTCAATAAGTGAGTATATTTATTGAAATTTCGGCCAAAACGTTTTTTTATTAGTTTCAATCAGGTAATAAAATATACAATACCTTAAACTATAGTAGTATTCAATTTAATGAAGCGAGCAATGATGGTTACGAGTCCCTGGGGTGAACTTTATTTTTGGGATGCAAGAAAATCTATCTAACGAGTAAAATATAGGACGAAACGTGGGTTCTGCTTATAATGAACTGTTTTCAGTTTAGATTCCGGTTATATCTTGGTTATTTTATTATCCTACAAAGTGAAACATCATGATAACCAATAAATAATTTCTTGGTTATTTGACTTTGTGATGTTTATTTGAATTTTCAATGAAATTAGTTGAATGGAAGAGCCAAATTTTTATATGATTTTTCATTTGACCGTATAATAATTGTTCAATTATCAGTGTAAAATGATAATAGAATAACAGAGTGTTATCGCGCGTAATGTGAATCAAAATTAATACTATGTGATTAGTTCACTTTTTCGCGAATCAACTTTATTTTTCAAACATGAACTTAAGTCTTAACATAAGGGTTTGATTATTTGTGTAAGGAGGTTGTAGAAATGGTGGACATTTACAGTTTACATCGCAAAATGATCTTAATTAAACGCCCACTGAAAATTAGAAGGCAACAGTGGATATATGCAGTCTCTCTGGGGGTTGGACCCAGAACAATAAAGTCTTGCGATAAGCGCTAGACGTTTAGGTTGCATAAATGAAATCCAATGGTTTACATTTCTTAAAATTCAAATCATTTTTAACACTGAGCAATTATCATCTAATTCCATTTGTAAGTAACCAACTCAATTTGAATATTGGTGAACTCCACAAATCTCACGTTTTCAGTAGAATGTGAAGAGTTATTTCTTGAAACTAATCATTAATGAACGTACGATTATTATTTGTGTAACTGGTTCAAGGATATTGTTATTTATTTATTTTAACACGTAGATATTGGTACAAGGAGGCACCAAAATACATATGCGTCACACAGATCTCATTTGATATGTGTGAGGGCTGTGATACTGCCCGGGTGTCCAGACTGAAACAGATGGATACTGTTAAGTATCCTAACTATAAATGTTTTTCATAATTGAAACTTCGAAAAGTTTATTTTCCACCGTAATATATCTAGATTATTAGTGTATATTTTATAGGCATAATTGTTGATGTATATCACATTAAACAATGTATAAAAACAGAACAGTTAACTTCATAATATAAACTATTTAATGTAAAGTACATTCTTACATACTTTGTATCTGATCTGTTTTGTTTTTGTTTCGTTTTTTATTGAATAACATATCTACATTGATAATATTTTGATTTAAGTAGTACAAATTCACACATAGAAATACATAAACACCTTATAAGAATTAATATAAAATATCACTATAAATCTTTATTATTATTTTCTATGGAAAGAGAGAAAAAACAAACAATTGATCATAAAACTATGAACTAAATTATTCGGTTTCTAATTAGTTTTTATATGGAATAGTTTCATATTCATCTATACATTCTGTTATTTTTTTCATAAATATAATGAAGAAGTAGAAGAAAGAGAGAGGGAAGGAAAGAAGGAAGGAAGAAGAGAAAGAAAGAAAATCGAATGAATTCAAGTCGGATTTTTCAAAAAAAAATTAACTGGATTACTTAAATGACGTAATATGAAAAATGAAACTTGATTTATACAACATTCAGTAGACAGTGTACTTGATTGATGTGAGATTACAATCTCCTGTTTTGGTTTGGGCTCTTGGACAGTATCTTAGACTTTACACAAATCAAATGATTTGCATATATATATATATTTGTTGCCTGATTGTACCAATGTTTATGTATTTAAATAATGATGATAATAATAATAGCATCATGTAGAAAAATTTCAACAAATTACAAGAAATGAAATTTCCTTTGTCATTCACTTGCTTACGTCTGTTGCCTCTCATAGAGGAGTAAGGGCCACTCATTAGCATTTTCCATCCAACCGGTTTGTAATGATATGTTATTATCAATTGATTTGAAACACTCATAAGCCAATTAATTATCTATTACATAATGTTATTGAATGTTTGTTCAATCAATTGTTAAATATATTCATAATGGATTGATTTTAGAGTGTAGAGATGAACTTCATGTTTGTCTAGTCTTCTAGTGCTAATTAAATCCAATGAAACAAGTTGAATTGTGGCCACTAATCTAACTGACTTGACTGATCAGATTTGATCATCATTAGAGGGGTAGAGAGATACGTCACTCACTGATCACTAAGCAGTGATTAATGAACTGCTTCATGACTAGGGAACGCTAGCCACAAGATAAATAAGTCAGTGGTAACATCTGAGACTGCGAAACTGGGTTTTATTCTAATTATTTATAAAACATCTAACTTTTTTTTTCTCAATTTGTAACGAAATGTACTTTCATTTCACAATGTTAATTCAATTTACTTAATATTACTATTATTCTTGTTAAAAAAAACTAGACTTTGTAAACAAATACAAAAGAACTAAATGGTTTTTACATAATGTTCATGAAGTGAACATAGTTCTAATTTAGAAATCAAAGTTTACTGTCTAATTTAAATAAAACATTAAACATATTCAGTTCAACCTTATCCGGACTGTTTGAAATGACACTGGGAGGACGGCCCACAGATGAACTCGAAGAAGCTCTAAGAAGCTCGGAAAGAGCTGAAGATATTCCAGAATCTCCACATACAGCTATCCTACTGGACAAATGGTAAAAACCACTGTATGCGAATTGGATGACCATAATGATGATTTCGTTTTTACTGAAAACTATAAATACCTGACAGTTTTGTACAACATTTGACACTGTTTGGAATAGCATTCCTTCCACTTGTCTTCTGTCTTCTTGTTTGCGATTCGGAAGGTCCTAGAATTCTGGTGCTCAATTTATAAACGGTATATTAAGAATCTAATCTTTAGATATAACAGACACCAATTGTAGTTCTTCCAATTATCATAGCCATTATCGCCAAAATTGATAACGTTTCTCACTGTTCAACAATTTATATCATTTCAATTCCATGCTGTTCACTTCAATCCGCTCACATAATTCATACTTAAACATACTAATAACTGTAAAAAGAGAAATAGTGTGGAATAATTAAGAAAATGCGATTGTAGGTAATGTTAAAATATACTAAACATTTATCCTTGCTTTCTGAGAATAGTTTTTCAACCGCTTTTCAAAATAATTATGTGGCGTATGTTACTTATGCCGACATAATTAGTACATAACATCAGTCAGAAATGGAAGGTCTGGAAACAGAAGGTTGCAAAGACCGAATAGAAGAGAGCGAGAACAGAGAGTGATTGATATAGAAATGAAGGAACAAAAATGTTTGAAGCAATTGATGTAGATTTTGCAAATGAATTATTTACGGTGTGGATCTCAGATTTTACTAAGTGATGCTGAAATTTTGTACTAAGACACACTTGGTTGGTCCCATTGACGCTCTCGTTCACTACAATTTTATTAGTGTAAAGAAATAATTTTCATTAAGCAAATGCGTTCTATGTTATAATGATAATAAACTCCGTAAAAGTGTTACCGTGGTTTTATGGTGTATAATTATGATTTACAGTTAGTGTTATATCCTAGTGAAGACTAACTTGCGGGTAACTTCTGAGAACTATTAATAAACTATATATATATATATATATATATATATATATATATATATATATATATATATATATATATATATATATATATATATATATATATATATAATTTCCTATTGAACTAGTCAACTGTCCTAGCTTCAGACTTTCTTTAGACTTTTGGCCATCATGATATTCGTTCATCAGTTTACTTGCTATTTTGAGACAGATTACATTGACTGTACAAACTGTACACTTGCGTAATGAACATTCATTCTTCAAACTGAATAGCTATTCAAAAATCAAGAACACAAATCAATCAACAGTTTGATCTTTGAATATATACGTCCAACTCTGGTCACTTGTTGTTGTTTAAATAATGGTATAAGATTATCAAAATAATCAAAAGAACTCTCTTAAAAATGGTTTGGATGAAAAATTCATGCAGATTTGTAATTATGACGATCATCAGTTTAAGACTGAATTCTGTGTATTAGAGTTAAACGCATTAATGTTTAGCTTGACAACATTCACAATGAAATTCTTAACAGGATCATAATATATCTTTCTAAATGTCATCACATCATCGCTTTAATTTTCTCTTCACTCATCTTTATTTTTTAGAAATTCGACTGTTCTTTTGCTAATGGAGACGTGATTTATCGTCATGAAGGTAATCCACTGATAAATCATGATCATGTACAAGTGACCATCTTTTTCTTTCGTAACAATAATTCAGTTGTACAAACTGTTGATATAATGATCAATATAGAGGACCCACCAACACATTTAATCAGTAATTACGATATGGACAATGTTACTAATCAAGTTATTCATAATAACAATAATACTAATACAATGAATGACAATAATGATGACGATAAAAAGCTTAAAATGAAACAAGGTTATTTAATAGGTCCAATACCACAAAGTAGAATTCAATTATTGAAAGAGTTAACAGTGAAAAATCTTCGAGCTACAAGTGAAAGTATTAGTTCAGATATTTTGAAGATACGGTAAGAATTAAGTCAATAAAATTGTACATTTTTTAATTCACTGTTAAATATTTTGTTCATTAATGCATACTGTTAAAAATAACGGTAGTAGTGTGGTGTGTGCTACTGATGTCGATAGATATAAGTCGCATGTATTACCAGCCGAAAGTAGAGTGCCTAGCAGCAGAAGGTTGAGAAAATCAAAGAGAAGAGAACGAGAACAGAGAGAGATTGGTATGGAAATGAAGGAACATCAAAGTCTGAAACATTTGATGAATATTTTGTGAATGAATTACTTACTGTATGGTTTTCAGATTTTACCAACATATTCTGTTATATCGTGTTAAACAGAAATATTTACTGTGTAATAAATTAACTACTCAAATACCACGATTTCTCAATATAATCAACTAATCATAAACAAACATTCGTTTACAAATCGTGAGTTGGATTAAACAATTCAACTTGAATGGGAATTCTCTGGATTGTCGATCGACAGATCCAAATAGAAATCGAACCAACGTTTTCTTGATAAGAGTATTTCTTTCAAATTACTAAGTTACAATCGAAAGGTTCACAGTTCTAATCTCAAACGATTTGCTATGCAGCCTGACGACCATTAAATATTACTGTCATGGGTACTTATAACTGACAAGAGATATTCTGTGTTCTTTGTTTTTCAATCAGTCGATAACAATCTTTAATGAAAATCATTTACAAATAATGATTGTTTTTTTAAATCTGTTATTTAGGCATTCGCTGAACCGACGAGATTATAACTTATGGACGAACCAACCAGGTATAAGATAACAAGTCTCGGATTTTGGCTCAAAATTCACTCAACCATTTAGATAAATGAAAACCCTAAGTCTAATTCTTAACATTAACCATCAACTGTAAATCATAATTCAAATTTCTCACACTAATTTATAACCCTCATTTGGTCCTAATTGTTAGGTGAACACTCTCAAGGTCAGTCTAGCGTCGCTCCAAGGTCATCCATAAATTATAGTTTCACCCACTAAACATTATCAACGTTTGTACAAAATAAAGATGTAACATTTGACATTTAACTCAAATCAAATACTATTTTTGAAAAATAATTAAATTCATCAGTGGATACCATTTGGGAAAAAAACACAAATGGAACTTAAAAGAACCTAGCGTTCAAACACAGTGAACTGATGTAACAAAGATATAGATTCGGTAAACATACAAAAAATAAAACCCTTATCACTGAACCAATATCTTACATTCACTTGGTATTGTTGGTTTGAGTCTTCCCATTGATGTTTAGGACTGTAATTGATAAGCCTCTTATTGGTGCACCCAGTAGACGAATCCAAAATAGGACGAAACGCGTGTCGTGGATTTCACTGCTAGCTACTATCCATCTTCGCTTATAATATCTCAAATTTCAAAGTTTATGTGATCACTGGAATTAAAATAATGTAATCAATCACCTTAACTTTCATCCAGTTTTCGAAGAACATTCAGTTTAAGAAATAAACCAAGTCTAGAATCAAAACAGTTATCATGGACAACTAACTCAAGTTTGATCACTGATATGATCGTTAGTGTATCATGATTTAGAGTTCTTGATTTGGATAAAAAGATGTTTACATTTTCTGGACTTTCAATGCTTCCTCAGATGATATCAGTCTATTCATGTTCATCCTAATCATGTTCAAAGATCAATTAATTTCCATGTCATTCGTAAGCATCTAACCTTTGTATTTCTTTTTAAATAATATTTTCATTTATCTAGTTACAATTTAGATAAAGAAGAATGTCGTTTTGCTTATGTTAGTCCAGAATATTTAATAAATAGAGGACAATTGGCAAAAAATACTTCTGATTGGTCAGTATTAGGACGTTTAGGTGGTACACAGACACCAAAACTTGGTATGCCATTAACTTCAGGCAGTGCTGTTGGTGGAGTACGTAGATGGCCATTATTTGGACAAATTGTACATTTTAATCGGACTATGGTTGATTATATTGATAGAGATTGTCAAGAAGCACTATTGCAAGGTTACAGGTAAGTGATGCGTATATATAAAGACAATTAAGTTCATTTTAACAATTTAGACCATTGCATCTCGATTCAGTAGTCTAAAGTTTAGTCGCTCTGTACAAGATCTGAGTCTTGGGTTCAATTATTGATTGAGTTTAAGATGAAAACTATTGAAGGGCCCGTTACTAAGATAAAACAGATGTTTGTTTACTGTTGGTATCGAACAGTTCTCTAATTAAAGTCATTTTATGATATAAACTTTCAAATCAGAAAATCTCCTCATATTTTCTATACAATAATGAATTCATTTTATTCAACGGATTTATATTGATCTGTCACTGAAGCAAATTTAAAATTGTACCCTATCCGAAGAGTTTATTTTGAAAATACACCATCTTTTGGTATTCTGGAACATACAAATTATTTTCTTTCTTTTTTCAAATATACTTAATTGGATATGTTCAACCGATCGTTCCCTAAATTGTCGCAACATATTACCAGCTGATAACTTTAATGAAAACCGATCTTATGCATTACTTACTTACTTTCTAATCGAAAAATTGGATACCTTTCAAAAATAGAACAGCTAGACAGTAAAATATATACGGATGTACAGCTTAAGTGAATGATTTCTTTGAAAAGAAAATTTTCTTCGCTAAATACTACTTATTCTTATTCAATGACACAGTGGGTTATTTTAATTATTTGAAATAGATCATTTAAATAAACTTTCGTTCAAAGCAAACATGTGTACATGTCGATAGGATTTGATCTGCACTAAGAAGGACCTGACATACACCCAGTGATCAGTCAATGGTAAATACGTCTCAGTCCTACAGGAGGCCGGTCGTGGCCTGAATATCTCAGTGGTAACGTCTCCGACTGTGAAGCAAGATGACACATGATCAAACCCTTCAGAGAGTATCAGTTCCCTTAAGATTACAGGTACACCCTGCTGACGAGCGCCATGTAGCACAAAACCTAGGTCCAGGGTTTCCCGTTGACTAAATTCAACCACCATCTTATCATTTGTACATGGTCAAATCATTTCAAATAGTAAACAGTTGAGATAAAAATAAGGTCAAACTATTAATCAAATGTGATTCCAATAAAAATTGTCTGTGATCACCGGCAGTTATGACACAAATCTGCTTTCCTTCCTAATTTCAGGAGTATTTCATTTTATATGATGTTCGGGAGTTTTCACACATAACTTCTAGTAATTTCTGATACATAAGGATGTATTAAAATGAAAACAATATTTTATAGTTTACATCACATAATCATGGTAGTTAGAAAATCATAGGAAACTAGGAATTACTAGGTAGTTGTTTCGTAGTAATATAGGATTTCTCACCAGGATGCGTTCTTATTTCCACTGGGGATCGAACTCAACACTTTCAGGTTTCGTGGCAAGAAATATCGTGAACTGATTGGAGTTGAACACGTAAACCATTAGATATCGGGTCAGTGGTCTATAGGCTAAGCGATCTCATGAAACCTGAAAGTTCTGGGTTCGATCTACAGCTAGGTTGTGGATCAGAGTTGATGTTAAGTTCCATATTAGAAAGAAACAACTGTCTAGTAGTTCCCGGTTTCCAACGGTTGTTTAACTAAAGTCATTCTGTGATCCAAACCATAAAATTGAATGATTCCTAAAATTCCATATACAAAATGAGAACAATATTGTACGTTTAACTGATCTATGATCAAAATATCGATAGTTTACTCAGAACGATTCATTTTGAACTAAATTTCGACTTGATATTCGAACTGATTTCAATTATTGTCTTTTAATCCTCTAAAACAGATGAAAAATCTATCTGAAATTCATTTCCATACCATTTTTTCAATTAGCAATGTAGTCATGAATATTCTTAGTTGTCACAACTTGACTAGCTTGTCTCCCATGCGATTTTACACATATGTACAGTAATTTACTATCGATCGTCATGCCTGACAGTGTGACTTTTCAGTTCATTGAAAACCCACAGAAAAAGTGAGAAGGTGAGTCATTGAGTGAGAGACAAGATCCTATCATAAAAATGAAACTATAATTGTAAATTTGACAAACTTTATCAATAATACGTGGGAAACAAACTCGACCTACCAAAGCATGATAAATGGAATAAATATCTGATGGTTTCCGTAACAAAGTCCGTCCAATACAATTTCATACATCATTTTTCCTTAGTTCATCCGAAAAATAATTTTATATCAGTTGACTCGTAAGCTTACATAAATGAGACTTACTCACTTACTTGTGCCTTTTACCCCTCGTGAAGGAGTACTAACCTCCCGCCAACATACTCCATCGAACTCTGTCTTGTGTAATCCCTTATATATTGCGTAATAGTATGATTAGTTTTGTTTGTCTTTCCTAAAATCAGATCACTTTATTTTGATAAACTGTTTGATTTTGTCTGTCGTGTAACAAATTCTTGATACAATTTTAACAAAAACAACTTCCTACCCCCATAATTAGCCCTTACTAATCAACCTTAGAAATTAAGTATGGCGTAAAGAATAATTTTAATTTAGGTGTATTACATATATATGTATTTGCAGTATATTCGGTATTAAAATGATAAACCGACCACATAAAATATTGGCGAACCAATTAAGTAAAAATTGTCTTTGACCATCAAAGAACATGAAACTTGGTTGTTGTAGAGACTTAGATAGCCTTGAAGAGTCAAACCATTTTCAATAAGGATGTTGAAGATTTGCTTAAAAAACGATACTTATGACTATCAAGATCTGTCAAATAATTCCCATCTCATTAGTAACAATTTGAGTGATTAAACATGTTATTCTTATATTGCAACTATATTTGTTAAACATCTTGACTGTATACTCATCCTTGAGCTATGCAGTTTCCATGTGACTTAACAATAGCATATGACTAGGTTAACCAAAATGATTGAATGACGAATGAAACTATAACTTAATAAATAGAGCAAGAACAAACATTGATGCAGAATAGTATGAATTCATATTATTTCGAGGTTTCTCGTCAGCTGCTTACAAACCAAAATTGTGATAGAATTTTACATGGAGATAGTGTGAAACAATTGACATAAATGAGTGTAAATAACTTGATTACAATAATAACTATATATATATATGCTAGAAACAGGTCAGAGGTCAAAAGAGGGGGGGGGTAATCCAGAGTGGGTGGTGTAATAATTTAGTGAAGTTCACAATTTGTGTGATAATTGTAGAGATTAATGGAATTAAATAATGATAAGTAAATGATAATGACAAGTAAATTTGGAACCTATCTCTTGTTTAAACCTGTTTTTAATATCACATGCATCGTTATTATTATTGAAAGAACTGAATGAGTTTCTAAACAATACAATTTATGTTTTGACATGCACATCGATCTTTCATTATCAAGTTTTTCATCCTTGAACTTGAACTTTATTTATTCCTTCATATCAATCTCTCACACATGCATACATACATACACACTCACACACATACGATTTGTTACTCAGTTAAGTATTTCCATGTAGTTGAATTCATCACATGATTTGTAGTCAACTGACTCATTTTATCCTATTTTACAAAAAATCAACACCCAAATATGATTGGTTTAACACAGTATAATCCTGATTGTTAAAAAGCTATATATTTCTTTGATAATTTTGATTTTGATTATTACCCTGAAGAAGTCCAGACAAGTTAGCTGGACGAAACGTTGGAATTAGTTAAATTTCAATCGCTGAGAATATTTCAAATATAATTTTCACATATAATGACTTCTCTATACTCGGCGCTCAATTACTGTCAAACTATTCGTTCTAATCTTGACGAATATTCGTATAAATGATAAGGTAGATTACGTAATAATAATAAATAGGGTTTGGAAAGTTAAGATGATTTAAGAGGATCAGGTGATGGAAATGTGTGAATAAAATTTATTTAAAAAAATTAGGTAATAGGGGGTATAAATTATCTCAGAATAAGTAAAGGAATAAAATAACCAAAAACACAAAACAAACAGAAACAAAAAGATTACCAGGGTAGTGACAAGTTTATTAAAGTCTCTTTTTGGATGCATAAGTCCGGTAGTAGTAGTAGTAGTAGAAAACTAAATGCTTGAACAACTAAGTCATCAATTGGATGCTGCATGGTTGTATATACCATTATTGACAAACTTTTCAATAATCTCGTCCCTAACATTTAATATTAGTGAATACTATGTTGACGATTGAAATCACTGGTACTGGATTTGAACAATGAGCTACAAATACTTTCCATTAAAGAGTTCCAAGTAGAACTACTAATTCATCTATTCTGCACATAAATGAATAATATATCTGTAATATCCCGATGAGTAGAAAAATTAGATTTTCTGACGTTTCGTGACTTAGTGTAAGCCACTTCTTCAGAGAATAAATAACCAAATTAAAATTAATCCAAGTTTAAATAGTACGAGAGAACAACACAAATATTATGTGATTAATCAAAATACAGGTCTGAATAAATCAATGTCATGTCATTTCGGTCAAGGTGATTCATAAGCGACATGCATGCAAATTTGTGTGTATGTATGTGTGCACTGTTAAGGATGAAAATTGTGTGACCGTTTTGGTGAGAAAGAATAGAGTTTAATTTGTAAGGTAACAGTGTGAATTGTGAACAATATCAGACTAGGTGGCAAGGATAAATAGGATGTATAGTGAGGCCTTCTTTTCTATTGAGAGCAGTAGGATTAAGCATTATATGGAACGCTTCAGCTACTCGCCTTTTTGTAATATTCTGATATTATTGAAATGGATTTGTTTTTCGTTGAAAATGGCGTGAACTGCTATTACCGACTTAATTTTTGAGGTCTATCCAGTTTTACGGGATTATTAGGAGGTTTCTTTGTGTACCTAATATGTTCTTTGGCACGAGTCAAGATGTCACGATTGAGTTTCCAATATAGAAGGCACCACAATCGACACAACCTAATTTGTAGAACAGTTCTGTGTTGACATGAACGAGATTTTTTCTTTTAAGCGAACTAAAGTTGTTATGTAATATACTTTAATTCTGTGTTGTTTCAAGATTCTTTGGAGTTATTCTGTTGTTTAAAACAATTAGTCCCTTTGATAAATTTCGATAATGATATTAGAAGACGTAGTTTATCAGAATTATGTGATATATTTGCGCAATACATTTCGAACAGTCTGATCACACATAGACATTTATATATGAAAAATTAAAAGGTCAACTAGACAGGTTAAGGGTAAGTCATAACAAAGGAAAAATATTAAAGTACACAAAAACAAATGTGATTACCACTCTGGATAGTAAATCAGTACTACCAGGGTAGGTTAAGTGTAAGTACAAATTGTTTTTGAACACATAAAGGGGGTTTCAATTTTCGTATAGCCAAGGCTTCAATAAACCTTAGTATACGTCCTTGAAGGCTTTTGTACAAAACAACAAATGCTGATTTGATATCAACCTTATGATCCGTCTCAATCAAATACTTCGCAATGGATGATGATGTCTGTCTATCCTGTGATCTTATCTCACCATTGGAATTCATCTGATTCTGCAACCATTTTGGTATATGTTCACCCACCCTTAATTGCAAATCACGATTGCTCCTCCCTACGTACGTGTTTCCATACATACATGTAAATTTATAGACACAATGGTATGTGACACAATCGTTTTCATGCTGTTTGGGCTTTTGGTGAAACGTAGACCTTGTCTTTTCGATAATGACAAGTTGGGCTGCATAAAATGTCCGGTTGATAGCTAATTTAAGTCTCTGTTTCAACATGAGACTATTTGTGTCACATCTGAATGGTAGCGTAATATATTTTTCCTTTGTTATGACTTACCCTTAACCTGTCTAGTTGACCTTTTAATTGTTCATATATAAATGTCTATGTGTGATCAGACTGTTCGAAATGTATTGCGCAAATATATCACATAATTCTGATAAACTACGTCTTCTCATTGCACTATCGAAATTTATTCTGTTGTCCCATGACGGTATGGTGAAACTGCAGCAACAATCCACGGCAATTCATTCGAATTATTATTATTATTACGCATTGAAAGGTCTTGTTTTAATAAACTTCTAATAATCTTTATAGGAAAATTATTAACCTGTAAAATGCTAATTACATTCTTTTGTTCTTTTTGTTTATCCCCTTCTGATGTGATGATCTTGTTAGCTCTTCTAAAAAGATTTAGGGCTAGCGAGATCTTGTCACTGAAAGGATGTACTGAATGGAAGTCAATATAGCAATTCGAGTGTGTAGGTTTTCAATAGATGAATAGATTTAGAATTCCTTTAAGATTGCTTTTCATTAAACAAACTAAAAATGGTAGCTCACCATGTTCATTTTCATTCGCGTTCATGAATTTCATATGAGAGCAAAGTGTATTGATCTGTTTTGAAAAAGATCCTAGATGAGTCTTTTTTTTATCATAACAAATGTATCATCTACATATCTAAGCCAAATCCCGTACATAGTTAATATGTTCCCTTAAAAAAATATTCTATTTGGAAATTTCATAGTCAAGTATGTACGTTTGAATTATGTAAATAATAATAACAGCTTCATTATGATTGTAAATATTTCATAATGTCAAATTTTACAAAAACATTTAAAGCTTCCTACTAATTAAAGAGGAAGAATTGTATTTGTATTTTTGAAGTAAATCCAACGTTTCTCTTGGTAATCTGATCCAAACTTTTTCAACGAAATATCCTACTTGATTGTTTTCCTTTATAAACAATAAACAATAAATGAGAGGAATGATTTCAATGAAAATAACTTTTGTTTACGACTGGATATTATTTGTTATTTTTCCCCAATATTATTTACAAATGGTTAAAAGAAAGTCGATTGTTCTAAAATAAAAACTGATTTTAAATAACAACGTGATTAGGATTACCATTTGTATAGTGAAAAGTTTGTTTTATGCGCTTTTTCAAGGCCTTAATTTCACTGTGAACAGACTAAGTTTAAAACTGGTTTTCATTTACTGGCTTAGTGTTTATCCTATCGTTTAATGATGTAATTAGGTTCGATTTATTTTCAATTATTATTGTAATATTTAGATCACAAACCTATCTAAAATAGTCAACTAGGAAGCCCTGTACGGCAGTTTGGTTCCAGTATAGGACTTACCAGCAGTGCGTGTTCATGACTTAAAAGCCTGGAATCGAACTCAGGACTTTCGATCTCGATAGACTGGAATCCAAAGGTGAACAATTCAAACTTCAATCAATCCACGCTATTGAACGACTATTTTTCATCGTTTTCACTGTAAAAATTTCTTAATAAAATTCAACAGTCCTCACAAAATTCTGTGCTGATAATAATCGTGTACTTACTAGTGGCTGACTTCTGGATGCGCTTCTGAAGATTCAACGAATTGTAACCAGTAGAGTTTAACGGTGTTGGGTATGAAGAATTTACCCACTGAAGACAATGAAGAACATTCATTCAATATCATGGATTGATTGAAGTTAGAGTTGTTCATCTTTGGATTCCAGTCTAATGGACTACAGGATAAACGTTCACTCACGAGACCAAAAATTATTCTCTGATTACGTTTTTATAGCCGCTGCTGTCTGTATTAATTCAATCTCCATATTCCAGTTATTCAGTGCGTCCTAATCACGTAAATGTCTGAGATGTACACGTCCTAAATACAACCCGTATTCGATTTTTTATTTCTATCTTTTTCTAACGCAATTAGTACAGTGAGAATATGTGAAGTTAAATGGATCTTGTATTTTATTGGCATCAATATCGTTCAGTAATATTGAATCCTAACAATCAGCACGAAAAGTTCATCAATACCAAAAGCATCTAACTCAGACGTAAATTTGTGCCAACATTTGAGAATACAGTGCATATACACTACTCTGCCGTGCCAACTGGTAATTTATTATATCAGTGATTAAAAAACACTTAAATTACGTAATCCACCAATATCGCAACTACAAACTCTACATAATAAGTAGAGATGAATGGTACCTAACAGTGGAATCCAGAATGCGCATTTTGACCCTATTTGGAACTCGCCAATTGGGTTTACCTGCTTGTGACTTAAGATAATATCTCGAAATCCGCACTGGTTGCACATATGTCAATAAGAGACTGATTAACTGCTACCCTAACCATTAATGGAGGATTCAAACAATCAATACAAAAATGAATATCAGCTCTACAGTCTTTCTAATTCTTCACTGAAATTTAATACAATCCGTTTTGAAATAAATCCGATAAACGCTAACATGTTACTGGATAATTCAGAGAGAAACGACAGTTCTTGATTCAATATTCAGTGTAAACTGTTAGAAGGTAAAATCATATGCCTGAAAGTGGCAACCTGGTTGAACATCTGGGTTACCAGTTCTTGCCATCTAAATATTTTAACAAGTTATCTAATTTTATTTGTTTTAATACATCATTATGGCTATTAATCGCAAAAACTATTCAGGTGAGTTTTTGAAAAGTGTACAACCTTTCGTTGTAAAAGTTACGAAAGGCCCAATCAGAGATATCGTGGTTGTTGGCAATATGCAGCGAAAAAATATAAATGATTTAGATGTCGATTGACTAGACTGCTAACTTCTAACTGGCGACCACTCAATATTTGTCGTCAGGATCGACCAAGAAGTAAGAAATGGAAACTTGTTGAAATACTTCGTGCTGAGAATTCTATATTGTACCAAAAATATAATATTGAATAAGGCTAAAAATAATAATAATCTAGAAATGATACACTTACAATTTAAGATAAACATATAAGATATCAATCATCAATATTTTGCAGAACAACATCATTAATTACCTCATCTAATAATGTCATTCATCTTAATGGGAATAATTTCCTTTTTCTTTTATAGATAACCATGATATTTCACCAATTAAAATATTATCATTATTATTACTGTCTATAGGTATTTACATCGTATAGGTAATAGTTACGCAACCGACTACATACCAATACAAATAACAATATGGAGTCGTATGAATGATGGTTCAAGAGGTCAACAGATAATTGAAAGTAAATTCCTTAAAGTGACAATTTCAAATGCACAAAATCTAAAATCACCTGTACTAGGAGCATTTCGACAAGTAAATTTATTTGAGTAATTATATTTTTACTTCAAACAAGAAAAAAAACAATCATAGAAACATATGATGTGGTACTAGCTTTCTTCAATGTTCTGTTGATTATTTGTAATATTATCTATTATGTAATCTTTTTATACATGCTACTACCATTGAAGTAACTGTTTCTATGAATGTGGTATTCATCTTGTTCTGCTAATGAGGTATGGCAACTTGGACGGATGCATATATACTTACCATGTCCTATGTTGTAGCTGACTGTCTGACTGACTGACATTGGACAGTTGTATCATCCTACTCAGGAGCATTTATCCATAATCCCATCAAGGATAGAACTTAAGATGAGGTCGTGTATGGTTGCTGGTGAGGAACGAAACAACTGTCCGTAATGTAGCATAAAATATAACTATCTCCACAAACTTTATTGAACCAACAATCATATATATAAAGTGAACTAACTTAGCAGGCGGTAATACACAGAGTTTCATTTTTAAATCAAATAAAAACATCGACACTACATTCTTACCACATTCTTTCATTTAGTGATCAACCTAATCAAATTAACCTGACAAGTTTGTTATTAAAAAATGACGCTGATGATGATGATTGCGCTGATTACGATAATGTTGATGATGATGATGATGATGATAATGATGACGACTTTATATTAATGTTTCAATAGTTAATTTATTCTTTTAGAAAAATAATTTCATTTTTCTATTTGAATTCACAGCAGGTGTTGACAAAATTCACTAGATATAATCAATGCATGAATAGACATCTATTCAACTTATCAGGACAAATGAAAGTGTTTCTTTGACTGTTAGGTCAGAGATAACAGTGTACCTATCTATCTTATTTTACCTTTAAAAATAAAATAAATTAAAATGTATATTTTAACAAAAACCAAATCATTAAAATAGTTTTCTTAATTAGAAATCAGTATTTAACTACATTTCAAATGAAATAATGTCATTGAAACTTGTAAAGAACAATATTTTTATCAGAAAGGATTTTGTAGAGATTGTAGTAATTTCAGTAGTTGAGATCATAAGTCAATTGAAGCTAGACTACCATTAAAAACCTGAAAGCACTGGACGGTCGTTTCGTCCTATTGTGGGGCTACTCAGCAGTGTTCATTTACGATCCCGCCCCGCGAGATTCGAACCCAGGAACTATCAGTCTTGCGCGCGAGTGCTTAATCACTAGACCGCTGAGCCGGCATCCAATGTCTAACTTCAACTAATCCACGAAATTGAGCGACACACTCACCATTTTCATCAGTGAGTTACTATTGATTGGATGTTACACTTTGTGAATATATACACATATATATACTATTATAGTTGACAATTTCGTTGCATCGACTGCATAGCATTACATTTTTGTAAGTATTAGACATGTGAAAATAAGTCATTATCTTAGCAACAAGAACAATCCATCTAATATTAAACACATAATAATGATATAATAGTTATATTTCGTTGAATTTAGGCATTTCATTTCAGAGGTGTAGAGGTAAAGCGTTTGAAGGCACTGGGTTCGAATCCCACGAGAGGGATCGTCGATGCGCACTGCTGAGGAGTCCCACAATAGGACGAAACGACTGTCCAGTCCTTCCAGGTTTCCAACATCAATCAGTTCATGATCTTAATCCAAAACATTTCATTTTTCATTTTTTTGTTTTTCAATTTGAGGTAAAGAATTAGATTTGCTAATAAATTAATTTTTAAATTAACTGTAACTGATTAATGAATAATTTATAACATGAAGGTAATTTAAATTAGAAAATGATTTTGACTAAACGAATATGATCAACTTAAGAGCATTTGGACAACTGTTTCGTCTTAGTTTCCTAATCCTCTAGTGTATGCTTACATGTACTCGACCTTGTTGAAAAAAAATTCTGATATTTGACTGGACAATATTTAAAAACATTCTATTCCATTAATAACTTTGTTCTTGTGAATAAATAATTACAAATGCGGATGAAAAATTGAAAATTGTGACCATATAACCTTATAGACTGTGAGACAAGTAACATCGATGACGATTAGTAGCAGTTGTATATTATGTCTAAAACATTCACTTCACTTACAAATGTATACCATCATATTTGAATCCGGTGATAATAGCGTGAACTGAACACAATTACTCATAGAGTTGATGATACTAGATTCAATACTAGTGGAATCATAAATATACACAGTTGAGGAGACCGAAACTAGAAAGAAATATTTTCCTAGTGCTCCTTGTTTTCTATCTAACTATAACCAATCTTTAATGTAAACTACACTGAGGAAGTTCATTTTCAGTTTGGCTTCCATAAGAACGGCTACTTCAACAACGTTTAAAGATGTCTAGCTAGTCAACCTAGCGTCGAATAACCAACCTCAGAAACCAAGAAAAGAATCATCTTACATGAGTGAAAAATAACTGAGAAACCATTATAGTGATCGTGAAGCCCTTTGTCACTAAGATTACTCACGAACCAATACAGTCACTTCATTCAATTCTGTGCAGGTCGAAAAACATAACACACAAGAAAAATGCAATGCCATTCATTTTAAACAAAGTACACTAGCTGCGGGAAATAATACATAAGACAAAGTGAGCGCCTACTTTACTTATGCATAAATGAACGTAGATTAGCAGTGAGACAACATGGTACACACTCACTGATATAAATGCATTCAGGTAGCCATGGACAAAAATTCGACTGAAAAAAACTGAAATTTCGGATCACAGAAACTAAGACAGATCAATTAGCAAACAACAGACACAGTGGCATTGGCCCAATCTACGGATCCATGCAAAATAGGTCAACCAATCAAGAGGCTAAAACTCAACAGACTGAGACAAAAAGCGTTAATCCAAACGCAAACGAGGACGAAAAATCCTACGAGGATAGCCAATCACAAAGAAAGCTATCAGGATGAGCTGATATAACACGTGTGGAGTAGCGTACACTTAGTCGCCATTATTATCTTGAAGAGAACAAGAACAAAGAATTGAACAGAATAACCTGTAATCATTTTATTTAAGTTCTCATCAGCTACCTACAGTCTATAATATTTTTAAATCAAAATTTTCGTCAAGTCTACATACCTATAACAGTATAGTTTAGTCCCAATCATCATGGTAGAGTAACAGTTCGAGTATTTATAGTGCGATTGAAGATACGTAAATAAATTAACGTAATACTTATAGGATGGTCACAAAGAAACTCATTTCTACATGAAGTAAGCGGTAAAGATTTTGTCCAAGATGACAGTGAAAACTCAATCATTACATCATCTATCCACCAGAAATTTTCTAGACTCATCTATAATATGTTTTAATAAGAATTGTGGGAACACTCGTGAACATGATTTAACAAAACTTGATAAAACTTGAGTTACAGTAAATAGATAGTATTATTTGACTTGTATCTTCCCATTGAGGTTTATGACTACAAATGATCAATCTGTTATCGGCATATGTGCATACTGTGCGTATGCAGATAACAGACTGACCAATTGCAGTCTTAAACCTCAATGGGAATATACAAGCCAAATAATACCAAGTGAAGTGAAATTCACCCCACTGCACAAGCAAGTGGCTATCAGGACTCAGTAGCTAAGTGGATAACGTGATGGCGTTTGAAGCGCATGGTACTGGGTTCGAGTTCTAGAGTGAACATCGACTCTGAGATGCAGGTACATCCAGCTGACGAGTCCCAAATAGGACGAAAAGCGCATCCTGGATTCCACTGCTAGCCACTATCCATCATTGCTTAGTAAATAGATAGATCTAATAAATTGGTTTTGCATACTTAACCTAGGGTTTATATATATATATATATATATATATATATATATATATATATATATATATATATATATATATATATATATATATATATACTCCATTCTTCATCAATGTAAGCTAGATTTAAGCTATACTCTTCCAGAATATTTAAAAAATATTAAAAATGAATCCAAAATTGAATGATCTCAATCTATAATATGTTAAGGAATATATTCACACTGAATGATTCAACTTGCATTTTTCATCTTATTTCTGCCATTCTACACATTCAACATATTTAACTGATTCTTACCAATTTCTTTTTCCTACTCAAGATAAATGTTACACACATAGGTGGTAGTTTATCAATTCTTCCACGTGATAGTATAAGTATTCCAAGAGATTCAATTCTTAGTTGGGAATATTTAGATATAAATATGACAAGAATGCAAGGTCCATTACAAGCTCAAATAGTGAATCTACGTGATCCAACAAGACCAGTTACAAGTTTTCGTTTAGCTGATCTTCGTCGAGGATTAATAGCATTACAATTACTGAATTATGCTGAATCTTTAGTGAAAGTAAGTTTGCAGACGTACACACATGTAGATAATTTAATAAGTTATTTTCACTTCTATATTTGTTTCAACTAATGATAAAGATTATTTCAAAGATTATCTCAAATACTGAATTATCATTCATTATAATGAATATTCTCTGTTACAGTGTTTAGATTTGAATTTATGGTATTTAGTCTTTTCTTCGCAGTCTATACTATAAAAATTAGTCAATTTGGCAAGTAATTAAGATGAGACTATAATTTATAGATGACATTTGAGCGACACTATAGTGACTATGAGAGTGTTCACCTACTAATTAGAACTAAACAAAGATGATAAAGCAGTATGAAAAATTGAAATTATGTTTACAGTTGATGGTTAGGTTTAGGAACTAGATTTAGGGTTTCAATTACGAACTGACATAAACTCTATTTAGCAAAATGGATGGATGAATTTCACGCCAAAATCCAAGACGCGTTATCTTATGTCTGATTGGCTCGTCCATAAATTATAGTCTTACCGTAATAAAAACATTTTCACGTGTCTAAGACAAATAGCCTCTAATCTTATGAACTTGTCGTACTTTAATTTGTTTACTCATAGAATATTATCAATTGGATTCTATTGAGGTAGACGGTGCACAAGAATAATTTTTCGAAGATCAGTATGTTAGGAAAATCCTCATATTTCCCACATTCAGTAGTGAAATCTCATCGGTATTTAATATAATAGTGTGGATTTGAATGCACTTTACATCCTCTTCGATAAAAAAATGACATTGTGTCCTTTGATATCCAATAAACATTCTACATACATGTTTCGATTTATTGGTTTAGGAAAACCGAAGTCGATAGCATAATTTTGACATTAAATAAAAATTGCAAAAGAACTGGCAACTTCAAAATAGTTAGAATTGAAGGATTTATGACAATTGTAGGATTTTCGTAGTTTTAAATCACAAATTTATCTTAGCTTGATCACCATTGTAAAGCTAGAAGCGGAATCATGGATTCACATTGCTGGGGATTCCCATAGTAGGAGGAAATGATCTTCCAATGATACCAGGTTTTCATTAGTGGTCTAACGAAGATGAGTTTTTGATTTAGAACTATGAAGATTTTAAAATTTTTGTATATTGGTTTCAAAGACATTATTGTTCAATACAATTTAAAAGCTTTTTAAGTATAAAAATAGTTTACTCCATGGATTGAATCTAACTAGTAATGAAATGAAATGCAGGAGCACCAGTTAAATGTTTCTTCTCCTTATGGAAAATTCCTTCAACGTGCACTAATTTACACCTCCCCAACAGGAATCGAATCAAAGACCCTATTGTGATTATTTCACAACTGGTCTAATTAACTTAATTAGTAATGTCTCAGATTATCCCGTTGTTGATATTTTTGACTAACTTTTAATCAGTCTTGATTGGATTACGTGCATCCTATCCGGATTTCTCAACATAACCATTACGATACCAATTTATATAGAATAGATGGTATGTTGCTGGCTGCGGTATCCAAAATGTATGTTTCGTCTTAGTTGACATGCGTCAGTGGTATGTACCTGGAACCTAAAATTCCTGTTCACCCTAGAATTCGGGTTTTGGATTTTTATTTTCCTTCTAAATAATCTGTTTTATATTACATTTTTCATTCTATAAAGGTATTTATTATTACAATGACAGCAATTGACCCATATTTCCAAGTTAGTCAACCGGTGAATTTACGCATTGCAACATTTTTACAACCTGTAGTGGAAATAAATTCTCGTACATTGGCATCAAATGCACCACCATCATTTCAGGTTTTCAGTTTACCATTATTTACTTATACTGGTGCAACCTCACTGATACAGAAACATAATATTCAAGTAAGTGTTTAGACTTATGTATTGATACCAAATTTTGTCATGTTAAATTTATTCAGATATATATATATATATATATATTACTAGTCGTCTCCACCGCCTTGCTTCCAAACAATGGTCATTGTAGTGGCTGGTACTATGTCGAGCCCACATAGTTTATTCTAGCTTCCGGACAAGCCAGTTTATCCATTCTTCTCAAGCTGCATTTTGAACTTGTTAATTATTTACTTATCAACCTTGAGTGCTCTTACATGAGCGTATGTGTGCACTTGTTTGTAACTTATTCTTGGTATGGCTATAAATATTGATTAACGCTTTATTAAAAATGAATTGGGTCATATACCTTCTCCACTGCGCGCCATCTCGTTTTGCTCACTCTTTTTTGATTCCTTCGCTACGTCTCTCTGATTATCTGTTCCAATCAACATTTGTACAAAATATATGTATTCGAAAATTCATTCTCGTATTTGACTTATTTAATCCCGTTATTCACCGACGCGATCTAAGTCGATAATAATATACGAGTATAGACGATTTATATATTATTAACAACAATCATTCATACGATATAACTGGAGTCAGATATCGGGCCACTAAAGTGGTGAGCCCGTCGACAACATCGTCCAATCTAACTTACGTCAAAATGATGGGCCCCACCAAAGCATTATGACACCGGAAGTTCACTCAAACTGGTGGTTACACTACAGTTTGAATAGTGGATTGACACTGGTTATTGTAACCGGACGGTTCATGCACAAAATGTTTATGACATGACTCTAAATAACTATCCTTTAACCAGTAATACTGATACTCCGACTAAGTGACCTGGCATGTTAACACTTATTAGCACATTCAAAATCCTTGTCCCCAATCCTAAATCGGAAATTAATACAGTTGATATAACATTTTTATCTTTAATTCGAAAGCCTACATTATTATGTACATAAGTTACAGGACTACAATACACCATAAACAAGAAATTAGAATATGTATTTAACTAGGGAAATTAGAATACAAAAAGTAGACGTTTACAATTAGGAAAATATAAAAATCACGTAAACTGTGTGTTTAACACATACACATTAAAAAATGTATAGTTGCTGACCTTTCGATAAAAACAACCTCCAAAGTTGGTCATTTTCGCTTACCCCTAACTGTTTACTAATCGATAACCGTTTGCAATCTGACTCAGTGATCTGAAATTGTCATACTTATCAAAAGCCCTTATTGGTTCTGACATTTTTTGGTATGTGGATTTACGCGTGTATAGTGTCAGGCACTTTCAAAGTAATATTAAACATAAGAAAATTTTCTTCAGTTAAAGATAAATACTTGATAAGTATTATTTGGAAAAATCTCTACTGAACTACTGTAATCAAACATGTTTATGAGATTTAATATGAAATCAACCATGTAAAATTTACAAGTCCTCCACTTGAACCCTTGTTACTGACTAAGATTGAGTCCATGTTCTTAAACTACTTCTAAACATGGATTGGACCAATAGAAAAAAAAAGCGAGAAATATGAGCAAAGGCTTTACTCCAAGGTTAACTTTTATATAGTAAGTCAAGTTTGTTTATATAAGTTTATCAAATGACTTCGATTTGCTGGAAACTTCTGGAAACATGCCTAATGTACTAGCAAAATACACAGTTATTCAATCAAAATTTGACAAAAAAATCCTTTATCCCTTTAGATGTTACTGAGATGATTCTATTCAATATTAATTGAAGAATACGTTTTCAAACCTTTCTAGGTTTTTGAAAACTTTGTTGATAGGTTATTTTTGAACTATCAGTATGGGGTTGTGGAGATTAATAGGTTTGCAATTGAGATCATAAAACGACTGATATTAGATCACCATTGAAAACCTGGAAGCACTGGATGTGCGTTTCGTCCTGTTGTGGGACTCCTCAGAAGTGGGCATCCACAATCCCTGTCGTGGGATTCGAATTCAGTGCCCTTAGTCTCGCGCGCGAAGGCTTAACATCCTGACGATTAAGCCGGTATCCAACCATATCAATGCCTAACCTCAACCAATCCAAGAAATTGCGCGACCGTCTTCCATTTTACGGAGGTAGATACCTGTCTATACCCGGCACGGATTAGCTCCATTCGTCACAAATTCTCACTAGAACTCCGAAAATTCCCTCATGAAGCTAGTCACTAGTGAGCACATTGTAATTATCAGTATGAGGTTGTAGAGATTATTAAGTTTTGGATTGAAATCATTTTTAAACTATCAACAAAAATAAACAGATACTATTGTCTAATGTTAACTTTTTTCAACTACTTCTTTACCGCATATAAATACTTGATGAAAAATATCTTAAAAACGACCAAAATGTTACAGAGGTAATAAAAAAACATATATAAGTAATGCTTTCCAGGAATTAAATATTATTAATGAATATTAATACTACTATTTTTGATTTGTCCAGATTTCAGTAATCATGTTCATACTGAAGCTTTAAACTTTATTATATTATTCCCCTTACATATTGAGACCATATGTCTACTCTCTTATTTAACGAATATATTATATTTACGAATACAGATTTATATTATCTCATTATTAATATTCAAAATTGACAATGAATTCATGTTTCTTTGTATATATGAAGATGACTTGATATTAACTTCTTGTTGAATGTACAAATGCCAACAAAGATTGATCACATTTCAGTTCTCATTATATCAATAACGGTATCATGTAAACCTTAGTGAACACTAGTGAATAGTTAGGGAAAACAAAAGTTCACTTATACATTGATAAACACATAGAAGTATATCTATATGTATATAGTTTTACCTACATCATTAATAATACTTTAAAACAATAATGATTTATCATAATTTATATTTTATTTTCTAAACAAATAAACAACCATAGATTATCATATACAGAGAGATTTAACCACGTGTTGTTTATATACAACTACCATCAATTCAAGGTATCTTCGACTAAACCTTTTGAAATTTTAATAACATACACTATTTGTTTCTTTTCTTTTCTTTATAGTCTTTTCAACAAACTATCTTCTTTATATAGTTCATCTTTCATTTTATTCTAACTTGAAATTGGCGCCAAATTCTTTCAATACTTTAGTTTTTAAATTTAGTTTTAATGCTATGCATAATGTCAAACTAAAATACATTACTGTAAATTCATTGTCTATATGTGTTTATGTATACATGTATGTGTATGTGTATATATGTTTACACCCTCATTATTCATAAAAGGATTACAGTGAAAATTAAGGAGACATTTTGACCATTATTACTACTTAGTCAATAAGAATTATTACTAACCTGACAATAAAGTATTCACTTATCTCAATTTACAATGAACTAATAACGATAGTATTAATAAGAATAATAATTAGTAATGAAGTTTACACTAACTAGCCAGTTTATATAACTGAATAATAAACATTAGGGAAGTATAACCGAAATCATAGTTGTGTATGTAAGTGTGATGATGACAATAATAATATTTCACTATATACAAATCCTCAACTTATAGTCAGTTGGCACTATAATTCATTTATTAACTAAGTGTGTATATGTTTAGATTTTCTTCAAATATATTCTCTTTCCTTATTATTCTTGTGTGTATTAACTGAATACCATTCATACTAATAGGCGCCTATACTAGTTATGACTAGTTGCATATGACATTCATTCATTCATTCTATTTTTCTAGTTAAATTGATGAAACGTTAAGAGTTTAAAAATTGTCATAAGAAAAATAGACAGTAGTAGTAGTAGTGGTAATAATAATAAATGACTTAAACAATTGACGAGTTTCCATCTTATTGAACATTCACCTTACTAACTTCATTCAACATACATTTCTATTCGAATATTCATTATAATATTGGAAGCTTTTGAGTAAAACAATTATAAAAAACAAACAAACAAATAGTAACTGACTATCTAAAACTAAGTGGGAAACATTTTAAAGAATCAAAGAAGAAAAATGTATGACGTATATGTACGAATTGGTTAATTATTCATACAAACACACTTTTTGTTTCTTTTAAATATTTTAAATGTGAATTGATTTGGTTTATCTATTAACAAGCCCTCAAATGCTCTGGTATGGTCGAGGGTGAGAAGAGTCCGCTTTTCCTCACCAGCTGCTCTCACATGGCCACGTGTATGCAGCCGCTGCAAGGGAAGTCCTACTCATTGCTTTCTCGTCGCCGGGGTGTTGTTTACAAAATTGAGAGGACGAAAACCGAATTTCCGGCGCTGTAATCGCTTTGGTGAATATGGAAGATTCACCTAGGAGAGATGGAAAACGCTAACTCCAAACCAATCGTGCACATGGGCTCAAGGATCCTGAAGGAACAAATGTTATATGAACCAATCGTTGATCACCTGCTACCATAGGACTGCATCTCCTTACGATGCTCCACTGCCTTGTGGGTCAGATTTTGTGGTCGAAGGCTCTGGGTGTGGCCTCCTAAGAAAACCACCTGCTTCGGTCTAGGCACCCAAGTAGTATCACAGCCCACACACATAAATCAAGTGATTTGTGGGGTGCATATGTATTCAGTGCCCCTTTGTACCAATATTTATGTGTTTGAAGAAATATATAAGTCTACCAACCTTCAATGACTGAAATTTCTTTCCTTTAAAGTATCCTATTTGTTTGTACTTTATCAACTTGACTGTAATTCATTACCGTAAAATTTATGGTATTTGAATGCGACTATAAACAACATAAGAGTATGCAAGTTATGTGGTGCATATGATGTGATTTTTTACTTGAAAGAATCCTAGTAGATTTAATTCAGAAAATGATGCAAGTTTTTTTGATGATAATCTTTTCATTTGAAACATTTTACATTGAATCAAGTTAACTGTAACAGCAATCAAACGAAATAATTCATTAAAAACACATACATTCTATTGGCTAACAGAAGATGGATGTGAATACATGAATAATGGAATTACCACTTATTGATTTTTTGATTATTTAATTGAAGTATAAGTATTTTCCATAGTTAACATCACTGAGTGATCTTAGATCAATAACTATTGAAAACCAGGAAGTACTGGATAACTGCTTCGTTCTAATATAGAAAAACAATCATATTGAGTGTGAGATAGTGACCAAATAGTGGTATTAAGAGATGGTTAGACATTATAAAGAAATGAGGGGGGTTAAAAATACGAATCATTGGACTCCGACTCAGTGTTCTAAATGTCAAATCCTTGTTACAAGACTTATAGGTCCTATATTCGATCCTCGATGATAACATGGAAGCGTATTGTTGAAGAGTCGCGTTTGTTTAACTAAAATCAGTCCTCTAGTGTGAACTATCAAATTTAACAGTCTCTGCAAACCCCCTACATCGTAACAAGTATATTTTTGGTCAATTTTATTTACAGTTTCCTTAATCATTTTTTTTCTTTAAATTATAGGTTATTGGTTATATTGATGAAAGTATGATTGTCTATACAATCCGATCATGGCTAAATGAAGATATCAATCTAAACAACAAATTATCGATAAATAAATCACAAGGTCAATTATTATTAGATGGTCAGTCAGCATATGATGTCAATTTTGGTCCACCACATATTGCTTCAATGAGTTTAGCATATATTCATAATGGTGAATATGAACCAACTATAGAACGAATTCCATTATCAATAACAATTCCTAGTTTATTAAATTCACGTTTAAGATTAAAACGTGAACAAAATACCACTATAAATAATGATTATTTCAATGATAATAATCTTTATCAAAAATATGGTCTGGTAAACAACGTAGAAAACATAAAAGAATAGCAAATAGTTTACCTGTTTTACAATTAGAATTATCAATAAGAATTGTAAGATTATATAATCATGTAAGTTGTTTGTTTTGTTTTGTACTTTTAATTGTACATAATCATAAGTTAATGTATTATGAACATTCATTTTCATTGTTACTTAGGATAAAATCTTAGACATTAACACTGTTGGATGACGGCTCAGTGGTCAAATGGTTAAGTGCTCGCGCGCGAAACCAGTAAATCCTAGGTTCGAATCCCGCGGGGTGCGGGATCGTGGATGCGCACTGCTGAGGAGTCCCATACTAGGACGAAACGGCCGTCCAGTGCTTCCAGGTTTTCCATGGTGGTCTAGCTTCAATTGACTCATGATTTCAACCCGTGAAATTTCAATAAATTTTTTTTAATATTACAACTATGTGAAAGCTTTATGACGTAATGAAATGTTAAATTGACTACTGAGATAATTAAATGAATTAATTGATTATATTTTAATAAAGAGTGGTAACTGGTTATTGCAATCTTGAAGTGTCAAGCTATATAGCTATGTAGAGCTGAAGGTCACTGATATTATGAATGGTTCGGCATTACTTTGGCAAGTTTTACTGATTGTTCATGCACAACATTGGTTTGCTGATTAACCGATTGCATTCATACTGGTGGTTGCCTTTCAGTGTTCTCAAGGACCATTGTCATTGGGATATTGTAAGGCATGCTGCCATTGCTCATATTAATGAGTTTGACTGTCGTGTAAGTGGACTAGGTCAACTTTGGCCTGTTCGTGCTGTGCATAATTGATTCACGCGATTATTGATCGGAATAACCATACATGTGATGTGAATGTATATATGTATGGTGCGAATGGTCACCAGGGTGCTTGGTACCTGTGTGGTTGCACCACAGGATTGAGCTGTACTGTTCAGATTGCAGCGTTAAGGCTTACACGGTGTCTGGTTCTCCTCTGAAGCGGGATTGAGCCGTAATATTTGGACTACAGACTTTAAGCATGGGCGGTGTCTGGCTCTCATGTTAAACAGGACTGGGCTGTACTGATTGGGTTGTCACGTGAAAGTCTGGATGGCGTCTGGTTCTCCTGAAAACCAATATAAAATTACCCTGACCCACAAGGGTACATTATATAACTAACTACGAATAATTTAATAGTTGAATTCATGAGACAATTGAAGCTAGACCGCCATGGAAAACCTAGAAGCACTGGACGGCTGTTTCATCTTAATATGGGACTCCTCAGCAGTACTCATCCATGATCCTTCCCCGCGAAATGGCTGAATTGAAGTTGAATCTATTTTAAATGACAGAATCACTAACAAATAAATTAAACACATGAAAATAATAATAAATAAAGTCACAAGATATACAAATATAAACTTTGATTGGTATCAATTGAACAAGTATTCAGTTTAATCTCTTCTGATTACTTAGGCTTTTAAAAATAGTGAATAATGAATTAGCAAACTATGAAATTCTCGCCACAATGTTAATTTATCCAACTGAATTGAAGTAATTAACAGGCAATGTATAAAGAAAAACTATAATGCATTTACATAAAACGTCAGTAGTTGGACAATTATAACCTCATTAATTTATACTAAACGATTATGCGATTTAAGTAAAACACTTTCCCATCCAACTTATAATTTCCGCTCATATCAAGTTGATCAGAATGAATTGTCAAATGATTGATGATAATTGACCGGTGACCGTAGATATGGGTTTGGTGCTGGATAGAATCCTCAGCAAAATATACCTAAAATCTTAAAATATCTGACGCTATCTATGTAATTCAAATTCATATCATCCAGCTTCACAATCTAAAACATTATCACAGAGCTATTTGACCAGTGACTGAATTTCAATAGAACTAAGATGTTTACAAAGCTTAGATCGATTATTTTATTTCAATTACTTGTAACTACATGATGATTGATATTATGATTTCTAGATTGTAAATAGTTGAAGTAAATCCATTCGTTATAATCATTGTGTTTGCCTTATTCAAATCTGAATTGTATCATAATTGATAAACTCATTTAGATATTGCAGTCTATAATGTTATTATTACTTCTATCAATCATTTATCACTTTGGAGATACTTGTTAACAAAACATGAGGACTAGCAAACATATATATATATTCACTAAACTTGTCTTTAACAATAAAACTCTATAATCTCATTTTAACATGATTTAAATGAAGAAATATTCTGTCGAATATCATGTAAAACATTTATTTCAACTATTATTGTTATTAATAACATCATTATATTATTATTATTATTATTGTTATGTAATGACTTAAATGAAAGGTGTCCAATGAAAGTAACCATTTAACAGTTGCTTCTTGTTATACGTTTAAATTCATGTTCAGTGCTATTTAACATGTATTTCAAATGAACACTGTCTCATACAATAAACAAAAATATCTTTAATGAAATAGGAAAAGGGATGTCAATGGTTAAAAAGTATATATATATATATATATATATATATATATATATATATATATATATATATATATATATATATATATATATATATATATATACCAACTATACATATTAATCATTGTAGAATTGAATACTATGTGATAAAGTGTAATGACGTGAAATTCTTCTCTTTTTAAAATGAAAGACTGTAACTACGGATGACAAACAGTTGAATGATCAAAATAGATGAAGAAAGAATTGTAGAACTATTTTGTTTAGTACAAAACTTTTTACTTACTTATACCTGTTACTCCCAATAGAGTATAGGTGGCCGACCAGTATTCTCCAACCCACTCTGTCATGGGCCTTCTTTTTTAGTTTTATCCAATTGTTGTTCATTCTTCTCATGTCTGTTTCCATTCCTCGGTATAATGCGTTCTTTGGTCTTCCTCTTTTCTTTTGGTTTTGAGGATTCTAAGTGAGGATTTGCCTTGTGATGCGGTTGGGTGCCTTCCTCAATGTGTGTCCTATCCACTTCTAGTGCTTCTTTCTGATTTCTTCCTCCATTGGGATCTGATTTGTTTTCTTGCATAGTAGGTTGTTGTTGATAGTGTGTGGCCGACGGATCCGAAATAAAACTTCTTATTCATGACCAAATGTTCAGACATGATATAAACCGAAATAGATGTTGTTCTATGAAATAATTCAATTTTAGCTAATATTCATTCAGTTTAAATTTGTTTATATTATAGCACGTAAATTATTTAAATTTAGTGGGAAAAATATGTTATTCCCATCGCTGATATCTTAAATCATATTTCACAAATTCACATCAACTACTTACAACGTTAGAGAGTTTCAATGTTTATTCAAGAAATTTAAAAACACTTTGTATCATTTAAAGAAATATTGGTGTTATAAACTGAAAATTCGGTTGTGAAACACTGAAAACCTATAAGGACTAGAGAGTTTACTAACCGAAGTATGAGACTTTTAAAAAGTGCGCACATATGATCGGATACGGATTGTAAGTGAATGTGTTTTAGTTCTTTCTTCAACCAAAATAACATTGTAATTAGTGAGTCGAATATTCGGTGACTGATATTCTCAATTTTGATCCATCTGTAACGACTACACAATATCATCCCTTAGTTATTCCCGAAATAGCTTACTTCATTAATCATTAGTGTTTAACAAATTGTATAAATAGGAATATACGTATTCAAATAGATGAACAGCATTCAGGTACTTGGTCTCTATTAACTCAATGGTAATATCTGGTAATATCTTATTTTATAAAAAAATTTCTTAGTTGGGAAGGAGGGTAATAATTTTGAATAAATTACTGATGTTATAGATGCTTGACAACTGCTACGTTTTTATAAATTCGTCAAGATATAATCCGTTTTATATGTTGCTTAATAAACCAAAATTATATCTATGGTGGAAAATGAAACGAATGATCAATTTTGAAAATATATAATAAAGTATTTTATAGAAATAAGTTTAAGTCAGTTCTTTTCAATGGACTGTCTAATTAAATATTAATCGTAACTTCATTAGTAACTATTTTAGTATTGAATTTTTAATAATCTAGTAGAGTAAACAATAAGAACATCCAGATTACAAATATTAAATTTTAGTTACTAAACTGGAAGATCTCGGTTTCAGTCCCAAGTTCTGGTTGTAAGTGTGTACACTGGTAAGAAAACTTTTCTTTACCAGAATGAGATAGCTAATCTAGTTGTGTCTTGTTTTTTTTCAATAATTCTTTAATTACCAACAACTTGTGATAGGAATCACTTACAATTTCCAAAACGTTTTGCTTCAAAAGGACTCACAAAAAAAGAAGTACATTCATTTTGTTCACAATTTAAATCTTTTATAAACATCAATGACGGCCTGCTTGAACATTTGGGTTACCAGTTCTTGCCATCTAAATATTTCAATAAGTTATCTAATTTTATTTGTTTTGATACATCATTATGGCTATTAATCGCAAAAACTATTCAGGTGAGTTTTTGAAAAGTGTACAACCTTTCGTTGTACAAGTTACGAAATGGCCAAACAGCGACATCGTGGTTGTTGGCAATATTCAGTGAAATGAATGTACATTATTTCGATGTCGATTGACTAGACTGCTAACTTCTAACTGGCGATCATTGAATAGTTATCGTCAGGATCGACCAAAATGTAAGAAACTGAAACTCGTTGAAATACTTCGTGCTGAGAATTCTATATTGTATCAAAAATCTAATACCGAATAAAGCTAATAATAATAATAATAATAATAACAAATATGTATATATACATTTTATTTGTTTCAGATTAACAATGGTGCTTTAAAATCAGGGAATACATTTCGTTTACCAACATTATCATCAATATGTTTTACAGCTGAAGATTTTCTTACACCAGAAGCATTAAAAGCTATACGTAGTGATATAATTAATTTAGCATTTGTTGTTAAAGTAGCACCTAGTCAAGGTGTATTAATTCGATTGCCTATTGTAAAAAATTTCACTACTTATCATTATTTTCATAAAAATAATAAGGATAATAATCAACAATTAAATATGGATTATTTTACAAATGAGAAAATTCATGTAGATAATAATGAAATAACATTTGTTGAACAACAAGAATTAATGGAGAAATCACAAATTGGTGTAATTCTATTATCTGATTTAGAAACAGGTGAAGTATGTTATTTAAATCAACGTCATGATCGTTCAACTGATTTAATGGGTATTAAACAAATTGGTCGTGTTGATTTTCCAACAGTTTATATGACATTTGAAATACAAGTAAGTTACTGTTTTCATTTTTGTTCATAATAATAATAATACAAACTCCTACAAATAATCAGAATGGGGATTTCTGGAAATTGTAGTAATTTCAGTAGTTGAATTCATGAGTCAGTCTAAGCTAGAGAACCTAGAAGTACTAGACGGCCGTTTTGTTCCAGTATGGGACTCCTCGAAAATGCGCATCTACGATCCCTCACGTAAGATTCGAACCTAGTATCTTTGGTCTCGATCAGGAACGTTTAACCTCTAGACTACTGAACCAGTACCCAATAATGTTAATGTTTAATTTCAATCAATCCACTGAGTTCAGTACTTTATTTGAAATGGGATCGCTCTTAATGGGTAATAGGTGCTAGGTTCCAGTTTCAGTTTGAACATCAACACTGTACTGTACATCTTTCCAGTTGATAAATCTCAAATGGCATAAAAACTTACGTCACGAATTTCACCACTAGCTACAATTTAAAAATGATACATATTACTATTTTTACTGTTTGACAAATTCCATAACATTAAAATACGAAAGATACTCTTTTCAATAAATTCATATAATTCCATACACTATATAATAATTCATAGAACATTTCGTCTGATTTATATTGATATTATTTATTTCTGTTACGCTATGTTACCTAAATTTACTCTGATCATGAATATAACAAGTTCATTTAATGTATAACGATTTTGTCTTATTTTACAAACATTCCTAAATTGAAGAGCAAGAATGTATTTGAAGTAAATCCAATGTTTCGTCTAGTAATCTTGTCCAAACTTTTTCAAGAAAATATAATCAAACATCAAAATTATCGAATATAAATAGGTACATTGTTCTCTGGTTTACCTGTATACTCAATACGTTATTCATTCAATGTCAATAATGTTTAAAGTAGGTAATTGCTTTAGTGTGTAAGAGACTTGTGGTATGAAACTAAAAGTGTCATGATGACATTGTATTCTTTTGAACAAACAATACTTTAAGATCAAAACTAGTAAGAGTCAAAGATACACAAGGATGAACAACAAAATTGTGTTTATGAAATCATATGTAGTGATTGTAATCCTATATATGTAGGTGAAACATCACAACAACTGAGTGTGAGAGTGAAAGGACATAAACTGTGCTTAAAGCACATTTCTAAATCCTCAGTTGATTAGGAAAACTTGAGAACAAATCGGCGATAGCATTACACTCTATAGAATCGGGTCATACAGTTGATTTCAACGGCACAAGAATCCTTCAAAAGGTTTTAATTCTTACAAAGAAAGACTAACATATGGGCAAACCTAAAGAGTATTAATAGGAGAGATGGAATACAATTAGCTGTCGCATGGCAACTAATAATTAATAAGTAAACCTGAACTACTTATTCCATTTTATCAATCTCTTAATATCTGAATAATAGCAATGACATTCTGAAATTCTAATGAATTGTCTTATCTGAATATGTTAAATGATTAACTGGAACAATTAAAATAACACAAAACACTCATTTACAAATACATTCTTCCTCTTTAAATTGAATCCTTTATTTTGTTTATTTATTTTCATTTTATGCATGCTGTGATATATTTGACTCGTATCATGCATAAAAATTTTGTTTTCTTAAAAATCCACCCAACAGAGATAATATATAGTGAATGAAATCTCTTCTCTCATCACTTACGTATATACACAATTTGTTATCTTAACACTTTTCATTTCATACCACAAGTCTCTTACACACTAAAGCAGTTACCTACTTTAAACATTATTGACATTGAATGAATAACGTATTGAGTATACAGGTAAACCAGAGAACAATGTACCTATTTATATTCCATAATTTTGATGTTTGATTATATTTTCTTCAAAAAGTTTGGACAGGATTGCCAGACGAAACATTGTATTTATTTCAAATTTATTAGCTGATATTTTACAAATATATTCTTATCAGAAGGGGTTTTGTGGAGATTTTTAAAATCTCACTGGTTGAAATCATGAGTCTGACTGACTTCAAGAGATACTTCTGGAGTTCTAGTGAGAAGCTGTTACCCATGGAGTTGAACCAGGTCGGTTGTGAGATATCAACTCACTGAAGACAATAGTGTACGGTGGCGCAACTTCGTGGATTGGTTGAAGTTAGACATTAACACCGTTGGATGCCAGCTCAGTGGTCTATTTGGTTAAGCGCTGGAGTGAAACTGACAGGTTCTGGTTTCGAGTCTCGCCGGGGTCGGGACCGTGGATGCGCACTGCTGAGGGGTACCATACTGGAACGAAACGGCCGTCCAGTGCTTCCAAGTTTTCCATGGTGACCTAGCTTCAATTGACTCATGATTTCAACCAGTGAAATATATTCTTCCTCTTTAATGTTCCACATCATCTTGGCACCGGAATACTGTGAAACTATTCGATCAAATTTAGACGAATGTTCTTATATATTCCTAAATTCAAATGATATAATTTTTAAAACTATGTAGTTTGCTTTAAATATATCGACTTTTTGGATTGATAATTTGGATATGTAATTATAGAACCTGAAGAGAATTTATTGAGAAGAATATTTTTCATTTAAATATTATTGTATTACTACTAAGATTGATCACTGATCAGTAAGATTTTATATTTTACAATGAATAATTCATTGTTTGATCCTTGAATGTGAATTCATTCATTTGGCTTCACGAAAAGTCAGATCTTGCCTGGTCAACTATATTGAAGATGATGCCATTAATTTGTTAGTAATATAGATAGATTTTCTATTTATTATTATTGATTAACTGAACATATAAAATAGACATTTTTATTGTGACTTTTTAGTGGCCCGATATCTGAATCCAGTTAGATCGTATGATGAATATTATTGAAATATACATGCCGCCAACCCTCGTACATAATTATCGACTTAATTCGCGTTAGATAATAACGGAATAAAATAAGTCAAATACGTGAATGAATTCTGAATACGTATATTTTATGCACTCAGATAGACAATCAGCGAAACAAAGTGAAGGAAGCGAAGTGAAACGAAGTAACGCTCAGAGGAGAAGTCAAGTGAACCAACACGTTTTGATCAAGTGTCACTCAATATTTATATTCAGACAAAAATAAGTTACAGACATGTAATGAATAAGGCCAGCAATTAACACACATACGATCACATAAAAACAGTCAAGATTTTACTTGAGAAGAATGAATAAAGTAGTCTCTCCAGAAGCTAGAATAGCCTATGTGTGCTTGATATAGGTGCCAGCCACTACAGTTTATGTGATTTCATACCAATCTGTTATTTACTGAATTGAAATGTCTAGTTTTAAATTGAAGAATAACTCAAAAACGTTTACCATGCAAGAAACTACAGAGTGGAGGTAAACCGACCCTTATTAATTCCAATTCTTAGAATAATCAGAATTCATGTATATAACAGCAATGAATCCCTCAAGGGTATATATTATAAAACCTTATAATAAGCTTCAATAAAGGTTTAAAAAATTTAATTTTTTTCTTTCATCGTTCTATTTAAACTTTACTATCTTTTCTGTGTTTTTTTATCTGCTTCAAAAAGCCTCCTATCCCTATTATACTCGTTGAAAGAATGGATCCAAATGTTGTACTACGAGTACGTGAAACAGCTTCATATGTTCCATTAACATCATTACATTTAAATTATGGCATGGAATGGAATATACCATCTCATAATTTTGAACAATATAATCGATCAATGTTCAATAATCTTGGATCGGAAAATATTGTTTACACTATAGTTCAAACACCAAGATTAAGACAATTAGAAGACATAATAAAAATGGATAAAAATGCATATATTGGAACACATGATGCCGGTCGTTTAGTTAGTTTATCATCGATTACATCTAGTACACATGTTGGTGATATGAAATTACAAGCTGGTTTAGCAATAAATCTTCGTGAAGCTCAAGTACCATGTGTTACACAATTTACACAAAGACAAATTGATGAAAATGACATTGTTTATGTGCCACCAACTCAAGATATTGGATATACAGTAAGTAAAAATAATGCAATTATATATATAAAGCAATTTTAATCTCACGGTTTAAGTAAAGACAAAGAGTGTATACAATGACGCCATTGTGATCGATTCTGAGCCATGTCACTCAGAGTCTTTCATATTAGAACTAAAGTTTTCAATGATGCATGTTTCTGAAAAACGAATATACAATATGTAGTTTAAATACTTCTGAAGGTACTCTTTCATCAAGAAACAATACTATCTGAAGAAATCTTTAAATTCATAAATTATTGGATAGATATTTTATTTTTCACTAATGGTAACGGCCTGACGCCCTTGAGATCAACATCACGGCTCACTGTCAAAGTATACTATTTAGGATTTTTCAACTTTAATTAATCATGTATTATGAAATAGCCACCATTCAAAATTCATCCATTGTCAAATATGATTCATTCTCAAGTTGACTGGTTCGTGTTAAACAAAATTATTCTAAAAATTCCTTGGAATAATAAACCGATCTAAGTTAGAAAACCATTGAAAACCTGAAAGTACTGGGTGTTCATTTCTCTCCGGTATTAGACTCCTCAGTAGTGCGCACACATGACCACCGTACGTGGTGATCAAACCCAGGATTTTCGGTTTCCAATGTTGGTTCAACTTAGATTGATTTATAATTTCAATGAAATTCAACAATTTTCACAACCTCTTATTGACAATTTGAAATATAATTCAGAAATTGTACTATTTATTTGTTTTTTTAAGGATCAAGACTTAATAGTACGTTATAGTGTTTCTGGTCCCAGTGGTTATGAATTAAATAATCGTGAAATGCGAATACAACTTGTAGCTGAAGATAATCAAATACCAGAAGTTAAGGTGAGCTATTCAATCATCAATTCATTCTTCAATCATATAAACTTTCTATTCTAAATTAAAATATGCGAAACATTTGAAAGTAACATTCTTTAAATTAATTGATTTGTGTTGAATCATTCAATTAATGTTCCACTTTTGATATTTCCCACGAGCGAAATGGATTTTAATCTCACTAAACTTTATACTAATCAACTCAATTCCTGTGACATATTCACTTGTAATATTAGATTATATGTTACAATGTAATATGAACACTGATAGCAAGGTGAACGGGTTAACAAGTTTTTGGAATCGAAAATTATGGAAGTAATCTCCATACACAAACATATATCCAATTTTTATAAGCAAAGATGGATGATGACTAGCAGTGGAATCCAGAACGCTCGTTTTGTCCCATTTAAGACCCGTCAACTGGACGTCCCTGCATCCGAGAGTTGACGGGGAAGATGCAAGCAAACAATACCAGGTGAATTTAAACTTCATCCCATTGCACAAACTAGTGGATATCAGAACTCAGTAGCTAATTAGATAACGCGATGGCGTTTGAAGCGAACGGTACCGGGTTTAAGTCCTGTATCGAACATTGACTCTGAGATGTAGGTACATCCAACTGACGAGTCCCAAGTAGGACAAAACACTCATCCTGAATTCCACTGCTAGCCACCATTCATTTTTGCTTATAAAGCTTGTGACTCAAGGCAATATCGAGAAAGTCCGCACAGGATGCACATATGCCAACAAGAGACTGATCGATTGCAGTCCTAAACAACAATGGGAAGATACAAGCAAACAATATCAAATGAATTATATATATATATATATATATATATATATATATATATATATATATTATATATATATATATATATATATATGTTTTAACTTTCTATAACTCATGACTACCAATCATCCTTCAGTCAGCTAACCATAAGTTATGGATTAGTGACTATTTTCAACACAGTGATCAGGAGTATTTTTCCTTAATTATTAAGTTTTGCGTAGATGAATATTACTAAGAAACACTTATTGTGCAGAGTAAGAAAAGAATGTCATGCAATTCACCGTTGCTTGAAATATTGTGTAAATTACTGGCTAACAGTTAAACATTCATTTTCAAAGTACTACTTTAGTTGATATACCTAAGAAATAACGCATGATTCACTTTATTTCTAGTAAGTGTTCTTTTTCGCAAGGTTCTTATCTAAGGGATGAAGTTGCTAATTCCATGCCCAACCCTCCTCATTTATCCAGACTTGAGACTGACAGTAATATTAAAATTGCTCCAGGCAGAGTATGTACGCAACTATCAGAAGTAAACTGTAAATATTCTACGAATACAAACATTATGCACACTCATAAGGATAAAATTTAATGTAAATTTAGTATCATTCATTAAGTCATTTTGCATTCTCAACATCGGGCAAATGAACTGTTCAAAATAGTACTGCAAACTGTTTCGTTTAAATGAATAAGATAAAATATCTTTTAAACTAAGTTTCATGCTGCTTGATACCCGTTAGTAAGAAGTATCGGCATTTGTGGTATAACTGGAAGGACTTCGTGTGTGATCTGAAACTTTGTTCATAAGCAGTGACTAGCACGAAACCTATGTCTAATGTTTCCTGAATATTACCTCAGATTACCTTACGTGATCATTCATTATAATAAAAATTAGATACATGGAATATTAGACTCCGATTTGGTAGTTTAAAATTATCGTACTCTTCACAATACAAAACTGTCTTCAGTGTAGGTCTCACATGAGTTGTTTTGGGTGCTTACCGATAATAAGGTCCTCAAGAAGATGAAACACCTACCTCATGCTTTCAGGTTTTCAGTGGATTTTTCTATTCCTCAATAATGAACAATCAGATTGCCATCAATATAAAGTTATGGAGGTTGTTGAATTCAGTTCAAATCGTGAATTCATTCATTTTAAACAACGACTAAAACCAAGGAACACTGGTAGGTCATTTCGTCTTAATATGGAACTCCTTAACAGTATACACACACCGGGACGCGCAATCAGAACCTTCGTTCTCTTACGCAAACACTTATCCTGTAGACCACTGGACTAGTACCCAGTGGTGTAAGAGTTCAAATTCAACCAGTCCACAATATTACATGACCATTTGCCATGGTCTTCAGTGGCTATCTTCCTTAAAACTTACAACTTACATTCTTGCAGTGAAAATGTAAACACTGAGTTATCAGATTAAAACCCACTGATAAGAATTAAATATTTCCAATCATTCAGTGAATATAATCTTGTATTACCTTTTAATATTCAGTAATACTTCAAATAACCCGGTGAGACTATGATTTATAGACAAATCAATCAGATTTAAGATAACGCGTCTTGGATTTTGCCTGGAAATTCACTCATCCTTTTTACCAAATACAGTTTTGACATTATAGCTGATGTCAGTTCGTGATGAAAAAAACCCTAAATCTAATTTCTAACCTAAATCATCAACTGCAAATCATATTTCTAATTCCTCAAACAGGTTTATAACCCTCATTTCATTCTAGTTATTAGGTGAACACTCCCAAGGTCAGTCTAGTATCGCTCGAATGTCATCCATAAATTATAGTCTCATCAATAATCCAATAGTTACTATATAAGTCATTTACAATATGAATAGTACATCTATCTCATAAATATTTCAATGAAATTTGTATTAGAATTAGTTAGAAAGTAGGTTTTGCTTTTAACACATTACTCTAATGAATACATGAGAAGAAGAAGAAGATTGTGATGATGATGATGATGATGATGATGATGATGATCTATTAAAAATCAATACAATGAGAACTTTACATATTGACTTTTGAAACATACTATCGTCTTTAAACAACATAAAAATCTATACATATTCAATGATCAATTATTTAAAACTATATTATTCATTCATTCATTCACTGAATTTTATTGACTTTTTTTCTCTCTTTATATTAGATCATTTCCCCATTAAAATTACATCGTGATGGTGAATTATTGATTGATTCAAATGTTCTATCAATTATTGATTTAGATACACCAGAAGAAAAATTATTCATTCAATTTGAACGTTTACCAAAATATGGTAAAATTTTATTAAATTTAATTCAATCTACTCAATATAATCAACGAAGTAAACATTCAAATGTGACACAATATTTAACCATTAATAAAGGTCAAAATATATCATTTAGTTCATTTAAAAAGAGAAAATTAATGTATGTTTTTAAAGATTTTTTTCTGTTTTTTTTCTTGATTCTCAATCAATATTTTTGTTGCTAAGTGGTCAATGAAAAGATGCATGAGTATAATGACTAATGCGTAATCTTTGTTTGTTCATGTTCTCTTTGTCTTCGATCTTCTTAAGCTTCTATTATCAAACATTTCACTTTCGATTGATGATACATACTACTTATATCTATCGATATTTTCATAAAAAAGCTTGGACTAGATTGTCGAACGATACGTTGAATTTACTTCAAATTCATTAGTTGAGATTTTACAAATAGATTCTAACTTCTTTAATGTATTAATTGTTTGTTGGCACTGATTTGAATGTTTAAGGTTGAGATCTTTGAATGAATTAGAATCTATGATGAATATTAACAAATATGTTGTATGATCACAGATTGCGATCATTTATTTTCACAGTCCTACTCATAAATATATCATTCTAGTATTAGTGAAGATTAAGGATTACACATTGAGTAATTGATCGCTTAACATAGACTCTTCAATGATGATTTACAACTCTTCTAAAATATAACATTATTCAAGCTTTTTTATTTTTATAATGTACTACAGATACCAGCTGGAGTTATAATATTAACAAAATCCATAATATTATGGATTAGTTTAGCCGATCACTGAAAATCTTAAAAAATACATGTATGTAGTGATCTTTATAAACATTAGTCTAGAAAATCTCACTTTACAGCACTAACATACTGGCCACAATTTCAATAAGTTAGGCTAAAATATCTAAGAAATTTTATTTACTGAGTTTTCCAGCTAGTTGAAATAAGCGTTGAAATTCTATTGTGGTGAGTGTAACTGATGTCGACAGATATAAGTAGTATGTATCTTCAATAGAAAGTGAAATGTCTGGCGGAGTAAAGTTAAGAAGATCGAAGAAAAGAGAACAAGAACAGAGAATGGTTGGTGTGAAAACGAAAGAACAATGAAGTCTGAAACAACTGAATAACATTTACTTTATGGTCCTCAGATTTTACTAAAAGATTCCGTAAATTTGTGCTTAAATGCATTTGGTTGTCCCCTCCCACCCTGTGTTCCCATTCGCTACACTATCTTACCTACAAAGACTAATCACTTCATGACAGTAGTTTGTATAGCTTATATTCACCTTTGAAGTCTTGATTTCACCATTTTCATTCTTCAATATCTAATCAAAAAAAAGAAAAAAAACATGATGACTATCCTAAAACAAGTTGTTTTTACTTCACTACGTTTTCTAACTAACTAACTATTTGACTGACATTGACATCAGAGAAAAAAAAGTCACATTTTCAACATATCAGTATGTAATATACCATCAATTTATCACTAAAACTATTTACATCATATTTACATCTCTCTATTTATAAAGTTTTAAGGATTCATATAATGATATTATGATTTTAATATGTCAGTCAACTTAAATTAAATTAAAACTACCGCCGAAATGTTCAGTATACAATATATTATAAACATCTCTACCATGTAATAATCATATCACTTATGTTGCCAAGTGTTTTCCTGATATAAATTTCAGGCGTTACGGAATTTCGGCTACAATAATAATAATAATAATAATAATGGTAAGATCAATGATAATAACAGCAATAGTAATGATTGTGTAATAACAACTGGCTCTATTTATGTATCATAACTGTAAGGTCAGATTAGATTATCCGACAAATAAATCAATTTATTTATTTACTGAGTGTTAAGTTTATTTATTTACATAACTACTGAGAAAATAATTCACATATACTACCACCATACTATTCATTTGTAAATATACACACAAGTGTATTGTTAACATTATAAAACGCTTAATGAAATGATTTCTGTTTTATAGATAGATTTTCTATTAAATAGGTGAATTAGAGATAATATTGGCATGCAGGATGTAGGTCTTCTCTTATCTGCGACTCGTCAACTGAATTAACCTGTATTTCAGTGTTGATATTTACATGGAGACTCAAACTCAGTATCTGTAACTTCAAACAGTAATACGATATCTACTGAGTTAGTGGTTCTAGACAGACGCTTACTTGTTCAACGGGTATAACTGTTTCGAAAAAATCTGCGATGACATAGGAATTTCTAAGACATCATCTTTTACATAGATTACTGTAATTAGTTCTCTTCCCGATTTTAAAATACTAATATAAATAAACTAGACTATTAGATTTCATTAAACAATTAATTCTAATTGATTAAAATTAAATAGAATGAAAAATGTTACGTTGTCAAAGATGGTCAACAGGAAATTCAGGAAGAGGACAAAGTCAGTTAGTTCTGGAACGAGAATTCCCTGTAAACTAAGTTTAACCACATAATATAGAAATATAGCCTATACAATTTTAAGTCACTTAGATTAGTTACGTATATTACAACTTGATCGACCGAATTTCAATAACCCTTCAATATAATATAAAAATCATACTGACTATCACTCAGCGATCAGTCAGTTGTAGAATAAAAAATTCCTAACTCAAGAAATATCCATGACATTTTGTTACATAATGTGTTATGTTATACACTGATAACTAATCAGATTAAATTCCCACTGTAACATTGATTTACAGTTAATGTGTATTTTGTCCTGCTTCTTTTTTTGTTGTCTCACCATAAAACAATCATCAAGTTATCAACAATCTGGTGAAAATGTTAAACAAGATGATTTCATTCTAACAATAACCGATGGTATTCAAACATCAACACCATTAGAAGTACCAATAGAAATTAAACCAAGAATATTACAAGGCAATAAATGGCATCAATCGGTCAACAATACAATATTAGTGAAAGAGAATTCAACTGTAACACTTACACCATCAGTTTTCCCAATGGACACAACTGATATGAATGCTTCGCCAACTGATATTTCAGCTATTTCCACTGCACCACAATACTTTGTTATTGTATTTCCAACAAAAGGCAATTTATTAATAGATCACAAAAATAAAGTGTCACGATTTACATATAAAGATATTTTAGAAAATCGTTTAATTTATCGTCATGGTCCAGCTGAAATAGGTGTTAAAAGTGTTTATGATTTTGCAAGAATATGGGATTTCAATGCTGGTGAAACATTCAGTTTAAATTTCACAATAATGCCAGTGAACAGTCAACCACCAGTATTAAGAAGTGAGACGTTATTACAGGTTAGTTTTCTTGGTATATATATATATATATATATATATATATATATATATATATATATATATATATAAACTGATTCTCGTTTTTCGAAACACTTTGTAAGCTACTTATTTGGGTCATTTTATAGTAGTATACATAAGCAACCTGAAAAAAATGTTAAAGATATTACAATCATTTCATATCATGATGAAATATTGTTTTATTTTCACGATAAATGACTGAAACTAAACACGTATAACTATTTCAAAGACATATCTCAGTCGAAGTGACTAACCGGTACATGCAACTTTAACATACAGGCAAATTATTTCGACGAGCTATTAATCATGATTAATTATTTTGAAAATTTGATTTGTCTGAAAGATGTATTCAGTTATAAACTTATATCAATTGGTCATCTCCAGTGAATGTCATATAGAATTGGTCAGTTGTGCTTTTACTTTTTTTTTAAATATTACTTTTAATTTGACAGTTGGTCAAACAAAATACAACTACTTAATGGCGCCAAATACATTTTATCAAGCGTCTGACTTTAACATTAGTTTATCGTCATATATATTCTCAATAAGATGATGGTCGTATGTAACTATTTGACACTCTTCACCACTATCTTATCTTAACAAAGTGGATGCGCAATGTCCAGTCATCTAGACTAATGGCTACATTAGAACTTAGTCGATAGCATTCGATCTACACAAAGAAGAACCGAATATACATAACATTGATCACCACCTAGTGATCAATCAATTATGAATATATTCTCAATTAATAACTTCTACACTTTGCGATGGAATATTTCAATGAACATTCTTACTAAAACATTTTAAAACTAACATCATTTCTAGTTGTAGAGAACAAAAAACACAAATGGTGATAATCGAATATATTTGAACACAAACTTACAGAATCTGAAAGCCATACAGTAAATAGTTGATTTGCATAATATCAATTAATTGTTTGAAATTTCACTGTTTCTTTTGTAAATATCAGTCCATCGTCTCAGATTTCATTGTTCCTTCATTTTCCGTTTCTATTCTTTCCTTCTTAATCTTCTATTAAAATACATCCTACTTTTAACCATCGTTATATCCTACTTATAGATATCAGTAGCTCATACTACATAGTGAAAAATACACAATACTTTGTTATTGTATTTCCAACAAAAGGCAATTTATTAATAGATCACAAAAATAAAGTGTCACAATTTACATATAAAGATATTTTAGAAAGTCGTTTAAGTTACCGTCATTGTCCAGCTGGAATAAGTGTTATTTTCCTTGAAAAAGCTTGGACCAGATTGCTAAACGAAACGTTGGATTTACTTCAACTTCTTTCGCTGAGATTTTAAAAATACATTCTTCCTCTTTAATAGTGAAAAATAGTTCCAAAAAAAACAAAATAAATTTATTATCAGAAGGGGTTTTGTGGAGATATTAGTAATGTCAATAGTTAAAATCATGGGTCCACTGAAGCTAGACCATCACAATGGAAAACCTGGAAGCAGTGGGCGGCCATTTCGTCTTATTATGGGACTCCTCAGCAATGCACTATTGAAATTACTAAAATCTTCACCACATCCCTTCTAATAATAATCATCTGCTCACTAGTGACTGACTTCAAGAAGCATTTCCTGAAGTTCTAGTAAGAAGCTATAACCAGTGGAGTTCAACCAGGTTTGTTGTGAGATATCATCTCACTGACGTACAATGATGTACGGTGGAGCAATTTCATAGATTGGTTGACGTTAAAAAATAAATTTATTATTATTTCATAATTTAAAGTTCATTTTATTTTAATAGGTTAAAGAAGGTGATAAAGTTGAAATTACTCCATATACATTATATGCTACTGATCCAGATACAAATGAATATGATATACAATTACATATAATACATCCACCAAAATGGGGTCATATTGAACTCATTAACAAAAAATCAATATCTAATCAACAATATAATCAATCAAATCATATCCAATTAATCAATAATCAATATAAACAAAATATATTAAATTTTAATATGAAAAATATACGTGATGGTTTAATTTATTATATTAATTCAATACATCAAAATGGACAAGAATCTATTGAAGATTTATTTAGTATTAAAGCATATGATGGTCATTATTATTCTATCAATATTATTGAAATTAAAATAGCTATACAACCAATAAATGATGAAATACCAAATGTACGTTTATTAAAATATTTTTCATGTATATTAAATACAAGAAAAGTATTAACCCCATATTTATTTCATGTGAATGATATGGATATACCAAGAGATATATTACAAATACGTTTTATTAAATTACCAATTTATGGTTATTTATTAATTTATTGGCAACATGGTGAAAAATATATAATAACACAATATAGTAATCCAATTACTGAATCTTATTTAGGTATGTTAAATTTAATTTATATACAAAATAGTTCATTAATTAATCAATCAATAATTAATCAATCATCTAATTCATCAATGATAATTATGGATCAATTTACTGTTGTTGTAACGATGGTAAACATATTGTTGAAAAAGAAGCTTATGTATTAATTAGACCAATAAATCAATATCCACCAGAAATGTATATCGATAATAGTAATAATAATAATGATGATGGAATTATATTAGATGGTCAAAAATGGACAAGATTAGATAGTAAACCTAATGGTCTTATTATAAATGATATTGATACATCAGAAGATGATTTAATTATAATAATATTAGAAAAACCAAAATATGGTATTATTCAACGTTTACCACGTATGTTATCAAAAGATGGTATAATAGATAATTTAGATTTAATTGAAGAAGCATGGGATATTGAAGAAATGAAAGCTGGTAATGATTTACAATCATTAGCACAATTATCAATTGCAGGAAGTATTGGTGGACCGAAAACAATTAAAATTTTAGATCGTGGTGATCAATTTACAAAACGTCAAATGACTACTGGTCGAATTCAGTAAGTATTATGTTTTAAATTCTATAATTTATTCAAATATATCATTAATGAAACTAATATAACTAATTAAATTCACTTCATATTGTTTACTTGTATCTTCACATTGTTATTTAGGACTGAAATTGATCAGTCTCATTTCGACATATGTGTATCCCGTGTGGATTGCCTCGATATGGCCTTAAGTCACAAGCATTATAACTAAAGATGAATAGCAGCTAGCAGTGGAATCCATGACGCGTGTTTTGTCCTATTTTGGACTCGTCAACTGGATGTATCTGCATCCGAGTTAATGTTCACTTGGGGACTCGAACTCAGTACCGTTCGCTTCAAACGCCATCACGTTATCCACTTAGTTACTGAGTCCTGATAGCAGGTACATCCAGCTGACGAGTTTGGATTCCACTGCTAGCCACTATCCATCTTTGCTTAATATAACTAATTTTAAAAAGGAAAATTTCCTGACGAATTTCTTAGCTTAATAAACTTACAGCTGGTCACATTTATTGTCAAGCTAAATGGTATAAACGGTAATTTTTGTAATAAATGATAGTCTTGGATTCTACCAGTGAATTAAAACTTTGTATGGGTAGACTACAAAAAATTCATAAACTTTAAACTGAATAAACATGACGACATAAATATAGCCAATCAGATAGTTCAAAGAATAACAGATCAAGTGAAGTGATGATCCAGCAATACTATTGAAATATGATTGCAAAAATCACAAATTAATTAACGTTAAAACAATATAAACTATCGAATGGCAACCCAGTAGTATAAATGTTAGGTGCTTTAGCGATACCTGATAGTCCTGTTGGATTACCAGTGGACTCGTGAATGAGCACTGCTGAGGAGTCCATGTTAAACATAAAAGGTAATTAGTTGTTCATTCAATGTAGACATGATTATTCACCCTATTAAAAGGGATTTTTGAGTTCCCTTCTACAAAAAACATTGAGTTATATCATCTATTTTCTAATATCTTACCTTCCGTAATGAAATGATTTTAAATTAACATTCTGTATACTGAAATGTAGTTTTGATATTAATATTTCCCATCTGAGATGACATTTTATGAATGATGATAAACCATGATTAAATCATTTAATTTTGAAAGATTCCTTTTTCTATAGCCTCTGTTACAGGCTAGATAGTAAAATTATCCCCACTTGTTACCTTCAAGGTGAGATAATATTTACATAGTACTGAAAATTGGGTAAGCCATCGATAGATCATCTATTCTGACCAATAAATACTAGAGACATTTATCTTTTAGAATATAAATTGCCATTTTCAAATATATTAGTTCTTATTTATTTCTTGATTAATCAAATCAATCCTCTCATTTGACGATTCATCCACTGAATTATGGTTATTTAGTCACTTTTTCTACATGAACCTAACTTTTGTATGTATCTTTGAAGATAAATCTATAGTAAACTCTGATCCTGATGATTTCGAATACTCATCAACTAATAGTCTAACCAACCAGTAAATTTAATAATCGTTCACCACTATAAGATTATCTTTTACAATCTCATCTCACTATGCTAATGGAGTATGGAAACATGAACCGATGTACACATTGTGCCAGGTTCTACGTTGTTTCATTGGCTGAGTAATAACTAGAAAGATCAGCGAAGTGATGTTGTACACTCACTAATTGAAATAATTGATAAACGTTATCTTTTCTAAACTCTCACATTAGTAATTCTTAAAAATGACATCACTCCTCTATCATTTCATATTCTACCTATTTTATTTATACTTATAGTTACCTTTACACAGGTCCTTATCAAGAACAATATCTTACTGATTCATGTGTACTTCGTTTATCTGATGGACAATATTCAACTGATCCTATTACTTTACGTTTCCGTATACGTCGAGTGGATGGAACCAATGGGGGATTAAGTCATTCATCATTGCCTTACCTTCCTATTACTAATCTACAAACTTTACGTCCATTAGAATATCCAGACTCGACAATCACTGAAGAGAGTAAGTAAATATTTATTTTATTATATACAATGAACTATTGGAATATACACTATAGAAAATGAAATCATATTATCATCAGAAAGTAAAAAATAATTACGTAATTACTGAAAGAATCCGTAAAAGTGAGTATTTATGGATACAATGAGTGTAAAGACAGTCATTTGTAGTGTTGTGCGAATGCCCGATTCTGCTACTGAAATAAAAGCTTCCTATACCAATCAGTTACTTGAGTGAGAAGGGAGCATTATTGGAAAATTAAATCAACAGTGTACATAATAGCTTATTAACAAAATTATGCCACGTTATTAACCATTAGTGAGTGTATCCTTCTTTCCTTAGTAAGTGAAGCCAGATCTTAGCGAATAGCATGTGTTTATCATTTAACCTGTCTGATTGGCCTAACGTATCATCAATATAAATCTCTTATGATTGAAATCTACAGCTTACTAATGATGAAGAATAAACATCGAAAAATTAAAATCGGATTGTTCATCGTCTCCTTTTTGAGTTTTCTCATTAGTTTCTGCGATGAAATGAAAAATGTTGACGCAAAAGAACTAAAAAAGCAAGATAGTCCTTCTAAAATCTTTCAAAGGTAATAACTTATTAATAAAATATCCACACTCGTTGATGACTTTTATACTGCCTCGTATTTTGCTTCATTACTGGCTTATAGACTCAGCAATGCGTCGATCCATTTCGGTGCTTTCCAGTTTTTTTATAACCAGATAAACTTAACGTAAGACACTTGAATATGCTACCAAAAGTTATCCTACTTTATGGTAGTTTGATGGTTAAATCCACTGAAATCAACATAATGCATGTAAGTCCTAACACATTAAACCTCTATCAGTATAACAAACGGTTACAAACTATTGTTCGACGCTAAGTATTTGTTATGTTCTAATGTCTTCCGCTTTTCCTTAGGAAACTTGGTAAGAGACTATTGTTTTATGATTGATAAGGTACCCTTTCAACACCACCTGTGAACGGATATCCTCAGTTATGAAGTGTTCTATCTCTTGAAAAAGTAGTTCTTATTGTAATCATTTAGCAACATAACGTCACTCCCAATTGAATTATGTTGAGCAGTTATCAGTTAATATTGTAAACCTAAACTGAAGACAAGCTCTAATAATGACCAACTTCCTTTATAACACCCGAGAACAAACTTGGAAATCTATTTCAAGTTCCGTATCCCTGACAGGTTTTTGAAATGAATGATCGTCATACGAAATTGCGAAGTGATTGAAATTAGAAATGTAAACCACTGAATTCCAACTTAGTGGTCTAAAAGTTAAATGCTCGTCAAGAAACCCTTAATTTATGTGTTTAATCAAAGGTTTAATCTTGGGTGCGCAGTTTCAGACTTGGACGAAACAACTATTCAATCCTTGCTGATTTTCAACCATTGTCTAACTAAAAATCAGTCTGTAATTCGAAACCTTGGGTTCAACATTCTCTATAACATCTTACCAAAATAATTTTTAATCTCATTTTAAAACCTGACAAGCATGTAGGCCTGTCTGATAACACATTTGTATAAACTAGCTTTGTGGGATCAAGAAAATCAAATTAAATTTGAAAGAACAAGCTCAGATAGCACAGCGTATTTTTTTATCATTTCATTTTAGTTACTTATAAGTAATTCAACTTTATATTCTAAAATCTTTCCGTTTCATTATAGATGACAAAGAAGGACATCAAATGCATCAAAATGATGCTTCAGACACTATATTAGATTCATTTAATACTGTTATACTAATGGCTACAATCAACAGATTCACATTTATCCAATATAAAGACATTCAACCGGACAAATTGAATCATAATCAAATTGAAATAACATTTCATTTAAATGACAATAGTTCATTGTTTCCATGTGGATTAATATCACATATATCAAATCCATTAAAAAATATTATAAAATTCACTAAGAATGAAGTACAAAATCATCAAATTGTTTTTTATGCTATAAATTGTGAAAATTATTTAAATAAACAATTTCAAATCGATTTTCAATTAATCAATTCATACGGTGATTATTTAAGTCAAAAATCAATAATAATATCAATACAAAAAAATAATCATTTATTACCTGAATTAGAACAATTTTCTGATTTATTAATTTTACCATATACAGATACATTAATTAAAACTAATCATTTATCTATTAAAGATAAAGATACTAATCCTAATTATTTAATTTATATTATATTAAAATATAATGAACAATATAAACAATATGGTCAATTCATTAATATGAATAATAATAAAAATAACAATAATGAAACAATTCAATGTTTTACACAATCACAAATTAATTCAAATCAAATATTATTTAGTTCATATTCATAAAAAATCAATCATTTTCAATTGATTTATTGATATTTGATGCTGGTGATATTGGACAAATTATTGATTTTAATCAATTATGTAATAATATTCTATTAGAATATCATTTAATAAATAAAACAAATAATCAAGAACATTTTCATCCATTTATTGAAAGAATGAATTATATTATAAAACAGAATAATACAAAAATGATTCAATTAAATGAACCGCTTAAATTTAACATACGATATAAACAATTGAAACATTTAAATAATAATGATCAATTATTAATTAATAATGCTCCAAAACCTGATACCTTAGAAACTATTCTTCCAGGTTATGTAGGATTTTATTTAAGTAGTGAAAATATTTATACATTAAATCCATGGTTACAATTTAAATTATTGAATTATGATAAAATGAATTGTGAATTATTTAATAAAATTGAAAATAAATCAATTCATGATTATTTTTATCAAAATGATTTAAATCGACGTAAATTAGTAGTTATTTTATTAAAAGATAAAAAAAGATTTAAAAAATCAAGGAAAAAGTCATCATTGTCATCTTCATCATCATCATCATTTTTATCAAACGATACAGTTTGTGAGATTCAATATGAAATTCAGAATGTAAATCAATCAACTGAACGAAAAAGATATAGGTAAGTTTGTCAGTTCTATATTTTTGATTACATTACTATTTAATAGGTTATTAATAAAGAAGGCGTTAGGTTTGAAGTGGTTACGAGTTCACTTAATCTGTGAACAGAACAAAGACTCGGTGAACAAAGATCAATAAGCTAGCTATTCGATGCGTCCTAGCCTCGTTAACTAGAGGAAGAAATCCAAGCTTGAAATGGGGAAATATAATCCACAAAAGCTAGAAGCACGAACAATAACAACAGACACAAATCAAAACGTATATATACAGCAAAAAACTATCCTTGAATAAAATTACAAAATAGCATACTAAGAGACACAACAGCATTTAAGATTCTCTCAAGTGGGAAATACGACATGAAGATGAAAAGAGCGCTTTTGGAACGAAAACAAAGAAATTCAAATTTTCTAAATAAAATTACAAAATTAGGTCCTTTTCCACGTGAGTTCTGGGGATCTAACGTCCCCGACAGAAGGATACCTTAAAATTATGGTTATAGTATTCTGCATAGATTTTGAGAAAAAGATTGAAGAGGAAAAAATATATATATATAGTCGTCCTATGAAAAGTTATAAAAAAATCTACGCCATTCAAAATTATGTTGACAGATTAGTTGCACTCAATTCATTTTACTTGCTTGAGTCTAAAAAAAGCATTTTCTACTTATAATTTAAGTAGAGATGATAGTGGCTAGCAGTGGAATTCAGAATGCGTATCTCGTTCTATTTAAAACTCGTCAGCTGGATGTACCTGCATCTCACAGTTGATGTTCACTCCGATTCAAACAGTCAGTACAAAAGTAAATTACATACACATAGTTCCCTTTATTATATTAAATAAAGCAAGAACAAAGATTGGTACAAAATAATATGAATTCATTTTATTTCATTAAGTTTCATCAGCTTCTTACAACCTAAATTATTTGGAAATCAACGTTACTACAGATATTGACATATATAAAAAGGTGATTAAGGATGTAACGAAGATTCTGATAGAGTTAATGAGGTCATAAAAAATTTTGTTTCTAATAAATAAAGTTTAGGTGGGAAAGTTCCAGAACATTGAAATAGTGATTAGAACTCATGAAGTTAACAAACATTAGATGATTGTGTAATGAAGTAATTTGACCACCAAATAGTAAAATTAGTTTTCATTAGGAATTTAAGTTGTTCGATTTTATAGATAAATGATATTTTATTTTGATATTTTTTCTATAATAATCGTTGACAAATATACATTTTTATTGTAAATATACATAATTTAAGCTATTTTCAGTTACTTAGTCTTTCAATCAGTTGAATTGTAGTGTCGGTTACTATGTTAAGTTCATATAACTTATTCTAGCTTCTAACAGACCGATTTATCCATTCCTCTTGAGTCAAGTTTTAACTTTGTTGATTATTGACTTATCAACCTTGACTGCTTTTATATGAACGTATACGTGTGTACACTTCTTATCTTATTCATCACATGTCTATGGCTTATTTTTGTGTTTATAAATATTGATTAATGCTTGATTAAATAGAATTGGCTTACATGCTTCTCCATTGCGCGTTATTTCGCTTCGCTCTCTTTTCTTCGCTTCATTTCCCTGATCGTTTGCCTGGATCAATGATTATATGAAATATATGTATTCGAAATGAATTCTCGGATTTGACTTATTGAATTCCGTTATTCACTAACGTGGATTAAGTCAATAAAGATATACAATGATTGGCGATATATATATTTCGACAGCACCCATTCATATGATATAACCGGAGCCAGATACAAGGCCACTCTAAAGGATAAAACGTAGAACCTGACTATTCTGGTAATATATATATACGTGAATTACTCGCTTGAAAAAAATAAGTTGTTTATTATATCTCAGACCACTGATTGCCTTCAGAAAAATTCAACGTAAAATTCATTATTTTCTGGAATAATAAACGAGACATAGTAAATTCATTATATCAAGACAGTTAATAGGATGAGAATAATGTAGGGATACCTATTGAATATTGCTGACTTCTAACTACAAAAAGTATTACAATGAAATGGATCGAGAAATCTGATTTAAATGAACACACTCTTCATTTAAATGGAATCCAATTACTTAGAATATAACATTCATTAAATTAAACGTTAGTCGACTGGACCCATCAAACAACGATTTGATCAGTAGAAATTTGTTAAAATACTCTTAAGGAAATAGATACTATCATTTATTTTGAGTATGAGCTGAACCGGACAATGATATTATTAGAAACCCTCTGTGAAAAAACGCACATTTCAAATCTACATAGATAAACTATGCCATTGGCTAGATCTTGAATTGGTTTCTCGAGGTAAAACAAGGCACAGTACCCTAGTTTCTCAAATATGATTTCATTCTGTAAAGTTATTGGAGGTAGTTGACATAAACCCCTGATATTGAAAATCGTCAGCAAGATTTACCTGTAGTTTTGATGAAACTAATACTCCAAATCAGCACTGAAAAATTGACACTGATCACAGCTAAATGTCAAACAACGGTAAATCCAATCTTTGTCTATCGGTAAAAGAATTACGTTGAGCAATCCAGACGTAAAGTCGTTTAACTTGACAGTAACACAATATTATTATACTAAGAGGCTTCGAGCTACAGTCAAAAGTGCTGCGTAATCGTGGTTGCTATCTTTGACTTCTGATCAATATGTCATGATCAAGTATTATGTGTCATAGTGCTACTTCAGAATTCTCAGTTAATTCTAGATCTAATCGAATTCGATTTCAATTCCAATAAGACAGAGTCAGAAGATACTGAATATTAAGGATTTGCTTGAAGGAGACTTTCGTAAATTCCCCTCAATTATCTAATTTCCAGTGTTATTATTAATAATACCTATATTATTGTATCATTAACAATTGTATTTACTTTTCTCATTCCTTCCAGTCTGGAATTAAGTTGGATTACTCTTGGCTTTGATCATAAAGTGTATACAATCTGTCCAGAAAGAGGTATTCTAACATTAACCGTGATACGAAAAGGTACAAATCAGGCGTTACAATCAACTTTAACTGATGTCTACGTTGGATTATCATCTGATACAGCGATTGAAGGAAAAGATTTCAGTCTACATTCACAAAAACTAGTCGTTTTTCATAAAGGTATTTATATGCATAAATATGAAAATGAGCAGCATATATAATTTGAACTTAATTTTCAAGAACTAATTTACGTATTACCTATATTCATAATTTTGATGTATTAAAATTAATGGTTTATGGTTCCAAGTGAATGTGAAGATAATGACTATCACTAAAAATTGATGAGAACCGTAAACGTTGAATTACAATCATCATCTTAATCTCGTTCAATGTATATAACTTATCTCTGAATTGTGAATGTTCTTGACCTTTATTTACATGATTTTTGATATAATATCCATTTCTGTGATTACATATACATCATTCAAAGTTATGTATGGTTTCCATATGAAAGGGACGTACAGTAGGAATTGCGAGAAAAAAAAAGCCTTATCATACCAATAATAAGAATAGTTTATTTAAATTATGTATAATAAAAAGACTGTTAACTTGAATATACATGATAATCATCAAATGGGAAAGAGTATATAAATACGAATTCCACGAGATCACTTAAAAATGATCCCGTATGACTGATCAATTCTGAAAAAAAGAACAATATTCATTACAAAGTAAATTAATTTAAAGAATGAGTAAACATTTGGAGAGCATTATGGCTTTTTTGTTGTTGTTTGAAACATCTGAATTCTTCATGTCACTTTTTTTTACTATCCAAACTTTTTTCATCGGATTATATTCCTTGAATAACATCATCAAACTCTAATCTTTCTGAATATTGTTTATAATTTTACTACCTCTACCACGATGGGATTCGAATCGACAGTTGTATCTTTGTGCTAATGTGATATGGCAACTTGAGCGGATGTACTTACGTACGTACGTATGAAGTTCTACATTGTTGCCGACTGACTAAGACATCTCATTATTATTGGCTCTGATATTATGACAAAAGATTTTCGATACAATAGTAACAGATGAACTGAACTAAACACAAATAAATGTTAAATATGACTGCTCATTTAACGTTAGGTCAAATATTGAGATTTTAATAGTTATATGAAGCATGCGCATATTAAATTAATGAATGAAATTTTATGAATTCAAACTTTATTTACATGTTGTTATGTTATGATCTTAGGATAAGACTAATTAATTTGTATTCTACAGATGATAGGCTAATTTGAGGTTGAATGATTAGTTAAATGGACCTTTTACAAATTACTTTTCAGCTCAATTGTCTTATCCTTAGACGAATTTCGGGATTCGAGTTTATCTACAGATCGTATATATATATATATATATATATATATATATATATATATATATATATATATATATATATATATATATATATATATATAGCTGGGTTCCATTAGGGTAAAGCGGAATCTTATTTACTTTTTATGTTATCGAATACATTAGATATGTAGTACTGAATGCACTGACGAAAAACTCGCATTCGTCAGGAAAACTTTAGCTAAAAACGGCTATCTAAGACGCTTCATAGAGAAGATTTAAAAAAGTATGGACAAGAAATCCGCTAATTCCGTTTCAAAGAAATACCTTTATATGAATCTGAAGTTTAAAAGTGACTCAACTACTGATGTAATTTAAAATGGGTTAACGACAATGATAAAAAGAACGTTCTTTGCAGAAAAGCTGCAAATAACGTTCACTTGTAGGAACCTGTTTTCTGTATCTGTAAAAGACAAGTTTCCTCATCTGGTTGCCTCCATGTGCATCTGCTAGTTCACCTGCTCTTGTGGAACAAAGTACACTGGCCGTAGCCAGCGCTCGCTTTCATCTCGGATACGAGAACATGTCCCAGTGTAATGCTACAAAAGCGAGAGAAAAGCAGTTGGAAGTTCCATTCTTGAACATCTAATCGACTCTAATCACTCTGCTGATTCACAAGTCGATTTTAAGGTCGTTTATATAATTCGTCCAAATAGACCTAGATTTCCTCATATCCAACTCCTTAAAACAACAGAAGTTCTTGCCATCTATGAGTTGAAGTCAAAATTGGGCATAAAAAAATAACTACGTCTTATCGTTACCTTGACCCTAAACTATTATTGTTACCATTATTGTTTTTATTATTATTATTTTAATTCGTATTTGAAAATATTCCCCCCTTTCTTTAATTATGTTTAATATCCTCATGATTTTATTCACAATTTATTTTGCAAATCACTTCATTTCATTTTTACTCCTCTATTACCTTTAATTATTTTAACAAAAGCATTTAATAGTTGAATTCACGAGTCAATTGAAGCTAGACCACCATGGAAAACCTGAAAGCAATGAAGGCCACTGCGCGATTTCGTGAATCGGTTGAAGTTAGACGTTAACAGCGTTGGATGCCAGCTCAGTGGTCTAGAGGTTAAGTGTTTGCGCTCGAGACCGACAGATCATGGGCTCGAATCCTGTGGGCGTGACTGTGGATGTACACTGTTGGGGGGGAGTCCCATACTGGGACGAGACAGTCGTCTAGTGCTTACAGGGTTCCCATGGTGGTCTAGCTTTAATTGGCTCATGAATTCAACTAGTAATTTACTAAAATCTCCATAAAACCCTCTTCTGATATATATACATTATTTTAACTTTCCAAATGTTGATAACATTATTCATTTTATTCAGGTGAACTAAAAAAAGACGTATTAATAAGTTTCCATCCAACTACAAGAGATTTCAATCATCAGAATTTACGATTTTATGTTGATCTTAAATCACCAACTGGAGCTATTCTAGATCGAAAATATAAAGCTGAAGTTGTTGTATCTAGTAAGTTTTATATATATATATATATATATATATATATATATATATATATATATATATATATATATATATATATATATATGTTTTAACTTTCTATAACTCATGACTACCAATCATCCTTCAGTCAGCTAACCATAAGTTATGGATTAGTGACTATTTTCAACACAGTGATCCGGAGTATTTTTCCTTAATTATTAAGTTTTGCGTAGATGAATATTACTAAGAAACACTTATTGTGCAGAGTAAGAAAAGAATGTCATGCAATTCACCGTTGCTTGAAATATTGTGTAAATTACTGGCTAACAGTTAAACATTCATTTTCAACCAGATTTATTTTTCATTAGAAATATTAATGAAGTTTCAGGTTACTATTTTAAAACTAGAAACTTCTGCCCAACAACAGAATTGTGCACATTTAAATCTATTCAAATAGATTACATAACATTAATTATCCATCTGTTACATAATATGAACATTTAGACAAATCATAGAAATGATTGCAATGATGAATAAGTTTCTCTATGATATAATATTACTCATTGATACTATAAACAAGACAGTATTTTAATTAAGAATATTTAGTTCAGCGAAGAGTTCTCTTTTCGGCGAATTCATTTTCATAGTTGTACAGTCGCAAATATATATATACTTATTTTAACAGGATGATAATAATACTGATAATAAACTTCTATTAGGCATGTTGATAGTTCCTTCAAATAAAGGAATTATTACTGCGGTGCACTTGTAATGTACAGTTTACGTTTAACGACGTAACTTATAGACAGAAGGACGGCATAGCAACGGAATCCCTTCTTTGTTTATTACATGCAGACTGCTTCATGGCCAGTTTAGAAAACAATCAACTCAAAGCGATTGTAGAAAAACTTCACTTGTATAAAAGATACGTAGATTCTATCTTTATTGTTTGTGACAACAAATATGACTTGAGTCATCTTCTGAAGATATTTTATAATTGCCATCCAACAATAAAATTCAACTTAGAAGTTGAAAACGGATATCCTTCGATATTCATTGATAAGAACGTGAAGCCGAAAACGCCAAAAACACAGATAACTACAGTAGAAAAGAAAACTCTATACATGAACATCGAATTCATTTTATTTATTTATTTATTTATTTGACACATGAATATTGGTACAAGAGAGCGCCAATATATATGCGCCACACAAAACAATGAAAATTCGAGAGGAATACAAAGAGAAAAAAAAAAAAAAAAGCTAAGGAGCGCAACAAAAAAAGAGAGAACAATAACGAAGAGATTGGTGTAAGGTAATGTGCTAGTAATCAGGGAACGCAAAGGTACAATCGGAAGAAATCTTTCAGGTAAGGGAGATGGAACCACTTTTTATGAAGAAAGTAAAAGAAGGTTACAGCAGGATCGCCACTGGCTTCTATTCTGAGCCATATCTGATAACGTCTCTAGCCACTGTGTAGCACCATCTCTCGGACCCCAACCAGGGAGTCGTGAAGGACCAACACAAGCCAGTCCTTTGCAGCTTTCTTTCATGCCACGACACCATGTCATGCACTGACCACCTCTCCGCTTCTTCCAACCAGTCCCAGAGTCGGCAAATAATGCACGACGTGGAATTCTCTGGGACGACATTCGGAGAACATGTCCAAGCCACCGAAGTCGGTGTTTCAAGATGGTGACACCAATTGAATTATCATCTCTGTGCCCGAACACACGATGCCGAACCTCTGCATTACTGACATGGTGTTGCCACTGAATGTCAGCAATCCTTCGGAGACAGCGATGATCGAACACAGAGAGTCGTCTAACGTCCTCAACTCGGAGAGGCCAGGTTTCACAAGCATAGAGCAAAACTGCTCTCACCGACGCGTTGTAGATCCGACCTTTTACAGCCAGACTAACATCACGAAGGCGCCAAAGGTGGCCCAGATTGGCATAAGCCGCTCTGGCTTTCACTATACGTGCATTGATCTCATCACTCACACCCCCACCAGCACTTATGCAGCTACCCAGATACACGAACTTCTCGACTACGTCTATCTGCTCACCATCCAGGGTGAGTACAGGATTGGAATCCTGCCAGTCTTGTAGAAGTACTTTGCACTTCGAAGGTGCAAAGCACATACCATACCTACGGACACTGATTGCCAACTGATTAAGTGCGGATTGCATGCCTTGGGCATTATCGCACAGTAAGACAATATCGTCCGCATACTCAAGGTCGAGAAGTCTTTCTCCAGGCAACAGATCCACACCACCATTACTTACATTCATCAGAGCTGTTTCCAGAATGTCATCGATGGCAAAGTTGAAGAGGAATGGTGAGATTGGGCAACCCTGCCTAACCCCACTGCTCGAATGGAACAATGGAGAGAGGTGGTTGTATGCCCTCACTCTGCCTGAGGTGTTTTTATACAGGGCTTTTAGGATGTTAATAAACTTCTCAGGCACACCCTTCTTCAATAGACAATCCCAGAGAACAGTCCTGTCCAACGAATCGAAGGCAGCCCTGATGTCAAGAAACACTACGATTGTTGGCCTTTGATAAGTATGGCGGTGTTCTAACATTTGGCGGAGGGTGAAGATATGATCAATACATCCTCGACCAGAACGAAACCCAGCCTGCTCCTCGCGAGTCAATCTTTCTCGGGTTTTGAACAACCTACGAAGTATGACGGAAGCCAATAGCTTGGACGCAATCGGAAGTAGACTTATCCCCCGATAGTTGTTACAGGAACGACGTGAACCCTTTTTAAAGATAGGGACAACTATCGACTCATTCCATGACGTTGGTACACTCTCTAGTTCCCAAACCTTTGTAAACAACGTCGTCAATTCCTTAGTCAAAAAGTCACCACCATCTTTAAAAAGAGCCGGAGGTAAGTCATCTGGGCCAGGTGATTTGTAACGCTTCAAGAGTTGGAGTTCCTTGCGGACTTCCTCCTCGTTTGGTGGATCAGTCGTCACCGGCCATGGAGGGCAGGACAGTCTGACCGATGTTGCCGGAGCAGCAGGCCAGTTGAACTGCCCTTCGAAAAATTCTGCCCATCGTCCAAGACGTCGATGGATGTTAGTGATTGGCATCCCATCATCCTCGCAGATTGTTTCACTCACACCAGACTTCTTGCTGCCAGTGGCTCGGATGAGCTGGAAGAGCTTCCGGTAGTTACCAGATGCAGCTGCTGCTTCCAGCTCATTAGCACGCATCGACCACCAGGCTTCTCGGTCCTTACGCAAGCTTTGCCCAATTTCCTTACGTAACATCCTTCGTTTATGGTCAAACTCACGGTCACCCGGAGTAGACCGACGGGCTTCAATGAGTTGTAAGGAACCAGAAGAAACCCAGTGCTTAAAAGCGGGACGTTTCGCAAACCCACAACTGACTGTTCCCGCCATTTTCATGGCGTCATGCAATTGCAACCAATGCTCATCTATACTTTTCGGTGGAGTGGTAGCTAGCCTAGAGGCTAGCTCGGTTCGATACTTACTTGCAACAGAAGTTGCAACCAGCTTGCTAACATCAATCCGTTGGTGGCGGTCACTTCGTTGTCCACTGAAAAGTAAGGCAAGATTGGCGCAGACCAAGGCATGGTCAGAGTCCAGATAGGTACTCCAAAAGGAGCGGCAGTCTTGTACACAACCACGCCAGCGGTAGCTGATCGCGATGTGATCAATCTGAGTCCAGGCTTGAGATGCAGAGGGAGGACGCCAGGTGGCACATCGGCGATGACTGTGCCGAAAGTTAGTGCTAGCCAGAAACAGGTTGTGGTCTGTGCAAAGTTGCAGTAGACGGTCCCCGTTATCTGACCTGCGACCAACGAGTCCCCATCGGCCACCTAAACGACTCTCTTCTGTGCCTAGACGCCCGACCTGAGCATTCAAGTCTCCGGCTAGTACTACAATATCTGTCGAACGCACTTTCTGGAGAAGAACTGATAACTGGTGGTAAAACTCATCCTTGATTGCATCCGGGCTGCAATCTGTCGGGGCATAGGCGGAGATGACGAAAAGACATCGTTTCTCACGCCGATTTCTTCTCACTTTGATGGAACTTTCTAATCTAACAGCACATAACCGACTGTTAATGGGGATCCAATCGACTAGTGCTGCCTCAGCTCTAGCGCTTAGTGCGACACCAACGCCAGCAAGACCAGACGAAGATGCCACAGGGTCCCCGGATAAGCGCACGTAAAACAAGCTTTTCGAAGCGACAGATGGAGATCGAATTTGTAGTACTTCGCCAGAGTCTTGAATACGGGTCTCGGATAGACAACAAACATCGATATTAAGACTTTCCAAAGACATAGCCAGCCCTATCTGTTGTCCGACCTGCATAAGTGTGCGAACGTTGAAGGCAGCCAGTTTGAATGGTGCACGTGGTTTCAGGAAAACTGCTTCAGTCTCGTATTCGGTGGTAACATACAATTTTCAACCGGACAGTGACTCGAGAACGTTTAGATACAGTCGGATTTCCACCAAAGACGAGCCGCTGTATAAGTATAAAAGAGGGTGAATAATGTGGGAAATAATAATAATAATAATAATAATAATAATAATAAGACAATAATAGTAATAATAATAGTATTAATAATGACAATAATAGTAATGATAATTATTTGAATCGACTGATTGTTTTTCGGAGCGATAAAAGTAGTTGCCAAAGACATAGAGTTCATCGTTTGTGTGTGGGCTGTGATACTGCCCGGGTGCCCAAACCGAAGCAGGTGGTTTTCTTAGGGGGCCACTCCCCGAGCCTTTGACCTAAAGGTCTAACCCACAAGGCAGTGGAGCATCGTAAGGAGATGCAATCCCATGGTAGCCGGTGACCAAAGATTGGTTCATACGCCATTTGTTCCCGCAGGATACTGGAGCCCATGTGCACCATTGGTTTGTGATCCGGTTAAAGCGCCGGACATTCGCTTTTCGTCCTCTCATTTTCGTAAACAACACCCCCGCCACGAGAAGGCAATGAGTAGGACTTCCCTGGCAGAGGCTGTATACGCGCGGCCGTGTGAGAGTATTTCGAGAGGGAGAGCGGACTCACCCCACTCTCGGCCGTACCAGGGCATTCGGGGGCACATCGAATTCAAGGGTGACAGAGCCACACACACCCTAAAGGGGAGAATTTCTGATTATTTAAAAAAACATTCCACACAGCAACACTGCGAACAGTATTCTCCAGCACATCATTCTTCACCAATAATCTTAAAAATAAATTATCGCATCTGACCAACTCAATGTGCACTTATCAATTTACCCGCTCATGTGGAGCTAGGTACATAGGTCGTTTGATGCATACTTTATTCAAAAGAATTCAAGAACATCGTCCGGCATGGCTAAAAAGAGGAGGAAGAGACACAATAAGAAGCTCAGTAATCGAACACCTTGTTAACACACGTCACTCAATCAAGACAGAATCTGTGTTCAAAGTCATCTACAAGGTAAGTGGAAGTCTCCCAAGAACAATTAGACTGCATCTTCTTTGCATTGCCGAAGCAATAACCTTAATCTGGAAAAGCCAGAATTGTGTACAATCTCTTCTTCTACCATGGTCTTGATGTCTTATAGTTTTTATTTTTCAATTTTCTTTACTTTCATTTTTATTTTACTTTTTCCCTCTATTTTCTCTTTCTTCATTATTATTATTATTATTATTAGCTTTATTCAATATTATATTATTGGTACAATATAGAATTCTCAGCACAAAGTATTTCAACAAGTTTCCGTTTCTTTCTTCTTGGTCGGTCCTCGCGATAAATACTGAGTGGTCGCCAGCTAGATGTTATCAGTCCAGTAAATGAACATGGGAATGATGTACATTCTTTTCGTTGTACATTGCCAGCAACCATATTCTCTCTTTTTGAGCTTTTTGTAACTTTAATAACGAAAGGTTGTACATTTTTCAGAAACGCAGCAGTATAGGTTGTGCGATTAATAGACATAATGATATATTAAAACAAACAAAGATAGATAACTTGTTGAAATATCTAGATGGCAGGAACAGGTAGCCCAGATGCTCAAGCAGGCCGCCTAAACCAGTTCTTCATACTCTTCTTCCTTTACAGCCATCTGCTTCACCCTTCATCTTCCCCTTAATTTCCTACCCCCAACTTGTTCATTTTGTTTCCACGATCATCCTCATTACATTAAAGCTCAAAACTCAACATTTATCTTAGCATGCTGAGCTACCCGTTCCCAATGATAATTTCTCTATCTATCATTTGATGAATACTTAAGCCATTACCAATCAAACGATTATTAAACTTTCCTTGTTTTTAAAAGACTTTTTTAATAACTTTGTTTAATTAACCTCACTATCACCATGCCTAACAGAAGTTTATTATCAGTATTATTATCATCCTGTTAAAATAAGTATATATATTTGCGACTGTACAACTATGAAAATGAATTCGCCGAAAAGAGAACTCTTCGCTGAACTAATCTTTCCTAATCAATGTCTTAATGGGTGTATTCCGTTTATTAAAAAAAGAGATTTATTTGGAAAGTTTTGTCCCCTCTTTAAAAAAACAAAACAATACGAGAAACTATTAAAAATAAACATCTTCATACGATTACACAAGTTGTATATGAGTAGATTACTGAGTGTGGAAATAACTTCACCAATAAATGCATTCCTAATTCATCTTATATCTCTAAAGAACAATAAATGTCAGCATGAAGTACTCAATAACTGCAAATAATAATAATACTGTAGTGAACGAGAACACCAGTGTGGACAACCAAATGTACTTGAATACAAAATTACAAAATAACTTAGTAAAATTTGAGTACCATACAGTAAATTGTTCATTTACAAAATGTCGATAAATCATCTCAGACTTCATGGTTCTTTCTTATGCACACCAATCATTCTCTGTTCTCGTTCTCTTTCTTTCAATCTTATTAACCTTCTGTCGTCAATTGATGATACATACTACTTATATCTGTCGACATCATTAGCACACACCACAATACTTTGACTGGTCTTTTAACATTAATTTCTAAACATGATAACATAAAGAAATATGTTTTAACCTGATTGACACTGAGTAATTTAAATCACAAACAGTTAATTACAATAAACTAATCGAATCTAATTCATAAATATCAAAACTTATTTTCACTTTATTTTGAAAGTGATTAACAAAAGGGATACAGAATTGTTTAGACCATATTTGTATTAAATGCCTGGTAACTTTGAAACAGTATTAGAAAGAACTCAGTGTTATATGATGTTAATTAGGAATTAACGGAGAAAAAATTTCTTTAATTTATTCATTCTATTCCTATTATTAGCAAATATTTTCAAGTTAGTACTAATCAACTAGAACCTAGGTGATTAGATTTTCAACTTTAATTAATTCATGATGATCAGTCAATATGATATAATCTATGGAAAAGTAATAATTACAACAGAAAACTGTACGCAAAGATGGATAGTGGCTAGTAGTGGGACTCAGGATACGCGTTTCACCCTGTTTGAGACTAGTCAACTGGACGTATCTGCGTCCCAGAGTTGATGTTCACTCCGGGACTCGAACCCAGTGCCGTTCGCTTCAAATGCCATCGCGTTATCCACCAGCTTATGCAATGAGGGGAAGTTTACATTCACTTGATGTTGTTTTACTTGTATCTTACTACTGATATTTAGGACTGAAATTGATCAGTCTCTTGTTGGCATATGTGCATCCTGTGAGGATTGCCTCGATATAGCCATCTTTGCTTATAATGTTTGTGGCTTAAGGATATATCGAGACAATCCTCACAGGACACACATATGCCAACATGAGACTGATCAATTGCAGTCCTAAATATCAGTAGTAAGATACAAGTAAAACAACATCAAGTGAAGAAAACTGTATGATTCACAAAAGATAAAAAGATAAAACTGATTGCATTAGTAGGTTTTATTCATTCTCCAGAAAAAAACCCAATGACAATCATTTCATGAAAATATACTTCTTTGTACATTGATATTACATTCGATGACTGATTAACAAATATGACATGCAAGCAAAATAGGGAAAACAGAAAAATGAGTATTACACATAATTAACGCAAAATGAATATACCACTTCAAACTGAACAAGATTTACAATGAATACAAGGTTTATTATACTTAGAAAATATTACTCTGAACTAAAATGACTGTTATGTAATGATTCTTTCTTAAAATGTGATTATATGTTATGAGTGGTTAAAGAAAATCAATTTCGTACTTCACGCAAACTCCAATCAATTTAAGCAGTGATTATCAGATCACTTTGGTAAGTTACTTACTGTCTTAATGTTAACTTTATCAGTCATGGCTGCTTACTAAAATTACACAAAAATTAACATTAAAGTAGATGACTATTGTTATTAGTTGAGTAACATGACGTTTGTATATTTATCGAAAAACATTCTTAGTATGCACTGACATTTCAGTCGGTAGAATCAAGTTAGGGTAAGATAATTATTCAACAGACCCCATCCTGTTTGGGCTTCCAGTTTTCTCTTTTGGGCATTATCAGATTGTGATTTTTAGAAAATCATCTTGAAACTTTACCTACACCTATCTTTATTGTATTAGTTCGTCCATTTTTTATTCATGTATATACTGTCTGTTCATTTTATTCGTTAAACTGTTATTTATCATTATTTAGACAACATGGAAAGTGTCAATCAAAATCCTACTTTACACCGACAAAACTAGGAGACGAAACAACAAAAGCAGCAAATGTAAGTAAATAGTGTTTGTGTACCTTTACATAATATATCGAGATGGTACTATACTATGATATTTGTAAGCAGTTAGTAATGAAACCAAACATTTTCTTAAATTTATCATCTAAATGTTATACAAATTAAGACTAACGCATACTAAATAAATAAACTGAAGCATGCTAAAGTTAACAATTTCTCAGTAAACTATTGACATTTAACAGATCTCTGCAATTGTAGTTCAGTAAACGAATGTAACTGTACGTCTTAAATACCATATGTGGGATAATTTAAACCCTTACTTACAATAATCAGGTAGCCCGATTTGCAAAAGGCTATAGAGTAGTGTGATGTGGTATTGTTCTGTGATAAATTTAAGAAGACGTGTATGCTATATATATATATATATATATATATATATATATATATATATATATATGCCCAACTCCTTAATGGACCCGATCAATAACAACATAAACACTACACCTTCGAACAAGTTCGGACGGTTATCCAGACTCATTAGTTTAATGAATAATACATTGAACGTTTTAAGAGGAAAGTAGAGTTTTGAGTTTCAATGTGAATATCGACGCTAGGATGTGGCAGATACATCCAGCTGATGAGTGTCAAATAAGATGATACGCGCATGTGATTGTACATTTGAAAACGACCCACTAAAGAACTATACCGAGAAAAAAAGATTTTGACTAGTTAAATTGATTTTTCTACACTTTATAAGACTTTTTGTTGAATGATTAAATTATCAAGTATAAGTCGTAATGTGTGTCACCAAGATTCACAAACCTTGCAATTTGGATTTCAATCGAAAATTCCGAAATTATCTTACATCTAGATCTCACATGATAAGACAACCATATGAAGTTTAACCAATCGGTATGATTATGAATAGGAATTTGATTTAAACCTTTATCTAAGCAGTTGAGATCATGAGTCAATTGAAGCTAGACCACTATGGAAAACCTGGAAGTACTGGACGGCCATTTCGCGCCTGGCGCGAGACTGATAGGTCCTAGGTTCGAGTCCCGCGAGGCGGGGTCGTGGATGAGTACTGCTGAGGAGTCCCACAATAGGACGAGACGGCCGTCCAGTGCTTCCAGGTTTTCCATGGTGGTCTAGCTTCAATTGACTCATGATCTCAACTGTTGAAATTACTACAATCTCCACAAAACCCCCTTCTGATATTAAATCTTTATATTCCAAAAACAAAAATATTATTTATTTTGTAAAAATTATAGTGCAACTGTTTGATTACAATCAGAAAGAACTCCCTGAACTTCTATAGATTTTGATTATGGCTATCAATGAAATCCATTATCTGCATCAAATTCTATTTGGGATACATCAGTGTGATATATCTGCATCCCGTTATTAACGTTTATACCGTGTATCCAACCAAGTGTCTTTCAACTAAATGCGTTATCTACAAATCTACTGAGTCCAAATGGTCTCTAACTTGTTAAACGAGTATAAATGTCTCAAAAAAATTATTTTCCCATTGTCGATATTGTGAACTATTGATCAGTCTCTATTAATATAGGTGATTAGGATGAAAATCCAGTTCTTAATATTAACGACGGGAAAACGTGAAAACCCTTACAATGAATAAATCGAATAGTTTAAAGATGATTTTCATCACTAACTGATATCAGCTGGAAAACTATTCTAAACCAGAGAGCATTAAACAATTAATTCATTCGAGTTTACAAGTACTCAAGAATCAACAATTACAACTGTACACAAAACTAAATACAGAAACTTCCTGTTTCGCTATATGCGGAAAACCACAGTTTAAACTCAGCGACTTCAATTTTCAACTATGAACGATATGATTCCCTTACTCAATGTAAATTACATAAGTAAAATCAAAAGCTTTTACAAACAACTGAACAGCTGTATAAAAAATTTGCCACACTCACATCTATTCATGCATCTAATCCTGCGTTACTAGTATATTTGTTACTCTCGTCTTTTGAGATAAATTTATTGGAATATTATTGCGTATCATTTCTCCATAACCGAACTGCAATACAGATTTCCACTCGGAGATACTTGAATTTTTGAAGTTAAACTCTCAATTTATTGGTATATATAAACCGCTTAGTCTTGTAAAAAAAATTATCACGATACTGTCCCGTGGTTACATCACTGGTGGTAAAACTAGATGACAAGGGTTTGTATACTATTTTAGGTGGAAAATAGCATGCTTAAAACTTTATATACGCCTTGCGAATGATTGTATACATCGTACGTCCAGGTCTCTCTTTCGACTGCCCATATCTAATCCACTTGTTTTCAGTACATCACGGACTTACTTTACTTAAAAAACCACAAAACAACTAGAACAAACTTGAAAACTGTTTAGTCTTATTAGGCAAACTACAGTAAATCGAGGTCTGGACCTGAAACTTATTGGTTGTAAGCCGATCACTTTAGCATATACATAAACAATATCAACCCGTTTTGTTGGCACTATTCAATCATTTTTCATTTATTTTATCTTTTACTCTCAAGAATCCAGTAAAACGAGATCTTACAAGTATCATTCACTCCAATCTGGATAAAACGCGTAATAATCCTATTTATTTATCTGATGCACAAATGAATAGTGATAATCACGATGAAGATTATTTGAAAGACTTTAATTGGCAATCAAATCAACAATACAGAATGGAAAGTGACCCAATCAAAAATCATATTAGTTTAACCGAATGGCTTGCAACAAATGATTTACCAGATTCTAAAACGTTAAGTGCATCCTATGAAAACTATATGTACTCAAATAAACACATAATGCATTGTTTAAATGGTCAGTAAATTTTATTATTTACTGTTCTTTAGTGAGTAGTATAAATTTAGTTCAGTAAATTAACGCCCCTCCTTCCAGCCTACCCACGGTTTTGGACTACCTGTTTGGTGTAATTGTAAGGTTAACATAATCTATTGATATATTTAAGTGAAATTTAACTGCTCCAAAATAAATGTATACTGTTTTGGAAATTATTTGATTTATCCCACTTGATAATCTTGACTGAATAATTTATCAGTCTCAGTTGATACATGCGCATTGTGTTCGGATTTCCTCAAAATAACCACTTTCCGACCAAAGAGTACTAGTTTCAATCACCAACGTGAACATTACAATGTATTCAGGTACATCCAGCTAGAGTCCCAAACAAAATAAGACGCGCGTTCTAGATATCACTGCTAGCTATAATTCATCTAATCTATAAAATATTCTAATTTTGTTATTAGACCTTATTGTGAAAGAAAAACATGCTTTCATCAAACAAAAACTTAGCTGTACGCCGACATCAAATCTTGAGCGACTTTGCATTGTTGATTCGTGTTAGCATTAGGCTTTCATCAGAAAATACCGCCTAAACTAAACCAGTTTCGAATGAATAAATGCATGAATCATGCCAGTGAACTGTTGGGTCAGCTTATTAAACTTCTACTGATCCTATTAATTATTGAGTAACTCAAAAAACCAAAGTTTAAAGTATTTTTATTCGAAATATTCCATCATAATTGATTCTGTAGTTCTATTTTTCATTAATACATACATAACATAGGATGGAAATTTTATCAACATCGTTGTTATCGACTATATGAAAATAAGAAAATGACTTGGGAAGAAGCACGAAATTATTGTGAACTGCAAGACGGATTTCTGACTAGTATTACAGATGAGACAAATTTGAAATGGTTAGCTGAAATATTTCAAACACGCAAACCATTCTGGATAGGTAAGTTTTGCTATGGCGTTATTTCAGGAAAGACTGAAATGCATAAATAAACGTTTTTTCGGTAATTTAACACAAATTCCATTTGCGAATTGATCAGTAATATATCCAAAACTATTCTTAAGTTAAATTCACGAGAGCATTGAAGTTATGCTGTACAGCAATCGTTAAAACATCAAGAGGCTATCAAGATTTTATTTAAATCTTTTCACTAAGAACATCAGCTGGGGTTTCATCGAGTACAAGGAACCAATAGACAGAGGTTTCGCCCCTGTACGAAACCCGTCAGTAGTGAGTAGTTTGTAGGGTTTCAACTATGTTTCAAATGAAGCAGTTTCCTGTCAAGGAGACTAAATGATCGTCACAGAACATCCTGAACTGACTTAAGATGGTGTGGACTATGTTTCCAATCCAGTAATCTAAATGTGATGGGCTAGTTTCAAGAACTGAAGCTTATGAGTTCAATCACTTGCAAGGTTATAGACGCACAATGCTGAAAAGTCATATCCTATGAATAAACAGTCAGTAAACACTCGTCTTCAACGATTTCTTGAGCAACCTTAATTCGAGACAAAAACCACCACAAATAAATTTATCTCTAATAAAACCCGACGAGAATTATATTCAATTTGATTGGAGTGCTCTATTCTAACCACGTTCCACCTACTTCTGAGGTCTGGGGAACGAAATAGGAACACTAGACCTCGAACAAAATATTGGAAAGTTCAAACCCTAAAATATGAAACCATAATCGGCAAATAAACTAAATCACTAGTAAATTTAGACAAGACAGGAATCGAATTTAGTACAAACTTCAAATAAGTTTCCCAGTTGAATGATAATTTCAATGTAAAGCAAATGATAATGGTTTTCCATTTCAAATTTTCCAATCCGTATTTATACGATGAATACATAAAAACATGCAATAAAATACTAGTGAGATCAAATCTAAACTACAATTTTTTTCCTTAATTATAGGTCTTCACCAAACACAACCACGCGGACCATGGGTTTGGCATAATTTCGAACATGTTGGTTTTACAAAATGGGATAAAGGACACCCGGTCAATACAAAATGGCGATCACCAACTAATAAACAGATAAAACGTAAACACTACCTGTTACAAAAACAAAAACATTACAGAGGACCTAAAGCTTGTGTACTTGTAACTCCTAATCTATATTGGCAAAATCGACTTTGCAACCGAATAATTACAAATGTGAATTTCATATGTATGAGGAATCCTGAAATATTCTAAGAGATAAGAAAACAACTATGATGCTGATAGAATTACTTGATTAACGAAACGGTCATTTCTTTCCACCTGTTTACGGAGACAAACACCTTTTCAATCTTTTCCTTTTTATTTCTTCTGATATATATATCTCTATTGGTTATAATTAATTTACGAAACAAAATATGCTTCAACATCACCAATATAATGAGATTCACATGAAGTATACCACAGTATATATGTATATAAACTTCACTATTATTATTAATTTTGATGCTACTTATTATTCAAATAAGAATTAGTAGCAACTAATCATAGTTAGTTTAACTACTTACATAAACCTATAATGCACTAACACACCATTACAAAAATACATTCACAGGAATACTAACGCTAGTACAAATCAAAGACGCACAAGTTAGAACTGATATAGTCTGACTTGAAAAAATATCCGGCTTCCTTTCTACTTCCTTAGGAATCATATGCATGTAGTACTCTTTTTTCTACTTCGCAGCGAAACAAAACTGTAACTCTCCACATTTTTACTTACAAATTGTAAACTTTGTGCTATATATCTAACGTTTCGATATAGTTGGTTTATGTTTAGGATTAGAAAACATATGTATGAATTGATAGGTAACAGTTTTGTGTTTTGAAAATCTTTAAGGATTCAATCAACTTCTAAGAACACATCTAAATGCGGTGATCTCTAAGTAGCGAGTAGTAATGAACTTCTGACTCTTTATAGTTTGCTCTTTATTTTTCGTAACCTACAAGTTGATCAAATTTAATGAGTGGACTTCAATATTATCTTTTTCCAAATGGCATTTTGAACTGAGAACCTTATCCAACTATAAGAAAGACATAATTCAACGTTTGACTTTCGATCGACCTACAAAACTATCTTCTAAAGTTTGGCTGAAATAACCATCGAAAGAGGACCAGTCGATAAATGGAACTTGAAAAACTCGTAAAATTGATACAAATACCATTATCTTATTAAAAGCTTCAATATCTGATATTTGGGCGTGGTACAGTATAAGTTTGTATCTGCATAGTTTGACCCATTTACGGTTGCACAGGTCTCATCATCTAGTACACTAAAATAGATAAACTAGCTTACAACTGTAATATGAATTACACTGAGACTATTGCTTAGTAATTGAAATATCCTAACTCCTGCTAATGGACTTAAGGTCCAAACTCTACTGCTAATCGAACAGCAGGGAGCTATATCTAGCCACTAAACGAGGCAGTTGTAGGCTGAATATGTTAACCCTGAACTTAGTGAATGATTTTAGTTTATAAAACATGAATTTTCTATGCACCTGGAATGAATCATAATATGCGCTAAGAGAAAGTAACAAAAGTTTCATACCGACAGCGATGGCTTTTGATGTCTTCAGAATTTGAAAACGTACATGGTACAAAGATTTACTGAATTTCTTGATACACTTAGGTTATATGACCATACAATTACCAATACCGAATACAAGAAACTCTGAATCCACGACTATTCTGCATTCTATACTCTCCAAACAATTTGGCTTTTAGGTGTGATGTGTAATTATCGGTGCTGAGTTATGTGAAAATGACTAATACAATCCCTAAGGAAAAAAAGGTTCATTGGGAGCTTATTTTCCTAAATGACTCACAGAGAGATCAAGAGACAGAAAATTGAAGTGCGACGGTTATGTATAGTGGACCCAATAATAGGAATAAAAATTTTCAGAACGAGTAAAATCATAATTAGGTTCACCGCTTAGGCAACAATAAATCATCTATACCTAGTCCACATATTCCCACAAATTTTTTTAGGTTAATGGGTCCCAATACAGAAGGCCAACCGCTTTGTTTGCTGCAATTATTTACAACACAGAATCGTTCACCAAGAATACCGAAGTCTATATCCCAATCGAATTGTGACAAGATAGTTTGTCGATATCCCGACCAACAGTCTATCTCTTACAGTAAGATAAGCTAATCACTCAGTCGGGTGCCATTACTGCATAACTTTGAAAAGCACTACTATTTTCATAAGTGAAAACTCTTTCAGCGACTAATATAGCTAATCAGATTGCATCACAGAAGCCCGCTCGTCCTAGCATTATTATCTTAACACAGATATTGGTACAAGGAGGCACGAAATACACATGCGCCATACAGATCTCATTCGATGTGTGAGGACTGTGATACTGCCCCAGTGACCAAACAGAAACTCGTCTTAAAACCAGGTACAACATTTCTAATTAGAGATTATCTTCGTTGCTTACTAGCTGAATTCCAACATTTGGTTGCGAATGAAATTAGCCAAGCGATTAGCCCTCAAACCGACATACATATCAAGCACGATAGTGGGACCTAACTGAACTGTTTAAAAGCACCGACAATAATGACCAGTTGCCACTAGTCCTGAAAAGTTTGCCACAACTTGCAGAAATTCGAGACTTTACTAACGAATATACACCACACTGAAGATGAGTAGGATAAAAATACTAATCGAACATATACGTGATGTTATTTTCACAAATAATTACTGGCTCAATATAGCGACTCATTCAATTTTCACCATTTTCTCTACCTAATAATAATGTGTGAAACATCTTTGGATAATGGTACTGCTAAAAAAAGTCAGATTGGAAGGCGATGATGGGCTGAGGAATATATTCTACCCCTAACTACCAACAATCAGACGTTATCCGCGATGAGTATGGTACAAACGAGGATTGAGCTTGATTTTTATATCATACCAGTACAATACAACTAAGGATGAGTAACAGGTGTGCCGAGATAATACAGCAATAGTAATAGGCAAAATTGATCGAGAAACTGATCAGAGAAGATCGACAGCAACGTACGACGAAATAACAGAAATTAGTATTTAAAGGACTACAACGAGTGCATATATTTGCGCCAATGACTGACTAGGTTATCACTCAATGTCTGCAACCACTGATCTTGGTGGAGGTTCGAATACATAACAAAGTTTTCACTAATCTAGATACCCTACGCCAAAATCAGAAAACTTCATGAAGTATTACAGCATTCGGAGTTCGATATAGTATTTTTCCGACTTACTAATAGGTATCCAAAACATTATCAACGTTATGTCCATTCGGAAGACTATAAGTTATTTTAGTATAATACAGTGCTGGTTGATAAGTCTGTTTTTTATGCTACCAGTATTTTTGGTTGACTGCCGAATAAAAGAAACGTATATAGACTCGATAGCAGCCAAAACTCTAATTACAACTCCAGCACTTTGTTTAATACACTGAACGAAATGTGTGGCTATAATTCCATAGTCGATAAAAATTAAGAGACCAGACTATATGGTTTCTCAAGTATGTAGCTGTGACTACTGAACCTTTTACAACTAACTGAATGGTTAGTTCATAAATAGCGTAATATTTATCTTCAACTTTTCGGCATTTCCAGATAGGAATTCGTGAACCGAGATATCACCTGAATTATCATTCCTAAGCTGTGACAAAATGTAGACACTATTACAGTTATCGTCAAGAATAATGTGATGTCCGACTGCTATATTGTAGAAGGGCTAACATGCAATTTGTCGGTGGATATTATACTAAACAGACAGACCAACATTCCGCAATAATGCATCATAATAGTCAAAGACCATTTAACAACTGAGTTGTACAACTTGACTGTCTCAAGATATTACACCAATGACAAATTTCTACTTTATAATTTATTTACGAAACTACAATCATGTATTAAGAAAAAACCAAGGAACCTAATTATTATAAAGGCCTTAATACCCATCTGCTCGTAGCACGAACATATGCAGAAGCTACATGTTGTGAGCAGTAGTTTAGCTAAACTAACTGGATGAGCATATACACGAATTACAAAAACGACTTGATAAGCTATATGATCGTCGAAACATGTATAAACTGATCTATGCTTACACTAACTGGTCAACAAGGATTCAATAGTTTAACACCCAGATTACAAGCTAATTTTAAGAATTGCCACGACAAATAAGAACCAGATAACAAATGCCAGAATTTCCTCTTAACATTATTTGTTTAACAAAATACCATCAAACTTTGTTTGAAACCACTTCATAGCTTCTTCCTTTTGGACATGATGACTGTTACCAACGCGGCTTTGACAACGACGTCTAGTTTAAAAATTTAGTAACTGAAGGTAATATTACCGATATCTAACGCGCATCCCAGGTCTGCCCAAAATGACGTAGAAGTTCATTCCATAAATCCCAATAGCGGGATCGTATTTTAATCCAAGATCAATATGTTCCGTCAATCCAAAGCCGAAGTTTCCGGTTTTACTGAAGCATGATTTAGGAAGCTCGTATTCCTTCACCTTTAGACCCTTTTCCAAAATTTCTGAAAAATTAGGGATTAAACTGCCGTACCCTCTGCTTTTGGACCCCGCACAGTACAGTGGACAGCAATTTTTTCATTACGTCTGATCGAAAAACTCCTGATAGTCTTATGTGCTTTACTGAAACCGGGTTGCTGACCAGTCAATTGCTCTAAAACTTTGGCAGCTCGAGTTAGTCTGTCACCGCTTTCCCCAACGCAGATATCAAGGCATAGCTTCTGGATTTTTATTTCCCTCATCGGGTTATTTGTTTTCTCCTTAACTTCTTTTTTTACAACCATTGTGCGCAGATATATGGACTAACCACGCGTGCGTACCAACGCGCCAAAAGTAAAATTAGTGAGATTCGAACTTCCGAAGCACTATAACAAAAATATCACTTCAACACAGTTATTCAGATATCATTGCACCTCAATTAATGTACACTTCCAAATGAGAATGAGTAAGGATAGATCACTGGATCTCATGTGTTGGTCTTCTTTATATAGTCTCATTTGATTTAACTGTGATGGTAAATAAATCCACAAATTAAATAGCTCTGCAAGTCCTTGACATTTGATGCTGAACGCAATAGTCTTGATGGACTCGCCTAGCTGAAGGCGCTCCGCACCAGGTCACGAGTGAGTATGCCATTCTTTACCTCTCGTACAACC